TAAGGGGGGGGGGGAGGGATAGTATCGGATGGGAAGCTTTGGTAGCACCAATATGTGAGAGACGACTATGGTAGCTATTGATGGAATATCATCATCGTGGAGAGGCAATGAGATTACGAATTTTAGACACTGGAACCGGGAATAGCAGGACCCTCTGTAATCTTTAGAGCTGCGGTCTTCATGTGAGTAGTACTTTCACCGCGAAATCTTTCTCTCAAGCAGAAGATCTTCATACTTCTAACCACCTGCGTATACCACCCCGCAATTCCCATCTCGTCGTATTCTTATTCCTTAGGGGCGAGATCTAGGCGTGTTGGAGGTAGGTAACATGACGCACTTGTTAGATCCGCACATCACAAGTACATGGGCAATAGGTTTGCTTCACGTCTAATCCTTCCTTATCATATAGAATCACCGAAACACTAACCATATCTAACGAGAATGGGCTCGACCCTCCGTTCTCAAAATTTAGAGCCACGCGGTTTCACGCCCTACGAGTGCGCGAATCCACCTTCAGAGCCGCAAATCATCCCAATTCTCTGAAGTGGTTGAGTTATCAATATCCGCAGGTCGCGGCCAGCCATCAAGAATTGATCATCACAAACTAAATAACCCCACAAAAGACCAGTCGCCATATCTCCTCGTACTCTTATTTCTATCTAGGAATCTCGTTGCTGGAACTTCATGTATAACTCTCCGGGGACATATCGGCAGTTTCTTATCTTTTGAGAAGGATGCTCGGGATACTTGGCTCACGATGATATCGTATTGAGGGGAAGTCGTCGTATCCGGACAATGAAGTGAGGGGGGTAGGAACGGTATAAAGAGGTGGAAAATGGCAGGAAAGAAAAATCATCTCAACCATCAAACACATTTACTATTCAATCATCCAAGAAAGATTCAAGCAATCAACTCCCCCATCAAACTCACCTACTCAATACTCAAAATGCATTTCTCCACCATTATCCTTACTACCGTCACTCTTGCCTTTTCAACGGCTTCACCTCTGCAAGAGCGTCAATTTCAGGTCTGCAGCTCCGCTCTTGATTCTGCACTTTGTTGTCAAGCGGATGTTCTTAATTTGGTGTCCTTGAGCTGTTCGACTCGCAAGTATCCCTCTTTCTCTTAGTTCCTTAAAGAGAACCATTCTTTTCTAACACGCAAACAGCACCTACCGCACCGACATCCACTCAGGATTTCACGGACATCTGCGCTACAGAGGGGCTGGTTGCGAAATGCTGCGTTTTGCCCCTTGTAAGTGTAGCTCTTGGTTTGTAAGAGGATTTGAGCTGATGACTGGTTTAGCTTGGTGAGGCGCTTCTATGCACCAGTAATTAAAGCTGCTGCCGCAATCATTCACGGAGAAGCATACGAGGGAATGATTATAGATATATTGGTGGAATTCAGGAGTGTGATGGGGACGTGGAATCAACTTCTAATAGTCTATTTTTAGTTGCAATTAAATGATTTGAGATATTCGACCCAACGATACGAATCACAAATGATGCCACGGACGAGGACTTACGAAACGTTTGTCGCTATCAAATCTTTATAGTTAAATCAATTTCAACTTACTGGTTAATAGGTAGCTTGACTGTTCATTCCCCCTTCCCCAATCAGATAATACTGGGAAGTTATTCGCATGTGAATTAACGCAAAACATTGAATTTTATGAATTTCCTGCAAGCCTGTAGTCAATCATAGACCCCGGAATCGCAGTGGGAACGACTATCCACTATAGTTTTCAATTAGCGTTGACGCACTTTATTGCTAAAATCATATATTCTGAGGGGAATAACACCTGGCATGCGCCGTTCTTTGACTGACTTACCCCGACTTCCCTGCGCACTCTGGGATGAAATGAAACAACTCTCAGCTGATAGGTACACACAAATTAAAGCCTCCGAGTATTATTTCTGGTGACTAGCCTAGCGTCAAATGACCTATTTGGATCAAATATAGAGTACATTCTCAGCAGCGTTTGTGACACCTTGTAATCATCGCCCTAAACTTTACCATGAATATTCCAGTCAGTTTGCCTAAATTTGGATTGACTAACATGAACCACACGAAGTAATTGTTATTCACTAGAGGAGCTCTAAAAAACCTCATATCCCTGTCATCACGCTCGATAAAATCTGGTCCTCTCCCGCCTTAAGTTCCCAAAACCATGGAAATCTAATTAGTCGTCAAGCCGACCTTCCTAAAATATAGCTAATATCGTCGGTAGTTCTACTTATTCTCTACCATCTATCGAGCATGTGCGATGTCGAAATATTCAACTACTATTGTGGCTGTCAATTCAATATCGTCTTGAAAAAATGTCGGAGAGCACAATTAGAAAGGGCTGCGGAATGTTCGGCGCTGGTTGTCAACCGACATCTTCACTCTGTTGTCAAATGCGGATATCATGGCGGGTATTACATTCACAGTGTGGCGACTGGTGGGACACTGGGGATGTAAGAAGGGCTGTTGACGCAGTTCTGGATGTCGGGGTAGAGTTCTTGAAATAGGGTTGTTGATTATGCCGATATAGAGGTTTTGCACGAATGGAAGCTTCAAATTGAATGGTGATCAAAGTCTGTTCTTTTGATAGAGGAAATACATTTGCCAGGATATATGGATGTATAGAGCAAGCTAGTTGAAAAGAAATTTGTGAGATTTAGAGATATCAGCTCACGATTCACACTTCTTCTTGATCGATTAGTCGGGAAAATAAGGCTCACCTAGAAGATTGTTTTTGAGAAAGAGAGTTGGCCTTGGATACAAACCATTAGCTATGAGCGGTTGCAAGTGCTGTCTTACTCCCTGCCGAAGGCGAAGTCAATAATTTCGTTCTATGACCACGATGTAACCGGGATAGATAAACTTAACTATATCGTTCAACATTCTTATGACAATTTCGACTGTCGGATCAGACTATTATTGAATGATTATGCCGAATTTGGTGAGATATTTAGGAGGTGGTTTGCTCAAGCCTGTCCACCTCACTTGGTAAAGATAATTCCTTTTTCTTGATACAACAGGCTGATCGTGTGTAGTACAGCTAGAAAAATACCTGAATAATTTCAGGCTGACCATGACTTAGATCCCGCGGATCCAATAATTGTAAATGCTTTGATGGACAAACATAGCAATTTTGCAGATGACCGCTACGAGCCACCTATGTCGTATAATTTCCTTGAACGTGAGCACATTCTGAAATATAATGGGAGAAAATGTGATTGAAACACAGTCTACTTTGCTCTTACTTCTACATCTACAAGTAAGGTGGTTGCCTAATGGCTTTCCTAAGAACCACTTTTGTGGCTAGTTGCATATTCACCTGAAAGTCGAGATGTATTACTGACTAGACAACCTCACTTTCGCAAACAATGACAGTAGGCCCCTGCCCCCTCATTATTCTATTATTGAGAGCTTGGTATTGTCATTAATGCATTCATCTAGTCGAAAATCATATAATTATTGAGTTCTGAGAATTTTCTGCGATACTTATTATCTTTGTCTGCAATAAATTCGAAATTTGCGAAGCTCTCTAGCAGAAACAACTCAGGCAGCGACGTATTGCTCAACTCAAAGAGCATCAACCATTCACACTACATTATCTACACGGAACTATGCATCTCGTTACCTCAAAAAACCTAAGGAATTCGCTCAGGCTCGCTGCGGTCAAAAACCGAGTTTTGAATCTTCTGGAACAAAATCCCTCATTAGAGCTCCCCCAAACATCAAGATACAGATTGCCCGCAACTTCGCACAATCTCCGCCATGCCAGCTACATGGGCAGGCTAATCGATGCAAGTGTTCGAGATAACTCCTCGTTCAATCCCACAGAAATCGCCGCATACCAAGACGTCACATCGAAGAGAGACCTTGATCTGCTTAAGAAGTGGGTAGACACCAAGATGAAGTATAGTCACAAAGGTTATCGCCTTCCAAGAAGATACACGCCTCGAGAGGAGGAGTTTATAACGGAAGCCCAAACGGCTATGTATCAAGCACGCTATTCACCAGAGGAGAACGGATTGAAAGAGATTGTGGAGGAGATCAGATACGCTGCTTTGATGCCGACTTCGAAATTTACGTTCAAGGATAAACATGGTTGGGAACCGTCAGAGATGCTGCTACATGACTGTAGTTTGGTGCTAGCCAAAATGGCGAGGTATCGGAAGATGCGTAGGGAGAAGGATGAGACTCGAAGAAAGCGCGGAGGGCGTTTAAAACTGCGGAAGCTTAGCCAAACGAAGTTGTCAGAAGGTACGGGGATGAAAGTTGAGAGCACTGCTCTATGGAAAGTACCACGTGTTGGCGAGTTGGAGGAAGTCGATTACTACAATGCGAGGGATACCACATTGGGAGAAGTGGAAAAAGAGCCTTGCTCCTCGAAGGATTGAATTTGAGAGACCTTACTAATTTGACCATGCTGGATATTCTGTCGGCGAAAGATGTTTGTATACATGAGTGGATTGATGCGGAGTTGTGGCAACCAACAAACATGTCATGTATGTGGAGAGAGCATGGGAAGAACTGCAGATCACATGGCTAAAGAATTTCTCAACCAAACTCAACTCCTAGGAAGATAAGGCCTCAAATGTGGCAATGTATATAGCAACAAAGCAAGATGGGTTGGATATTTGTTTGTCTCAATTCTTTCGATGTCCGTAGTAACAAGACCAAAAACTCGAGCAAGTTCCCCAATTAACAGAATTTGAATTGAAATCTGTTCTTCTAGGAACAAAGATTTATTGTTGACTTTGTAAGAATTATCCGTAAGTCCAAAGATATCATTTAAGCTGGATTCAACATCATCTGATTCTTACGAGTACAATGCGATATCACCTTTGTGGCCCAGCCATTTGAAAACATTCACCATTTCAAAGCAACATCAACCGAAATCTTTTCCACTAGAATGGGCTACTGCACGCGAAAAATAGCAGAGCATAATTCAAACAAAGTGGTCCAGTTCTTCAAGAAGCCTTTTCTCTCTTGTTTCTGTCACAGCTGTCGCGGCGTATTAGGGGTCGATATATACTTCATCCTCACCACCTCATACCCTCGTTATATCTCATCGATCTCCAGACCACGACCACATTTCACATTTCCGAATCTATGTGCATCTACGCCCAAAACCATCACGACCCATGCGGCTGCAAAACTTGGGAAGTCGCCGAACACTGCTGGCGCGCACTAGTGACTGACGTAGAATGTACTCTGGACAGACGCATAACTCCATTTCCAGTCATCCGTCGAACTCATATGTTATGCGGGTTTCACGTTAGTATTTCCTGTTGAATTTAAGCACATCGCTGACAGAAGTGGATATCAGACAGAAGACCGAGATGAAGAAGAACTGCACAATAGCGGATGGAATCAGCCATTTATCGGGGTTCGATGTAAGAAAAAGAGATTACGGAGAAAGGAGATTGAGAAGACGCATGGGAGACAACCTTTCTATACGTGGACGATCAAGATAGCAAATTTTAGATCCGAGTATACGATGCCAGAGGAGCGGCTGAAGAACGAGACTTCATCGTCCGAGGAGGAAAATAGCAGTGAAGAAGATGTTGGGAATTCCGCGAAGAAACAACAAGGTGAAGGTCGGCATAGAAGAAGAAAAGGGCCAGATGAGTGGTGTAAAGCTTGATGCTGTGGAAGGAAGATATTGTAAGAATCATATAGATGGCGGAACATGTGTAACATGGCATACGATTAGATTCTTGTTAATGTGTGCAAGGATTAATCCAAGCTCGGTGGATGGGTTAGACTTGAACGATCTGTTGTAATTTTGGCCATACACTGAGACTGCACTCTCGGTAGGTATAAACTCTCAAGCTCAAGATTGTCTAATTCTAGAACGATGATGGCGGTACCTCAATGCGTAGTAGATCCGTCTTTCAACCCCAAACTTATCCCAGATCAAGCTACTCCGCTAGTGCGGAGTGAACGAAGCCGTGATATGTGTGATCCTTTTCGGATTCTCAGTCGGAGTAAAAGCTAAAGGTAAGTTCACTCCAGTTTCAGGTATCTACTGATATAAGTTTGGCCAGGGGAGATTCCAAGACTTTGTCTCTTTGAATAGCTGAGTAGCAACCCAAACGATTGACAAAGCGTAGATTATGTTGATAGGAATAGCTCTGCATCCGAATCATTAATAAACCATGTTGAATGTATCAGATTTGACCAACCCGACGGGAGTTGTGATTACGACAGTGCAACACAGTGCTGATCTTACAATTTATTCCTAGGAAGCAACGCTACCATGTGGGAAGTGAGGATCAAATCGATTTGACCTTTGCTTGTTGATACTCTCAATTCGTTCAAGGCAAGTGCCTCTTGAATCAAACTCCGGCTCGGAGCCTGTGGGGCTATCCACCATAATGGGCTCAAAGACTCATGGAGGGTGGAATGGGTACCGCTAGTTGAATCATGTCGAATGAACTTGGGAATCAAGGACAAGGAGCATTTTGAATATCCAAGATGGCCTGTTTCCCCAAATTCACGTTTGCTTCAGATGGGAGCTCTCATCTACAAACCAGCCAACAACGAAAAGAACTGTCAAACACATCAATACCAACCATGTGTCAATACATCCAGGTAGCGTACAAGGATTGTGGGTGCAGGTACTGGACACTATCTCAATATTGCCCTCGATATCACGACAGCAACGGCAAGCAATGCGGAATATGGCCATACCCAGAAGTTCAGTCTTTCCACGAAGTCACAGGAAAAGTTTGTGACTTCTGCTGGGAGGGAGTATTAGAGGAAGCACAAGACCTTTTGGTTGGATAGTTCTGATCAAGTGTATGGGCGACAGATGGATGGAAAGTGAGATGAAGAATGGATTAAGCACACCGTAAACTCGAGCAACTCTCAATCCATACCTACAGATTCCAATATAAAATCTTTAGGAAATGCGATGCGGTTGAGGACATCCTGGCTCGCGGAGGACAAAATAAGTGTCAGCCACCTACCCGCTAACCTGAGACTAAGTAATTAGTCGACTTCGAATAGAGTTGAAAATTCTTATTTGCTGAAAATAATTAACGGAATAGTGATAATGTTTCAAGTTAATCCACTATATATACGATATTTCGTCAAATTAATTAAGGAAATATTAGTTTACGACTGCCACTTATTTTGTCCTCGGCGAGCCTGGGAACACCTGCAGGGTTTAAGATGTGGCTGATATGTGGCGTAGATCCACTTTATAGCGGGGTGATCCAATAATTCCACGCTAAGATAACTCGATAGGAATTTTTGGAAATATTTCTGGACAACCGCCGCTCATGCTCAAGGAAGAGGAGAAGCTCAATTCCCAGCTCACAAAACGTCACAATGGTACGAAAAAGGGTTGGCGCACTGGAGAAGGTTGATGCAGATCTGTGGGTTACCTCGAGACTATTCAATAAATTCTTCTGACAAATGAACTTCAGGCCTAACTTGCAGTACAAAATTCGTCGAGACCCAAGGTAAGATACCCTCAACAGCTCTGCAAATCGCATACTCACCATTTTCGCAGGTCATATACAGAAGAGTTCCTAAATCAATATGGCCAGTACCAGTCACAACGCGACATATTTATGGCGTCCCCCAATACCGCGAGTTCAAGCGGCATCATATCCTTTTCGAACCTGATAGATTTTGTAGCCCACGTCTCCGATTGTTTTCCAGAAGACACAGCAGAGTTTCCCGAAGATCTGAAGACCATCCTCACACTACATCATGCAGAATTGGAAAGCGAATTGCGGGAGAAGATTGTGGGTAGTCTGGTCTTATTGCGACGGAAAGAAATAATCGACTCCTCAAATCTTCTCAATGCGCTTTTTCCTATCCTTGTTGCGACACCAAGCAAGACGCTGCGAACATTACTGTTTCAGAAAATTCTATCGGACCTGCGAACGTCGAATGCGAAATCGATTAATCACCGACTGAACCGCACGATTCAGACGGCGTTATTTAATCTCCTTACCTCTGATCGCACATCTTCGAAGGGAATATGGGCGGTCAAAATCACAAGAGAGCTATGGAAACGACAGATTTGGACCGATGCCAAAGCAGTAGAAATTATGAAAGAAGCAAGCTTAGCGGATAACGAAAAAGTTATTGGAGGTGGCGTTCGATTCTTCCTAGGAGGAGATAAAGAGCGGGAGGAGCTCGAAGACGAGAGTAGTGATGACGAAGCTATTGATGTTGGAAAGCTCAAGCATCAGGCCGGTATCAACAAAAAGAACAAGAAAGCGAAAAGAACTATAGAAGACGCGGTGAAGAAGGTGAAACGCAACGAAAAGAAGAAGAACCAACCTCATCCTCTGAACTTTTCCGCCCTACATTTACTCCATGATCCTCAGGGATTTGCCGAACAGCTCTTTTCAAAACACCTTCACAATGGGAAATCAAAGCTCAATCTCGATCAGAAGCTGATAGTATTACAATTAGTGTCACGGCTAGTAGGTCTGCACAAGTTGACCGTCATCACTCTTTACTCATACTTTATCAAATACCTCACTCCACGTCAGCCTCAAGTTACGTCTTTCCTGGCTTCTCTCGCTCAAGCAACACACAGCCTGGTGCCTCCGGATGCTCTGGAGCCGCTTGTGCAGAAGATTGCAAATGAATTCGTTTCAGAGGCTTCCGCATCAGAAGTAGCCTCAGCTGGGTTAAATGCAATTCGAGAAATTTGCGTTCGGCAGCCTCTTGCTATGAGTGATACATTATTACAGGATCTTGTTATGTACAGGAAGAGTAAAGACAAGGGCACAATGATGGCTGCTAAGGGTCTACTCTCGTTATACCGGGAGGTTGGAGCGGATATGTTAAAGAAGAGAGACCGAGGAAAGACAGCTACGATGGGGATCAAGAGTGGTTCTATCAAGGAGCGAAGGTTCGGTGAAGAAGATGCCGGGGGAATTGAAGGACTCGAACTACTTGAGCAATGGAAGGCGGATGAACGGAAAAGAAAACGAGCTGAAAGGGGACTCCCAGAACTTGGTACAGATGAGGAAGACAATGAAGACGATGAGGCGGAAGAGCAAGCCGGTTGGGATAATTGGGACGCCGAGTCAGATGCTAGTGACGATTCTGGCGGTTGGATAGCTGTCGATAGTGATGATGAAATCAACATTAGTGACTCCGATGACGATCAGCCATCCTCCAAAAAGGTCAAATTGGATACCGCCGCAAAACAACCAGAAACAGAGGAGGAAAAAGAAAAGGCAGATGCCGTTCTAGAGAACAAAATCTCAAAGTTGGCAACCACGAAGATCTTGACACCGGCTGATCTTGCGAAACTCCAAGAACTCCGACTTGAGGCTTCAATGAACAAGGCAATGGGCAAGAACAAAACTCAGGCTCAACGTCTGAAAGAAATTGCTGATAGGCACGCGGATGATGCTCTTACTGCCGACCAAATCGAAGGTTTCTCTAAACTGCGCAAGTCGACGAAGGAGGAGATGATTGCTTTAGCGCGAGAAGGCAAGGGAGAGCGAGGAGAACACAAGAGTACGCAGGCTTTGAGGCGGGCGAAGAAGGATGCTGAAGGCAAGAGTACGACGAACAAGGAGAAGGCTAGAAAGAAGAATTTCTTGATGACTTTGGGGAAAGCGAAGTACAAGCAGAAGAGAAGTTTGACTCAGACGAGGAGGGTGTTGAAAGGTCATATTGAGAGGAGTAAGAGAGGTGGTAAGAGGGGTAATATTGGAATGTAGAGTGAAGAATATTACAAGGAGATTACCCTTGATGCGTTTTACTTCGGCCGAAGATCTAGTGATGCTATAGAGTTGCTGAGAGACGAAGAATGTAGCATGTTGTTTTAATCAAGACCGTAATGCTCGTAAAGCAGATTTTAGGCCGATTATTAACAATTTTCCTCAATCTAAATAATGTTCTGTTGCTTCAGCCCTATGGAGCTCAATCAGGACTAGCTTATATTTAACCGATGTTCACTAATCTTCAAATCAACCATGCCGAGCATACCATGTATCTAGGTAATCAAGAGCAACGATGCTGTAATGGATTTCACAGAAGTGTAAAACGACCGTAAGTTAAACTTCAATCATTATAAGCAAGAGTACATGTCAATTCCTGCAGATGTGAAAAGTTCGAGATGCACTGACGCTGCCGGTAGTGGCCCTGGTTTCACGACATGACGCTCGACATCAACCATCGAAGCGAGAATGTGTATAGGACTCCCAAACCGTTACCGGTCGACTCGAATTTGAATTTTATTGGCCTCTTGTTGCTCGGCATCTTATCTTTGTCATTCGATCGACCGATCACACCTAAGGATACGTACTTATCAACTGAACATTTCTAGTTTTGCTTGCAGTTTTTCTCATCCCTTGGAATTCGTCATATTGACTGCACCGCAACTTCACATCTCGACCACGGGAGCGGTTGCAGGAACATATACATCAAATCAGCAGAGAGACTATTCTGTAAGATTTTTAGCCATAACTTTCTAATATCTCATCTTTATTCCCGACCGTGCCGTACTTGCCGACCGACGACCGACGGCGCAATTTCTAACGACAACCTGATACATCGCGCATCTCTCACGCATGCTCATCTCTCAAGCCGGCATCGGGGTTGTTTAGAATCAGCGTTACTATCCTTAAATCTCAACAACTTGGCAAATGCTAGTCCTGGCCGTAGGCGGGCGCGATACCTCGCGGTCCGTAAAGAGGAAGATACGGGAATGTTATCTCCGTCGTGCAGAGAACATGGAAGCACGCAAAACCTGCGTCCGGAACGACAGGAAAAGCAAATCCGGCCATATCAAAGCATACGCTACGATGGCTATAGGCTCATGTGCGTCACCGGTATGTGACTGCGTCTACGACATGGCAATGTGACACGACGTCAGATGTTGGCCAAAGAACGAACCGTGTTTCGCAGCCCGGAAACCATATCGAATGAACTCGTCTCTCGCTACTGATGGAACAGACTATGGAATAACAGAATCATAGCTATTTGATCGAACCCGAAAATGGTGGCTGTTGGCTCCTAAACGAAGTGCTGCCACACGACGTTAGCCTGCGCCCAAATGAAGAGACAGAGACCTAACTGGAGCGAAGCGCATACGGAAAGAGCACCTAAGCGTAGTAGAAGAATCTGACGCTATCATACTTTGCATTTCAAATCATCTTCCTCCCAACAGCGCACCAGCCAACCTTACCCGGCTCTTGGCCGCTCAAAATGCTATCTCTATATTATCATAGGCCCTACACCAAAGCATCATGTTGCTGGCGCCGTGACGAGATAAAGAACTCTCAATCGCTATCAATCCCAACGAACTCGATTTCTGAATGGTACTGGCCAGGCCCTTCAAGCTCACAGCATGAGATCCACTCCAAATATTGCGCTGATGCTAATGTTATGCCAATCTGTTCCGGAGACTAGAATCCACAAAGCACGTCTCGGCAGCAAAGACACAGCGAACGATAAAGGTCCGCGGCAGATATGATTCCAACAACCTTATATTTCCGGTATCTAGTAAGCTAGAATGCTTATTCTATCGGCGAGTCAAACTGTTCCTCGAAGTCGTACGAGACAAAAGGATCGTGAGCTTGTTGGTTTTGAGAGACACGGCGCAACACTTTCGTTCAAGTTGCAATTCTGGAGGACCGAGAATCCCCTCTTTCGAGAGAAGAATAAGCTGGAAGCATACGATCAATGCTGGATCAATTTCTCGTATGCCCGGAACCTGCTGCGTACCTCTCGAGTGGGAAGAAGAAACCTCATTCTCTCTGTCTTGTGCAAGTATCACCTTCATTCGAAGCTATTCTCGTTGGAGTTTCGTATCGTGTCGTCAATCAGTATTCTCATTTTTTGTCGTCTCAGCCTTCTTACTGCCACCAAGTGGTGAAAAGTATCAGGGGACTGCTTTCACTGGTTGATGAGGTTGCATTTGCGATCTACGGCACTAGCAACTCAGCAGCGAACGCATATCAAATTGTGTCATGCACGGGGCATTAGCTTATTTCTTTTGGATACATGCGCGTCTTTCTGTTCAATCTTGTTTGTTCCGTTTTTAACAGGAGAGAGACCTATCTTAAGGCGTGTCCATCATGGCGAATGCAGAACTCTGCGTTGCGATCACCGAGCTTCTTCGCGACTCCTCGAGGATGCATTCAGTCAATATGCCCAGTGCCCAGGCCCTGGAGTGAGCCGTCTAACACTCGAGAGTTTGGGGGTTGAATACATACCCCGGGAAGATGCGGGTTCAGCACGTGTGGCAAAGCTATCATCATTCTTTACATCTCATTGAAGCTCAACGAAAATCGAGCCAAGCGGCAGTCATCATTGAGACACCCCCATTCTCACGGTTGAATCTGCAATGACTATACATAAATCACACCATCATGTGTTGATCAACTCAGGAGAGCGAGATCTGTTTCTTGTCGAAGCAGAAAAAAATGGGGATAGACAGATCACCGTCGGTATGCCTATCCACACAAGCATCTCTACGGTTGGAAGTGATTTCTTGGAGATTCCATTATCCATGTTTTCCTGCATTTTGTGCATTTCGATCCACGCAAGAGCTCATTGATCTGTTCAAAACCTATTCATCGTTGTGCTCTGCATTCTTTTCACGGCGAATTTGGCGTTTTGCGGCGAATTCGAGTGGGGCGCGGCGACGGTCAGCGAAAGCTCGCCTAAATTTGTTGACCTGTTACGATGTTGCATAAAATGTGAAGTCTCACGCAAGACATCATTTAATCACTGGCAAGCAAATAAGCTTTATGCATAGATGAATAAGCTCTTGGTACACTTTATTGTGTTGCACATTATTCGTCGAGGAAACATCTAGTTGGTCTCGTGACTCGTCGTTTTGACGGTGAGAACTTCTTTTGCATCTTCAAATTATGTATACTCGACTCCACTTTCCATATATTGAGATTCGCATCTTAAATTGGAGGACTGGGATTTCGTATATTTTCAACACTAGAGCAGCGTTGCCCTATCAGATCTGCACACATCTTATCTTCTTCGATCTTCATTTCTCCGCGTTTCTGTCGGTCAGACTGGAGTGCCAGAGGTTTGTCGTTGCTGACATACATGATTTCTGCTTACATACTACCAATGGCAACGAGAAGCTTTTCGTTGCCCTATTATTCCCCGTTCCTTCATGTCAGAGAACCCTAATTGTACAGATCCCACATGGCGGGAATCAGGGGTTGAGGGGTACACGCGGGACACCCTTGATATTATTCAGCCGTTTAGTGTCTCCTTCTTTGACGGATTATCACTTGAAAGTGCGTTTGAGGCACTGTTCAACACGGAACAAACCGCCAAACGCATGAAAGCAGAAGGTCAATCCTATACCCAGCTTCATATACCTCTAAGCCTCAATGATATTTAGGGAAGCTCGTGTCGAATCCAAAATGGATCGCTTGAGCTCCTTTTCCACTATTATTGAACTGGCTTTGCTTCACAGAGTGTGATTGATCTCCTTGAAACTGAGAACCAATCCAATGGTATGGTATCCAGGACAATTCTGTTCATTTCGCCTAACAGGAAGGATGTAGGGCTTCTGTCGAAGCCAAAGTACAAGTTGATCTTCCAGTCGATCATCAGATGAATACGAGGTGTCCCCAGAAATCCAAGGGCACCCCTGATGGGATGCAGAGCCTAACCGTGTCACAATCTTGGCCGCTCAAGCATTGGTCTCTGAAACTTTGTTTCCTTCCAAAGACGGCCCGGAAAGAAGCGTAATTTAAAGGGTTTGAAGGTTTTCATTAAATTATTGTATTTTATCTCGTTATCCAGCTTGCGCGAGTTATTCGCTAGTCGTATCACCAAACGCCACAATCTTAATTGCACAAAAGTCGTCCCGAAACGCCACTTCAACCCGTTAGAATTTCCAGCATTCTCATCCTTCCTTAGTCTAGTCGCATCGCATCTCTCCACTGACTCCATCGAGGCCCGAATCTACCCCCAACTCTGGCCACTGCCACTCTGTCTTTTCTTCACATGCCTGGGCAATTTCTTCGCTTGGAATTGCCTCCCCAACGCTGATGAGACGGGCACACAGAGACTCATTTCTTTCCTGAAGCCTTTTGCACTGGTTCTCGAGATCTTGAATGTACTTTTCTTTTCTCTCTCGATAGCGTCTTTGAGATGTGCGGTTCTTCTCGCGACGTTTCTGGGAAAGTTAGAGTTATGTTGTATAAATAATGAGCTAGAAGTCTTACCTCGAGTCTTTCTCCTTTCGTAGCCTTTAGTTTGTGGATGGGTTGAGTATTTGAGCCTCCCCGAAATGAGAAAGACATCGGATATGTGTCTTTTGGAATTGACTTGGGGACTTGTGATGATGAAGAAATCGGTGAGGATGTCGCAGACCAAGAGTCGCTGTCGGGAAATGAAGCGTATGTGTTGTCGAGAATTGGAAATTCGAAAGCAGAAGTGTCGATGTCCAAGTTAGCGTAGAGCAGCTCTTTTGGTTGCTTATTACTCCATGACCAGATGTCAGGGTGCATTGGTTGTTGATTCTGGTTCTGCATATTTGAGGTTGAATCTGAACTTGACTTTTCTTCTTGTGGTGTTGTAGAGAAGTCCCAAGAGTCGATGGAAGAGAGAAATAGTTTCGAGGATCCCTTTGTTTAAATGTCAGATTCTGAGATTCATAACGCGCATACCGACCGTTTTTTGGCCGCCAATGAGGTGCATAACACGGGACGTACCAGCAACGCTAAACTATCCAGCGTATTATCCGCTATTTTGTCCCCCATAATATACGGCTCTGTGAATACGGACTTAAATCCTGAGCCACAGCTTGAATCTGACAAAGCAGCGTGCGCTAAAGTCATCGTACGATAGAGGTGGGTATAAATGACTTGTACAGATAATTGTGAATTTGAATGTGTTGGTAAAGCCGCCAAGTGGTGCCAAGGGGTAAATGCAAAGTCCTAGATGGAATGTGGATGCTACAAGACAGATGTTCGCCATACTTCATGTCCCTTCCTTATGTATGAGAGTTGTGTTCTGTCTTGGCAATAACTGAGCACAATAACCATTCCCAACCCGAGGCAACGCATCGATGGTTCCGTTCATCAGTGGATGTGATTCCTTCTAATCACGTCAAACCTGCGTTTCTACCGCCAGCAATGAGCAGCAAATCGTCACGACGTTCTAGACTTTCGGAGCCCTCTTCTGGAATTCTCGGGATCTACCCGTAAGTGTTGAAGGGAGATTTCGGTTTCTTTTCTCTGACCGCCAGGCCTTCCACGTGCGTGAACGCCCTACTATGCAAAATCGACGTCATTGACGCCATTTCTAACATTTCACGAATGTCTCCTTGGGCCTGTAGCGAGGTGAGACAGAGTGCGGAAATTTCTCGTTATTCGCAATTCTCACGCGCCCAGGGGGACCGAGCTGGGGTTCTTTCCATGATTGGATAAAACAGACTACACATTCAGCCAAAACTTTTTATCACCCCTATAATTGGTTGGTTATACTCCCCTTTATGGTTTGGTGTTGTTGCTGCACGTCGCTTACTGAGATGCGTTGTCGCTTGTGATTGGCGAGTTTATTTTAAGGGGGAGTTCCCGATTAAGGAGTTAGACGAAGCCGAAAAGAACCGATGGAAGAGTACACGCGCAGGATATTCTTTCGTCTAAGCATAGAACAGACGTCAATGCAATGTGTGGGTGGGAAAGACCCGGTTCTCATGATGAAAGCTGGCGGTAAAAGATCCTTTGATTATTTATGACGGCATGGATGGCAATTTTCCGTCTGGAATCATTCCTGGGAATAATAATAGAGTGCGCTTGTATGCGTCCGTGTCTGGGATTTCTGCTGTTGACGCAGTATCGTAAGTTTTCTAGAATATAGGGGTCCAGGGAAGATCGTCGATCACAACTTACTAACCACGTACCAAATGCAGGATAACGGGTTACTACAGCGCGTTTGTATATCAGGCCACGGAAAAATGTCGCAGTTGGGTGCTTTATCGACCTGGCCCATAACCATTCTCGAAAGAGGTTATATAAGAGTTGACGGGAGATAATGGTTTTCTTCTCTGCAGACTTCACTTGTCAGACCTTGGCTATCCAATCATTTAATCGCATCCCGCAAAATGACTTCCCAAGTGAGTTCAAGCATTTCCAAAACATTGAAGATCGCGCTGATTTAAGTATAGCTTAACTCAACCGCAACACCAACCTACACTCTCGCAGAGGGAGGTCCAATTGGCGATCCTGCTACAGTCGTTCGACTTAACCGTAGTAGTGGAGGTGGTCTTGTCCTTCTTCAAGATACACAACTTATTGAGACACTTGCGCATTTTGCAAGGGAAAGAATTCCGGAACGAGTCGTCCACGCCAAGGCAGCTGGTGCCTTTGGCACTTTCACTGTAACTCACGACATCTCATCCATAACATCGGCCAAGTTTCTCAATGGTGTCGGTAAGAAGACAGAGGTAGTAGTGAGAATCTCAACCGTCGGTCCAGAGAAGGGAAGCGCAGATACAGCTCGCGATCCACGAGGATGGGGCATCAAGTTCTACACAGAGGAAGGAAATCAAGATTGGGTATTCAATAACACTGTGAGTCTCCTTCATTCGGTACAAGTTAGGAGAATCTAATAAGAACAGCCAATCTTCTTCATCCGCGACCCGATCAAGTTCCCTTCGCTTAACCGCTCCCACAAGCGTCACCCGCAAACAAATCTGACAGACAGCACAATGTTCTGGGATTTCCACAATAACAATCAAGAAGGAACTCATGAGTTAATGCATCTATTTTCAGACCGCGGAACACCTAAGTCTCTCCGTCACACTGACGCCTTTTCTGGACACACATACAAGTTTACTACTACCGACGGCAACTTTCACTATGTCAAGATCCATCTCAAAACAGATCAAGGAATCCAGAACTTCAAAGCTGAAGAAGCAACCAAGATGGCCGGCGAGAATCCAGACCACAATACCCAAGACCTCTTCGAATCCATCTCAAAAGGCGATTTCCCAACCTGGACAGCCTACCTCCAAGTCATGACCCCCTCCCAAGCAGAAACCTACCGCTGGAACATCTTCGACATGACCAAAGTCTGGCCACACGCCGACTTCCCCCTCATCCCCTTCGGCAAGCTCGAACTAAACCGCAACGTAAGCCCCCCTATCTCCACCCGACTCAAGCGAGCCTAACACCACACAGCCATCAAACTACTTCTCCGACATCGAACAAGCCGCCTTCTCCCCCTCAACCATGGTCCCCGGCATCGCCCCCTCAGCCGACCCCATGCTACAAGCGCGAATGTTCTCCTACCCCGACGCGGCGCGCTACCGACTCGGCGTAAATTACCAGCTCCTCCCGCCAAACCACGCGCACTCGCCCGTTTATTCCCCCTACCAACGCGACGGCTTCGCGAATTTCGGTGGTAACTACGGCGCGGATCCTAATTATGTGAGGACTAGTTTCCGGCCGGTGAAGGTTGGGAGAGCGGATACGCCGCACGAGGAGTGGAGTGGACGGGTGGCGGCGTATACGACGGAGGTTAAGGAGGTGGACTTTGTGCAGGCGAGGGGGATGTGGGAGGTTTTTGGGAGGACGGGACAGAGGGAGGCGTTTGTGGGGAATGTGGCTGGGCATTTGAGGATGGCGGAGGAGGGGGTGAGGAAGGAGGCTGTTGGTGAGTTTCGTACTCTTTCTTTTTTGGATCGAATGGGTTCGTGCTAACTGTGTGAATAGCGGTTTGGGCAAAGGTTGATGAAGATATGGCTAAACAGATTGAGGCTGCTATGGGGGTTTGAAGTTGTAAAAGCGTTGATGTTTGTGAAGTGAGAACTTGGATGTAAGGCGTGTGGGTTGAAGTATAGAATTACAGCCCGGTAATAGAAGACAGCATCTCATACTAATTTAGACTTAATGTAATACACCATGACAGGAATTCTATAACAAAGCGAAGAAGAATGGAGTGAGACAAGTGAGAGTATAGTCATTAACCGAATCGGTTGAAAGATTTACCCTCATGCAATAATCCATTGCAGGAAGAGCCGACCTATTGCTATGAAGTTATGAACTAGTCTCTGCGCTTAGAGTACTAGTTTTATACCTATGATTGAAACGCCTCATCTGAAATTCTGGAAACCATCGCGCGAGTATTTAGTAACTAAATGCGATGTTTCCACCATCACTTATCAGTCAAGCTTTTCTTATCCACGGCGAACACGCGAACACTGACACAAAGGAGTATTCCACACTGTCAGAGGGTTGATTATAGTCTCACAGGATGCTCATCTTCCGTCAGGCAAATACAAAGCAACCGCGAAGTTGAACTAAGTAATTGAAGTAGCTGTAAGCGCTGCTACTATAATCCCGTCTTATGCAATTCGTACTATCGTAAATCTACGTCTAGATGCAACGCCGCCATGCCCGGCCAATATATAAATTTTTACTCTTCCAATGGAGCGCCTGGAATGCAAATGAAAGCCCCGAATGTACGCCAAGCTCCCTTCCCAAGCAAATATCCCCCTCCTATCTGCCAATGAACGCCTTCCAATGATTACAATCCACTATTTAAGGTATTGTTTCCAGCTAATTCGTCTTGATCATTACAGCTGTGATCAATAATTGCTTGTTTCTTCACAAGCTTCCTCTTCGGCTTGCGCTTGATGTTCGTAGTTTCCATCTCGGAGTTTTCCTGCTTAGCACCTTGTCCTTCGGTGCTGCTTTCACTACCAGAGCGTGAGTTGCTCGGTTTCAAGATTGCCTGTTCTCTAATCATTTCAGTTTCCGCAGCTTCAGTCCAACTTGGCATCCCAGTTTTCATGACAAAGATAGAATTTAAACCAGGTCCAAAATATCGATCCTTTCGAGTTGTACTTCTGAATCCACCTTCAAGTGCTGACATTGCAGCGCGAGTTGTTCGCATTTTTTTGCTTTTTCTTCCACCTTCGCTAAGAAGGTTGCTCAATCGTATACGATCCTGTTGAAGATGATTGTCGTTCGCCACGATCGACCGGGTATATGGCGCAAGATCAAGAGTGATTATAGCAAAGTTGCGATCGAATGCCGATGCGTCAAGTCGACCGGATAACGAAGAAGAGTTCTCTGGCTCAGAGATTGGATCGAATGCCAACCCAAAATCGGTTCGGGAAAGGTTTCGATCTGGATCTGAAATCTGTTTGTGAATGATTTCAGTCAAACGACCTTCGCTTGGAAGATTCAATTCGGGCGGGATCTCGAATCCGAATTTGACATGACTGTCCTCCTGAAGATATTTCCTGGCTCTGCATTTCATCCACAGCGAGATGTCTTTCGGCAACGAGCTGAACTCGACCCTTGGAGAAACATCCATGATGGGATATGCCTGGATAAAGTCTTCCTGTGCCTTTGACGTCAACTTTGGTAGCTCGACATCCATGAGAACCTTATCATCATTAGCAATGGTTTTTTTAATTGGCTGCTGATCTTACCTGATTGTCTGATGCGAAAGCGACGTCGGAACAGATATCGGCCACGCTCATCATTTCCGTGAAGTCCTGGTACATCTTCAATGTTGAGTAGTCGGAGGCTCCATTATGGCCTTCGCTGCGGCACAGAGTTCGCATATTTGACCCCCACTTCTCTATGTCTATCGTCTTGTGCCAATCACCGACATCAAAGCTCCAAGTATCCCAGGCCTCATGAAGGATTTCCTCCTCGACATCTAGATAGTGGCAGTGACTTTCAAGATTATCTTGACTGAAGCTTCCCATGCCCGCGTGGTATGTATCTTCGCTAACAACACGGATCTTTTCACCTTTGGAATCAATATCCTCACCAATGGGCCAACGAGGATAAAACCAGTCCAGGCCACTTTTGACATCCCCGACGGCGAATTGACACCAAAAGTTCAAGTCCATTATAGAAGCGCGAAGATCAAACTTTCGACTCCGGTAAAGAGCAGCAACGGCTTGACGTTTTAGAGCATGGCCTTCACATGCAGCCACAACCAACAGGTAATCAATCGCTAGGTCTACAGACGGTGCCTGGAAGCGAAAGATGCCGTGTAGAGTAAGACCATTAAAAGGTATGGCATTCTCATCGTTGCAAGTTATGATTATCGGCCGCTTGGACTGGGCCAGAATCGATATGATAGTCTGCCAGAATAGCTTATCTTCGTCGAAAATAATGTCTGCTTCCTCGATCAAGATCAGGGATTGCTTTTGCTGCTTTGAAGATGGCTTTGATGAGTTGTTGGTAGAGGCGACGTCTACTTTCTTAGAGATTGTGGTGCGCTTCGATGGTATCGTTTTAGTTTGTGACACTGGCTTTACTTTGAAGAAGGAGTCCATAGTCCCTTGTCGGCCGCTTTCGAGGTCGTTTGCCAACGCCTGATCATCACGAAGATTGTCTTCGTCGACTAGACCAGCCTTGTGTGGTTGTTGCACTTGATGATTCCGTGTCATATCACCAACCTTCTCTAGAATATCCTTTCCACTCCGTTTGCTACCAGGGTTAATCTCAAATACTTCAAAGCCGAGCTCCCTCGCTATAGCATAGACTGTAGCAGTCTTCCCACAGCCATGTGGGCCACTCAAAACAACCGCATTTGTTAACCGGGTGGGATCTTTCGATTCCATAGCAGCCGCATCGCCATTTCGAATCACGGTTTTCCTGACTGACGTCGCTCGACCAAGGTTTTCGAAGTCGTCCTCTGGGTCGGTTATTTCATCTAGGTCATTATCTTCTTCATCGCTGGAGACGATAAAATCGTCCTGCTTTTTGGGCTTCCTCTTCCTCTTGCCTACGTGTTCTCCTTTCGCAAGCCCATGAGCCCGTGTTGGACCACCAACGGCGCCAGTATCAACAGACTGGACAATAAGAGTTTGTAGCCAATTTCTCAGCATTACAGGCTCCTTACTGTGCTGAAGAACCTCTGAAGCACATCTTGGAGCATATTTCTGTATCCATGCTTGTGTTTCACATTTTCCCTGGTCAAAGGCGGAAAGCCTCGATTGAATTGTACCGTAGACATTCGCAATTGCTGGATGGACTCGTGTGCGGGTCGAGGTCGTCTTGCTACCATCTTCAGACGGAGATATACCATTCATGGTGTCGTGCGTTTCTAGCGGAGCCCGAAGTTCCTTCCTCACCCTCCGTTGCAAACTGCTGCCCCCCTCGTAGTGTTTGGATGGTATTCGAAGGCAACGTGGAATTGTCGGAAACTCATCTGGGTTGGTTTCTGCAATGGTTCTTGCCACTGCCTTAACATTCAAATTTTCGGACAACACAGATACTATTTGTTCCTTATCCGGAACGCTCACAGCTTGATACTTCGACTTTTTCTCGGTTGGTGCTGAAGCATGGATCATTCTTCCTGTACTCTGCACATGCTGAATTTCATGGTCAATACCACGAACATGTTGCATTCCTTTCCACGGCCACGCAGGTTCTACGGCACCAGGAAATTTTAAAATGCCGTTAGAACCGCCAAACGAAGCAAAAGTTGATTTTTTAGGGGGGCTCTTAGATCGATCGAAGGAAGCCATCCCTGTCCGTCCCGCAGGTTTTGCCCTCTTGGGGTTGGAGAGAACGGGGTTTGACCGCGCGTCCGGCTCTTCAATCTTGTCTTCGAGTTTCGCCTGCCTTTTCCCCCCAAAAAGTGGATGAAGGGGCTTCGATTGATTGACAGGTTTCTTCTCAGGCTCTTTCGGGACCGCGTCATTCGGCGTTGAATCTTCGATAGTGGTAGGCCTTGCATTTAGAATATTGTTTATTCTTACACCAAGGTGCGCCGTAAGAAAGTGCTCTCCGCCGTAAAATACTGTGACCATTCTCGATTTGCGAGCCTTTTTCGTTTTCTTGTTCTTGCTTTCAGGCGGGATACATTTTTGGGGGGGTGATCCAATCGTTCCAGTGCTCGGATTCCATTGCAGCATCTTCTTTAGCTTGTTACTCGCATTGCCAGTGCTACCCGTTTTGCTTTCCCGTGCAACGGAGCTGCCATTTATATTGTCGTGAGAATTGGACGTCTCGGTAGACTGGTTCTTCATAAGTTGTGGGTTTTCGGATGTGCTGTTCTGGTTCGAATCGGTAGGGTTTGAGTGAGCTGTAGGCGAAGTTTCTCGAAGGCTCCTGCGCTCTTTGTTCAATAGTTCTTGTTGAGGTTTAGGCCCCGTCAATTCGATTGAAATTGCGGTTGGCATCTGAACATCTTTCCCCGGTTCCTGGACTAAAGACGTGATTGACGATTTCTTGACCTTTGATTTCCGGCTCGCTTTCTCTTTCTTCGTCTGGTCACCATTCTGTCCAATAACCTCATGTACACTATTTGCTAGAGGACCTTGTACTTCAGGAGAGGCAGTCTTTCTCCTTTTCCTCCGGACTTGGTTGATATCCACCTCTAGCAGGTCTACTTGAGCAGGGCTCCCGTTCGTACCAGGCACCGCCGCGTGCGGTTTCTTGCCAATTACAGCATCAAGATGCGTCTTTTCAACAGAATGATTAGTCGTGGTGCCATCGTTGGAAGAATGGAGTAGATGAGTCCCGGGGGCGGGTGGGTTCTCTAATGCGTGCGACCGTTGCGGTTCTGGAGGGGTTAGAATGCCAATTCAGAGCAGGAAAGGGGTTTTTAGTACGAACTTGAGGCCTTTTTAAACAAGGGAAACACTTTCTTGCGGTCTTCGTTCATCTCCCCTAGTGTCATTGTCGCTAAAGCTGCCATTCGAATCGCTGAAAATATGCAAGTTCAAGTACTCGAAGTTCACGCGTCCTGAAATGCAATGTGGAACAACTTCATTTTTTTTGTAAATCAAAATCCAGAGCGATCAGAGCAGTTCGAAAGATTTTAATTCAACCTTGTATGTGCAGACGGACGTTCCAGGTGGCAGCGTGATTATGATATAATTAATGGGCAGAAAAGTCGCGACTAGGAGTTTCGATGATGTATGGGAGTCGCGTCGACCGCGATTAGCACTTTAACTTTTTCGGCCACCGTAGTTAGCGTGGCGTGCTCTGATCCCTGTCCCAAAAAATATTTGACGATACGCGATGGAAAAGTTTAGACCGCTGAGTTGCACGAATTCGAAGTCAATCGCAATACCTCCAGGCAACTCGGCGGCAAAGGATCCAATGCCGTCCAAATTCTCTTTGCAGAGACCTTATGTCGTAGCGACACTGCCGAAACCTCTTGATCATGACCATGGAGGTTATGTTATTGGAGAAGTGTTTGGCGGGGCACCTGGCTCAAAAAAGAGAAAAAGATCGGAACTAGTCGTTGGAATTGATGGTGAAGGTCTTAACATTTACGATGTATGACCCTATATCCGGATGCTGCAACTCTTCAAGTCCACTAACATTAGCCAGATATCCTCAACCAGGCTCATCACCTCCTATGCTCTCCCTCCGCAGTCGTCCTTTTCCTGCAGTCCAACCTCGTTTCGCAGTCGGCTGTCGAAAAGCAGAATCAGTCGACGAACGTACGCATCTACTAGTGGGACCGACGCTAGAATTACTGTATTCAAGGACGACAATGATGTATCGACAGGAACAACCTCTTCCAGCGCATCGCGCATCGTCACAGGCGCTGGAAATCCAATTGTTTTCAACGGTATTACCACGCCCCACCATGGGACAGATGCATCAACGGGTCTCAAAGAACTTATAGTAGTTAGAAAAAGCGGCGATATTGAATGTCTGGATGGCGACACTCTCGAAGAAAGATGGACCTCGCCTGCGTCCGCATTAGAGGGAACCATCGACGAGTTGGGCGGTCAACGGGTTGTCGAGTTTGCGGCTTTGACTAGCTCCTACTCTGTAGCTCAAGGGATATTCAAGGAGAGTCAGAAAATATCTACAGCTTTTCCCCAGGAAGTTTCTGAGGATGGCTATAATCCAGATGTTCTTGTGCTTGTATCACGACAGGATTCGCCGGGGTCTTCCTTCGTTAGGTGGATTCATATCGTCGCATTTCCACGTATATCATTAGGCCAGGCGATGGGCTCGAAACACTCGGTACATGTCTTGCTCTCGGCACAACTACCCGCAGGCAGTGCTCATCGCTCTGAAAAAACAGCGCACTTCGCTCTCCACGCACTTGGTGGCACTCTGCACCAACTGTACGAGAGTAAGTTGACCACCTTCACGCTGACTGAACTAGGAGCGAGGGTGCAATCAAACATGAATGTTCACGATTCTAATTCGTTCCTCCGACTGTCAAGCACATCTATTATGGTTTCTTCTCAGGCCAAATTGAATGTTTATAATCCCAAGTATCAATCCCTATTGTCGACAGTCGACTTGGCCATTCTCAACGAGAAGGAGACGCTTAAGCGTAAGCGCGAAACGGATTCTGAGGGCGAAAATGTCCCCTTAGGAAAGTCTTACCTCGCAAGCTACTTTCCCAAGCTTAGCATTGCTCTAGCACTCGTTGGCAACAATATTGTCGCAGTCCAGATTGAAGGGAACAAGGATCGTAAAGGTGGATCCAGCGCCACAGGACTACTGATTGACTCGCTGGGTTGTGCAATGCCTGGGCAGAAACGCGACACAGAAAAAAAGTTGAATGCAAAAATTTTGGACTCCGTCACAATAACCGGTCATTTCCCTGGGACTGTAAACGCCGATGGGCCGTCTATCAAGAGTGTTCGGAAACTCGAAGCAGCTGTGTCTGCTGGCGACGTGGAGCAATTTGACAAAATAATGGCGGAGAAGGGAGTGAGACCTATACTTGGATCTGATAAGAAGTTCTCGCAAGAATTGTCCAAACGGGCAATTATTGCCATTGATCGACGCTGGATTTTGTACTCCTTGAGAAAAATATTTCAGTGGAATCACTCAGCGAACGGGGGAGAACCTCGACTTTCCGTGTCCTTTTACGCTCCAACAACATTTCTCTGGCTCATTCAGAGTGGCCATATGACTATCTCAAACATTCGCGCAGCGTTTCAAGGTGATTCTGCGCTCTTTGATTGCGAGATCGACGCGAGCGATCTCGTCTCTGCCGTATATGATATCAATCCGGATATGGATTTGTTATTTGGCCTCGTTAGGCACAATCATCTGGATGCCATTGGATTGGTCGAAGTTGTTCGAATCTTAATTGAGAGCTTTGAGCTGTTAGGGGAGAAAAACGATGCCCGGCCAAGTTTGCTCACCAACGGAGAAGGTGCTCCTGATGACGATGAAGACATGGATGCTGAGATAGAAGAACTCGGGGCAGAAGCTGAGGAATTTCTGAATCTTGCAGAATACCACCTCGAAGCAGGATCTGGGGTCAGAGGTCAAGCTTTAAGTTTGTCGCTTTCTAAACTATATGCTTGTCCGACAAACTCTATCGTGAATGCTCTCCAAACCAGACTGTCGAGCCGGGAAATTGTTTGTCTGATCTACTTGCTCAGGTTCGATCTGCAAAAGGGAGGTTGGACTGCCAAGTATCTTGATACTGATCCTCAAGATGAGGCGACAGATGCTGCCGAAGTTCCAGATAATGCGATCATACTCATATCGACGTTACTGGGAAATTGTATCGATGCTATTGGGGCTGGTGGATGGTTGGCTGGTGATGCGATGTTGGTGCGTGGAGACGGCAGTTCAGATGCAGAAGATTTGATTTCAGCCCTTAAGCTTGAAGTTAGTGCTGCATTAGAGTCCATCGAGGAAGGAACATACTTGAAAGGTATAACATCTGAAATGGTGCGGTACGGAAATGCGGTTCAAATGGCTCTGAAAGAGCAACCTCATCACGAACCCTCCGCAAACAAGAAACGCAAACCTGTCACATTGAAGTTGATTGATCCAGAGCAGATGATTTTACCTGTCGGTCTAAAAGCAGAACAGCAAATTTCACGTCAAAGGGTTGGTGCCGGAGGAGAGATTCAGGCACGAACGGCTAGAGACATTGGGCACTTGAAGAGTCAGAAGGTCGGCAAATATACCTTTGAGCGGATTGTGATTTGATTTAGCGAGTTACAAAGCTTTACAATTAGTCAGTAGCATCTAGCTTTCTATACACCCGTATTTCCTCATAATTCTCCAGTTCTCTTCAAAGGTGGGGATACCTCTGGGACATAACGAGTATCACCAGCACGTGATTGCCTTATCTTTCCCATTTTTTTATAGCTTGACAAACCATATCACTACATCAATCTCTGTGGCATGAAGTATATGATGTGGATGTAGAAACGCAATCACGAAATCCTCTGACCTCCTCGGGTTTGTCCAAACGGTGTACAGGTGTAATCAACAGTACGCCGAGCGATTGATCTTCTGCTCCTTGATTGTCGACTGCCACAAGACCTACGCTAGTAGGTCGACAAATTTATACCTAGCTTTCTAGATACTGTTGCTAAACTTTGACGCTGCTAGATCTGCTTCAAATTCATATATCAGCGCCACTTCCATAAAAGCGTTGGATCCACAAGATGTCATCACATCCACTGGATCCATTGTCAGCAGCGGAAATTACCCACATCTCCTCGTCGATTAAGGAGAAATCACCAGGCAAATCCCTACACTTCAAAGTCATATCCATCAACGAACCACCGAAGCACCTTCTGAGAAAATACCTTATAGCTGAGAGAAATGGAGGTTCAACATCCCACTTACCACGTCTCGCCTCAGCCCTGTACTATCACCGCGGTACTTCGGATATGTTTCTTGTGACGATCAATTTATCAGAGAATTCTGTTGAGCAGATCAAACTTTTAGAATCCCATTTCCATGGACAAGCGGATGTAGATGAGATCTTGGAAATGAGAGACGCTTGCCTGAAGCACCCTCAGGTGATTGAAGCAATCAAAAAGTATCAGCTTCCGGATCATTTAAAGGTTGTTTGTGATACCTGGCCGTACGGAAGGGATTCTGAAGATCATCATCCACGTTATGTACAGGTACGTAAAATTTCATTTCATTCAGAAGCGTTCAGAAATCGTCGACATCCGTCTCCCAAAGCTTCCGACAGTCACTAACAGACGAAAGTGCTACCTCTTCGCTGAAGGAGAACACCCTGGCTCCAACCATTACGACATGCCACTACCTTTCTCGCCAGTACTTGATATGACGACGAAAGAGCTTGTTGACATCATTCGCCTCCCGACAGGACCCGGTTCAGAACTCAAGCATGATTCAGTTTATGTCCCTCACCCAGCTAGAGAATATCATCATGCGCTCCAATCGGGACCAGCTCGAACAGATCTCAAATCTCTCACAGTCCACCAACCTCAAGGTGTTTCATTCAGCGTGGATGGTTATCTCGTTCGTTGGCAAAAGTGGAGATTCAGACTAGGCTTTAATTGGAGAGAGGGAATGGTCTTGCACGATGTGACTTATGACGGCAGGGAACTGTTTCATCGATTGAGTTTGAGTGAGATGTTTGTCCCCTATGGTGATCCGAGGATGCCGTATTCGAGGAAGAGCGTTTTTGATGTGGGAGATATTGGTGCAGGGGTGGCTGCAAATAATTTGGCGCTGGGATGCGATTGTCTAGGTTCGATCAAGGTATGTTGACAGAATTCTAATTTTGATCTCTGCATTGCATCGTAGAAGACACGAATTCATACCCATGTATTCGTTCTTAGGCTAATAACTACCTAGTATTTCTCCTTCGTGGTCTCAAACTCTCAAGGACAACCAGTTGACAAGCCGAATGCCATATGTATGCATGAGATTGATGATGGCATTGGATGGAAACACACAAACACTCGAACTGGAGCCGTTTCTATTGTCAGGTCGCGTGTTTTGGTCCTACAAACGATCATAACTGTTGGAAACTACGAGTATATCTTCATGTGGCATTTGGATCAAGCAGCTGGGTTGCATTACAAGATACAAGCTACTGGTATTCTCTCGACAGCACCAATTGATCCCGGCGTCACAGTCCCTTTTGGCACGAATGTGAATGAGGGTGTTATGGCACCTTTCCATCAACACGTTTTCAGTCTCCGGATCGATCCGTGTATCGACGGCAGCAACAACTCTTTCGTTGAAGAAGATTCTGTCGCTATGCCCTGGGATGAGAGTAATCCGTATGGCGTTGGATATGTTACAAAAAGCCAACTTCTCTCGAAGTCAGGTTACTCGGACTCTGCTCCTAATCGTGTTCACAAGATAGTTAATCCATCAAGCATCAACAAAACTTCCGGCAAACCCGTCGCTTACGCAATCCACAGCCCCTCGAAACAAATGCTTCTCGCCCATCCAAATTCATGGCACGGCAAGCGAGCAAAATATGCATTTCACCCGTTTTGGGTGACAGCTCACAAGGACGATGAACTGTATGCTGCAGGCGATTACACTTACCAATCTCACCCTGACTTCACAAGCGACTTAGCAGCATGGACAGCCCGGGAAGACAACACAGAAGATACGGATATTGTCGTTTGGCACTCAATAAGTCTGACGCATAATCCTAGAACTGAGGATTATCCGGTAATGCCGTGCGATACGATGACCGTCAGTTTGAAGCCGAGCGGATTCTTTGAACAGAACCCTGCGCTTGATGTACCGCAGAGTACTCAGAAGGGAAATCAAAGTGTCTTGATTGAAGACAAATCGTTAAAAAATGTATTGGGGGGAGCAGAAAGTCGTGGTTCTGGCCGAGACTCGAAATTATGAATCGGGGCGAAACTCGAGGGGGAGGTCGCTTGGAGGTTCAACACGTGAGATATATTTCCTTTTTGCAACCAGATCCTACGTATATGTTGGCCGCTCTAGACTTTACATTGCTCGATTGTAAATTGTCATAATAACATAGAAGATTGAATTCAAATTCGTGCTGCGTCATGACTTGAACCAATGGCACACGTCATTTTAGTTCGAGTTTTCGCTGATCTTGGCGGTCAATTGGCATCAGTCATGTAAACTCCCAAACCTCATAGATTGCCGTGCTTGCCACAATTGGCACCTATAAAGTCTACAAAAGGACGAATAATAACTTGCTGACAGAGTAATGCTTGATTGCCAAGTGACGAGTTTAGACTTTCTGGGCTCGTGGAACTGTTAGGCTGTTAGCCAAATGACATTGAAGCTAATGAGACGGAGTAGCCGTGGGGTTCTCTTGTCAAAACCATCTCGTCTTTCTTCTTTCTTACTTCCTCAACTCCAACATAAAATCAACGTGCAAACGTCTCATCACTTTGCGACTTTCACACCAATACCAGCTAGATCAACTAGAACGCGCGAGAATAGCATATTTCCACCAGAGACGAGAACGAGAGAACAAGACATACAGAAAAACAAAATGTCACCAATAAAATTGAATGAGGGACCAGACTCGGTTCGAATGCTAGTGCTCGAAACCGACGAACCTCATCCAGACACCAAAGAGTCCAAAGGGAGTTTTGGCGATATTTTCAACAACCTCTTTACCGAAGCCGGGAAAGAACATGATCCTCCACTCGGAGTAGAGACAGACATGCATTATATAGTCGACGACCCAGAGAACGATCACCATGGTCACGTTCCTCATATTTCCGAGATTGGAAAAGACGTCACTGCCATCTTGATCACGGGAAGCATGTACGATGCACATGGCGACAATCCATGGATTCAAAAACTCATCGAACTACTCACGGCACTCTGGAAAGAACGCCCGGATATGAAATTCAGCGGTGTCTGCTTCGGCCACCAGATTCTGGCTCGGACACTCGGTGCAAAAGTCGAGCCTACGGAAGGAGGAGATTGGGAATTAGCTTACACTAAAATGGATCTCACGCCTCTTGGACAAAGACTATTCCGTACCGAGAATCGCAACCTCTCACTCCATCAAATGCATCAAGATCAAGTCACCACAGTGCCCTCACCCTCAACTACATCTCTATTGTCTTCCAAAGACGAAGTCGACGTCTGGGCCAGCAGCGACCACACCAAGATTCAAGGACTGTATATCCGGGAACGCCTGTTTACTAGTCAAGGACATCTGGGCTTTGATGAGAAGATGGTGCGTAGACAGATTGAGGCGAGGGTGGAGAGTGGTGGGATTAAGAGCGAGGATAGGGCGGCAGAGGCTAAGGAGACGGCGCATTTGAAGCATGATGGGAATGTGGTTGCCGGTGCGATTTTGAGGTTTTTTCATGGGGATGATCGGAAGATTGAGGAGAGGTGATTTTACTGGGAGCTTATTCTAATGAGCAAGACGTATTTAGGTGTTAAGATTGATGTCGAGGTATAAAATAGAAAGATCTTGAAAGAAATTTAGACCAAGACATTTGTATACAATAGAAAGTTAATTTAAGGGAGCCGCTAAAGCATTGTCGCGTTTTGGTTAATGTAAGTTCGTTACATGTCACTGAAAATTACCTTCTATGATCAACTATAGTAAAGTACCTTCACTCGACAGTACTCAAGACCCGAGATAGTAATTATCCATATCCCATATTAGGAATTTTTCGAGTAATCCTAAACGATATATGATTATATACGACCTGAACTTAGCTAGCATTACTGTGTAGTAGGTTCAAGGTAATTACATAGGGAATGTGCCATGTTGTTGCCCTGGAATACACAAGTGAGAAGAATATCTATGACAATAGTCTATCTCCTTCACTTGCTTATCGGCACAGAAAATGTGCAGGCGGGACAGCCGCCGATCATTAATTGTACAGGTTTAGCACAGGAATAAAACACATAAATTAAATAAGAAAGCACTGTTTCGGTTAGCTTTTCACATTTGTTTACCAAGCTATATCCTCAGAGTCTCCATTGGTAGGTACCCGCACCAATGAAGATATGCTTCATTGTGTACCAAAATATACCTAGTTACTGAAGGTAACCTTTTTCATACTGCGATATCTCGAGCCTCTTTCCCTCCTAAGTACCTCCCTATCGACACAGACCGGCTCGAATATCGCAGGTAACCAAGATATACTAGGAGAGTCAAAAGGTTGGTACCAATACTAGAATAAAAGTAAAAGATTTGGTACTATGAGCCAGGCCCTCTGGGAGGTACCAAGGTCTACCATTCCAAATGAGCATCACTGGTTGCGGTTCTCGTCAACAACATTTTATGCAATTCACAACAGGCTAAAGCAATCAGGAACACGGAGTCCAGTTAGCAGGCGGATGGGGGTAGATTTTGTTTGTTTAGACTCTGAACCGAACCGCTTTAAGTGGTATGTTATTATTAACCTTGGTTTGTCACTTCGGCATTTAAAGACTGTCATTCGTTCAACATTCAAAAGACTGGTTGTGAATTAGCAGCACCGTTTAGAAGTCCTTGCCCAAAGAGGGTAAAACGTTAAGTAAACGTGGTCTTGTGTAGCCACACCTTTTAAGCCCTAGCATAACTGTAGATTTTGTGCGTGAATTCGATCTGGCTGTGGTATAGGAATTAAAGATATCCAAAATAGGACATATTACCCACAAGTATTTCAGGCTGTATTTCACTGAGTCTTTTGACTTCCGCACAACACTGTTTCCAAATAACTTTTATCATATTTCTGGTTCTTAATTCAAAACTCTTCAACGCTCAAAACCGCAAAGCAGCTCTAACACTCGGATGGTAAGTGAGTGACAGCCTCTCTTCGTAACAGACAATCTTGTAGCGGTAGCTAATACCTCATCCAATACAGCATCAACTCAGGCTCAATACTCCAGAACGCCTTGTGGTCTGGCCGGAAATCGTTCACTCATATCTATGGAAACACCAGAGTTTTGATCTCGAAAATCGGAACCATATATGCTGCCAATTCAATCATTTCTTCTCATTTTCTTCAGTTTCATCAGATCCAGGTATTCCTAGTTGATTCCCCTATATTAAGGGAGAAACATGTTCCAGTATATCACAAGTATCTGAGAACTCTCTTTTCGTATCCAACAACAACTTCTCCCTCACTGCTAAATAGCGGTTTCCTCACATGACCAAAGCACCTTCCGTTACTACACTCATCTAATCCCTGATTTAAATCAATCACTCACTCACTCAGATCCATTGAAGCATCAGTTTCATCCCCATCCCCATCCTCAGCTTCGTCCGAATCCATATCGTCCAACCACCCTTTCACATCGTCGTCATCGTCCATATAAATTAGGTCGTCGTCGTTCATCTCCCAATTCATGCCCAAACTAATGCCTTCAGCCGCTAGAGATGCCTGGTTGTTGGCGTCCAAATTTCTGATGAATTCTTCATCTTCATCATTGTTACCATCGTCTGATGGTGTTTCAACATCAGAGGAGTGATTGGCTGCTGATTCGGCAAGAAGCTTCGTTTGTTCGGCCAAGTCGTCGAGGGAATATGAGTCAATCATCAAGTGTTGATTGCCCATGGAGCCTATGATGGTGTCAATTGGTCGGAATGTATACGAATTTTCTGGGCGTTGAAATGGGGACTATTTATCGTTAGCATGAATTAGACATGTTGATAGATTAAAGAGTTTCTCACGTACAGTGATGTCGAGTACAATCCCACGTTGCTTCCAGGCCCTCTTAGCTTGCTCCTCCCACCAAGTCTGAGCATTCCAGCTTCCACCATTTCCACGTGGTGTACCATCCTTGTAGTACTTGAGTCTTTTGTAATGTTGGGGTACTTTGCGTTCTTTGCGTTTTCTGCCGTCTTTACGATGTGGGCGTGCGTAAATCTATACACAAGTCAGTCAAAATCAACACCGCCCTTGGAATAATATACCATATCGCATGCTACACTGAACATTAGTTCTATTGTCCTGGCCTTCAATGAAGTTTGACCTGGTTTGTCAGGTTGCCATGCCCCTTCTCTTACTGCAAGTTTGTTGCATTCCAAGTGGAAGGCGTGTTCCATTGCTGGTCGTCCCACTGGCATTGCGTTCGAGTGCTGCATATCCCCGCAAAATCCTTTGTAGCCCTTCACTTTCATCATCCAGTTGAACCCTTTCCTGTAATAAACAACGGTGAGCTTGCTCCCGTGGAGTTTGTTGAGGTCTTCCATCCGGATGGCCATCTTGACGCTGGGTTTGGAACCACGCCGTGACCTGAATATTTTCTTGTGGTGTTTAGATCGAGATTTTGAAAATTCGAAAGTGAGGCCATCAGGTATGAGCGAAGTTCACTGCGGCACATTGGTTTCCCGTGCAAGTCATCTCACAATTCACCACAACAATTGCATTTACCGGCAAAGTCTCGGCGCGAAACGACGATTGAGTCATTTATAAACCATATTGAAGCAAAATTGTTAACCCAATCAGGAACTCCCTCGGGAGTCCTGATTGAAGGGCTGGTAAAAAAGCTTTGCCTAGCATGGGCGATCTTATGGTCGTTACCACGTTGGAAAACGACAAACCTTCGGGTACAGTCGTGGAATCGCTTTTCAGCTACTAGTAGGTGTTTCCCACCCCCGCCTTCGAGCAAGTCTCAGGTAAATTACAACATGTTGTAGTTGCAATTAACTTCTCCGGAAGACAGCCAGAAGCTGTACATTGAGGGGATGCGTCGGAGGAGAATTTCTTTTTGGAATCTTTTTCTTGCTAAAGATTTTGTAACTCTGTATTCTTATTTTTCAATTTTTGGTCAGTTGATCTGTTTTAAATTGCAACTGACAGAGCATATAACGATCTACAAAGCCTTTTGTACGTTGTCAATTTGGGTCGTCTTCGTCGTCGTCAAATGTGGGGCACGGCTAAGCGAGTATCTCCTGATTTTGCGCGAAGTTGGGTCAGAATCTCAACCAGCGAATTGCAATAAAATATCGTTGATCATAAATTGAAGCTTCGTTCAGAAAGTTGATATTTTCATGGCGAGATCGACTCAAATTACACGGCTGAAAAATTTCCCGTCGGGCAACATGAGGTGAATCTCAGACTCGCTGTGAATGACTAGGCTCAAGACGCATCTAAAAGTATTCGGAAGCTCACCTTCTTCAAAACCTTCGCAAATTTCGCTCAATCCAGAACCGCACTTTTGAGATGTCTTCCACCAACATCTTGCCAGACCAAGTGCAGGAAGTGCTTGGTAACCTCGGTCAACTACCAGAATATCGCAACACTACTTTCCTACAAATCACAGAAAAGGTCACATTTCCGCAATTTCTTCGCGACCTGAGCAGAGCGAATGGCAATCAGTTTATTAGCCGTCCTATTGCAGAAGAATCATGGGCTTCGGCTTGCAGAACGTTAGCGGATACTGCTTTTGGCGTTTCAAAAGACGTCACATCGACTGGTCCTAAGGACCTTGTCTTGTTCGAGGCTTTTTCCCAGGTAAGATGACCCTTAAACTCGTGATTTTTGACATGACTTGCTGACTGATAACGTAGGTTGAGAGCTGTCCGAACTGGAAGGCGGAATCATTTTGGGCAGCCGCATCTGAGCAGGCAAAACTCCAAGGAGTGAACCTAGATATTTCCGTATGCGTCCCTTTGTCTCCCACTGAATACCACTAAGTTTTCTTCTCTAGCCGTCACTTGACCCGGAAAGAGCTTTCAAGCCACAAAATAAACTGCTGCAGAAAAATGTGACTACGGATATGCTGAACGAACAGACTCAATTATTGAGTATTTCTACGGCTCGACAGGATAAGCAGGACATGACTGTTGCAACGGCTACGATGAAGCTGGATGGTGAGAAGATGGATGTTGAAATGGGTGGGAATACCGCGGCTCCTGCTCTTCCTACTGCTCGTAGAGTTATGGATGTCGACGAAGATTACTCGGAATTCGATATTGAATAACATGTGAAAAAGAATTACAAGAGCTCTGGGTCGATATAGCAGGTAGTCTTGAGTTACAATTGTTTTCGGCTGGGCGTTTCGAGGTGCTGGATATACAAGTGTGGCTTTAATCGTATCATAGACATAGGAGACCAATCGAAATGATATCGCTAGGGGCCAGACTTTGTGTCCGACATAGTTGCATTCGCATTCGAGGTTGGATTTCAATGAGTGATTTGGGCTGCATAGAAAGTTTAACACCCTTTATTAGAGGTGAATACCGAGACTTGTTGTAGCTGGTGGAATAGGAATAAGGAACTACTTTAGGACTCAACCGGACTCAAACCCGATTAATGCGCCTCAAGATCTCGGAGTGACTCAAATCGTTGCGCAACTCAGCCCAGCTCGGAAAATTTGACTTCATGGGTAGTTTGGATAATTAAAGGGACTCCTAAGCACATCCTATTATGGGGATGGATAAATTTTATTTTTATGACAAACACCCGTTCAACCCGCCGCAAGAGCGACTCCCTCCATTCTTCGACGAAGGGTAGAACTTTCCTCTTCCTCGACATCTATCTCTATTTCCATTTTAGGCCTGTTCTTATTCAGACCTTCTAGGAGGGTGCAAGCCTTGCAAATTTCCTGACTTGACATGTAGCCGCATGTTTTACAGGTCCCTAGAGTCTGCCCCACCAGCTTCTTGCTGGATTCTATTCTCACGGGCTTGATAGGGCCCGTCTTCTTGATTAAACGGTCATGGTTTTGCCCACTGGCTATTGGGTTTGACATATCGATCTCTCTTGATGATGCGGTTTCGTCTTGCTGTAGCTTTTTCTCCATCGCAGCCATCTCGCCACCACTACTTCGACCGTTCGCACTTCCACAGCCACCAGCGCCTTCATCTTCGCCATCAGCACTTGATAACGAGACTTTCTGGCTCTTGCATTGACTGATTCCGGTAACCTCCTCTGGCACCAACTTTGCCATGTCTTCACCACTTCTGACCACATCCAGAATTGCGCTTGGCCGTACTCTCTCCAGATTCTTGATCAAACTCCTAGCACTTCCTCGAAAAGCTTCTGGACTATATAAACATTCGGTAGTGAAATAATCTAGCTTCTTGTGATGAGCATAGAGAACAATCTCCTTCTCGTAAGCGTATTTCAGTGGCTTGCTCCTTCGAACGTCGCTGGTGGCGTCTCCAGTGACGATGCTGGTACTTCGTGCAAGTCGAGGAAGATCGCCTCTTAGCAGATTCATCAATATGGTCTCTGCAACGTCGTCTGCGTTATGTCCTGTAACAACATGCTTGATGCCTAGCATTTTCGCCCCTCGATCCAGCGCTTGCCGTCGAAAGACCCCGCAATATGTACAATTTCCCTTTTTACCAATAACTTCGACCACTTGATCCATAGTCCATCCATAAAGCTCATCATATCCAACTATTTTCAGTGGCATATCATATTGCACAGCGTTGCGCTTGACTGTTTCAAGAGAGTCATCTCGGTACCCTTTGATTCCCTCGTCTATGCTCAGCAGAACCAACTCCAACCCATAGTTATGTCTCTCATTAAGTGTCTTCAAGACAGATGCGAGCACAGTTGAATCCTTTCCCCCCGATGCGCCGATTGCTATCTTATCTCCCGGAGAAAATAGCGATGTTGTAATGATGGTATGATGGATTTCGGCTTCGAAGACGGCAATAAAACATTCCTTGCAAAGCTTTTGGTGGTTCTTGGGTCGTATTATGAGCGCTCGAGAAGTTTTACAGTTGGCGCACAATGCTGGTGCCATGTTCCTCTACCAGAGTCCAGAATTCAAGAACTCTTCTTCGGGTTTGTTTTGTGAAGTTTGTCGCATGTCCCATACTGAGTGGCACGCTGGGTGGAGTCACTTGGAATAATTTCTGGCGGGGCAAAGCAGGGGCCAGCTGTCCCCACCTTTCTAACAAGTATCATTGGATACCCTAGCGAGTGAGCGCCAAGATTTTATCCTCCTCTTCCCACAATCTGAATGTCGAAATTATTTTCTTCCTTCATCGCCAAACAACATTTCGACAACCGCTGCATCAACACCCAGCGTCTCGATCATCATGGTAAGCTTTTGACAATCTATTTATGAAGTGATTCGAAACTCGCCACACGATCTCCGACCTCTACGAGCAATCGCACGTCGAGATGCGCATTCCATCAAAACTTACCTTTTTGGTGTTGACCTTTTGGTCTTGATGATGAATTGGCTTGAGCTACATCTGTGCAGCAATGCCAGTGTAGTCTCTTTAGAGTTCAGAGGAGATTATTAGTGAACATATTCGCTGATGTCTTCTTTTCTCAATGATAGCCTCCAAAGTCCGGAAAGAAGGCTGCCCCAGCCCCATTCCCCCAGTCGAAAGCTGGTGCGGGATCCAAGAAGGCCCCAAAGGTATGTACACTAGTGAGATTTTGATTCTAGATACTTACTTTGGTTAGAACCCTCTCATTGAGAAGCGCACACGCAACTATGGCATCGGTCAAGACATCCAGCCACGACGAAACCTGTCCCGCATGGTGAAGTGGCCCGAGTATGTCCGTCTACAACGCCAAAAGAAGATCTTGAACCTCCGTCTCAAGGTCCCACCTGCGATTGCCCAGTTCCAGAATGTCCTCGACCGCAACACCGCCGCCCAGGCCTTCAAACTTCTCAACAAATACCGTCCAGAAAGCAAGGCTGAGAAGAAGGAGCGTCTCGTCAAGGAGGCCACCGCCATCAAGGAGGGAAAGAAGAAGGAGGATGTTTCCAAGAAGCCATACGCCGTCAAGTACGGTCTCAACCACGTTGTCGGTCTCATCGAGAACAAGAAGGCTGCTTTGGTTCTGATTCCAAATGACGTCGACCCAATTGAGTTGGTTATCTTCCTCCCAGCTCTCTGCAAGAAGATGGGTGTTCCATATGCCATTATCAAGGGTAAGGCTAGACTCGGCACGGTCGTTCACAAGAAGACTGCTGCTGTTCTTGCTCTTTCAGAGGTCCGATCTGAGGACAAGAGCGAACTTTCAAAATTGGTTTCCGCCATCAAGGACGGTTACACCGACAAGTACGAGGAGGCCAAGAGACACTGGGGTGGTGGTATTATGGGTGCTAAGGCCAACGCCCGTACTGAGAAGAAGCGCAAGGCCATTGAGAGTGCTATCAAGATCTAGAGGGTTTTCTTGATGTTCTTTACGGCGTTTTTTTATGATATCATGGCACTGCATGGGGAAGCTGTAGCTTAGGTTATGGAAGCGAAATTCAAGACCAATGATATTATAAATCTTGGCATCATGATCAACTGTCTTTCGATACATGTGACCTCGATGCCGCAGATGATTTTAAGCGATGAATTGTAACCCGTACATAGATCAGTGCTACTCCGCCCATACAGATTCATGTCTTGAGGCGCACAAGGTAAGTGACAGTACCTATGTGGCTCACCTAGAGTAGTACTTAACACAGTATCTAGAACAGACGTCGTCAAGAAAAACCACTTAAGTACTTTGCTACATTGTCCTTCAGATCCGGCCAAGAATTCATAAGCATGCGCCGAGACAACATTCATATTCCGAAGCAATTTGCCGCTCTGGCTTGAGGGAAATACTCTGGGCTGAGGATCACGCTGGCAGTTGACAAGAAATGCGAGAATTGACTTGGCCGCAGAATCTCATTAGAACAATCAACGGGATATTTTGCACTTGTGTACTCCAACTGAGCCTCGACAACTACCGATAGCAGCCGTGTGTCTTACTCCATAGATGAAGTTACATAGGCATCTATGTTCTAGCAGGACAGGAGAGAGATGTTCGTACCGGCTAGAGTTCCTCTTGTCTAAGGCGAAGCCGCGATATATCACCGACTCAAATTGCTCTACAACGGAAAACAATTGTGTTCTACATTCGCGGTTCCATATCGCCTCTTGCAGTCGGATACGCCATTTGGCCATTCGTCTCGCAGACATAGGATCAGAGAGTGTGTTGACCAACTTGGCGATATTATAATTCTTCCACAAGGAACCACCACACGGAACTTCAAAGGACAGATAGGTCGCACTCAAAAGTGCTTATGCGGCGAATTGGCAGGTTGTAATTGTATCCTCGGATGAATCACGATCCTAAAGGAGCCAAGTAGCTCTAGGAGTAGATCTCATCCCCGGAAGTGTTCGTCCATATTATTGCACGGCAGACGTTTGGAAGCATTTCGCGTTTTACAACCCCAGCCGTCTCCGTCTTGTGCCTTCGATCATGTCACAGCTCAAACAGATCCCCATCCTGCACGGGACTCGCTTGCTCCAAATATTTCAATATTTATCTTTCGAATCCCCTACGACTTTTTGCATCAGCTCACTTTTCAAAAAGCGTCATTATCGTACGTGCATCCTCGAAATATTCTTCTTCACTCGCATTTCACGGCCGTCTCACCCACGCAACACAACATCCGCATATTGTGCATCTCTGGGCACGTACCACCCCATATTTACCAATTGACGCTTGTCATTGGCTCTCACCCATCGTTATCCGCAATCAATTCTCAACGACCCCGAGGACCCCGCCGGAGAAGTGACGAAAGACGCTAAGAAAGTTATTTACCACCAACATTTCCTTTCGCCAACACATTAATTCTCGCCAACTTCGTCTGACCTATTCTTATTCTTTTCTTTCTCACATTCTTGTACTCATTCCCTAAGGTATCCTTCTGCGATCAGATTACCTTCGACCATGGCTCCTCCCGCTGGTGAGTCAATACCATTTCTTCATTTCCCGATTGTCACGGAACCCCGCGAGTCTAGGCGACGGGCGTTCCCTGCATATCCCCAGACTCGATTCCAACACGCTCAGTCAATATCTTGAATATGGCAACTGACTTGAGACCAGATAAGTTTAAATATGCGCTCAAGTCCAACGACGCCTGGGCCAGTTATAAAGGACACCAAAACGAGTCTTTCTTCCCAACCCTCGCCAAGGGACAAGCACCCGAGATCTGTAAGTTCTACTTCCCGCATAATACTACTCCACACAAACACAGTCTCTGACTCTAAGTAGTGTGGCTTGGTTGCAGTGATTCCCGTTGTCCTGAAACTACGCTTCTCGGTCTCCAGCCAGGGGATGTCTTCACCCACCGAAATATCGCGAACATCCTATCCCCGACCGACCTAAACTTCCTCTCCGTCCTCGAATATGCGGTAGTACACATCAAGGTCAAGCACATTGTTCTTTGTGGTCACACCTCCTGCGGTGGATGTGTCGGCGCACTGTCTGATTCTCGAATCGGTGGTGTCCTCGACGCATGGTTGACACCTCTCAAAGCAGTCCGCGCAGCAAACCAGAAAGAACTAAGCGCAATCCAAGATGATGGAGAACGCATTAAGAGACTGGCAGAACTCAATGTCAAACAAGGAGTCGATGTCCTCATGGCCAACTATGTTGTCCGCGAAGCGATTGAGAAGCGAGGTCTCGATGTCCATGGAGTCCTCTTCAACATTGGGTCCGGAAAGATTCAAGATCTTGGACTTGGCACCGACGGAGAACTTACCCAATCGAAAGATGGCAAGATTTCCCTGACTGATGGAACAGAAGGTCAAGGTAAGCGAGAGTCTGCGTCTGCGCCTGTACCTGAATTTGAAATTGTTCGCGGCAATCATGCCATGCTTGTATTCAACAACGACGATACAGCGGTACTGACAGTGCGTTGAGATTCGCAAACGACCACTTCGGCCACACCAGCCACGGCGGAGGTCACATCTTAACTTCGCCCGAAGAGCTCTACTTGATTTTAGATATGGAGTTCGGGTATATATATTGGGATTCGAGAAATAGGTGTCGGAGTTGGGCATACAGATGCTCGGGAAATGAGATGACACATAGAGTGTAGATAGCTCAGCGTGTTGCTTTGAGCTAGGCGTTTTAAGGACATGGAATAAGGGAGGGAGAAGCTTGGAGGACTACGATCAAACCTAGTCACCCTACAATGGAACAATTATCAACATACAACCTCAAATTTTCCTCGGCTACATGTACCTTCTCATCGCCTAATAGCCCGCTCTGACCTTAGGTCTATATCCCTCCTCCAGATACTTAATCTCCTCCTCAGTCAACCCACCCTCCTTAACCCATTTCACAGCAGCAACAGCAGAATCAATCCTGTCCGTACTACTTAATCCGACGATTGGGTTCACACCTTTCTTACTCAGACACCATGCCGTAGCGATGGTTGTCATTGAAACCCCGCGTTTCTTAGACAACTCTTCCACACGGTCAACGATCGTATGATCGGTTTCGGTTTCTGTCTTGCGTATGAGATTGCTTCACTCAGTTAGCAGGAAAAAACATGTGTGAATGGGGAGAGAGACGAACCTCATAAAATTGTCAGACTTCTCACGAAGCGTATCACGATTATTAAACGGTCTCGCAAGCGCTCCCCGCGCAATTGGACTCCAAGGAATAAGTCCAACCCCCGAATCATTACAATAAGGAATCATCTCATTCTCTGTCACTTCATTAGCCTCTCTTTCTCCGTTTCTTCCACTTTCCTCCCTTTTAGGGAGTATCATACCTTCCTCCCGATACAACAAATTATAATAATTCTGCATCGAGATAAACTTATGCCACCCTTTCCTATCCGCAATATTCTGCAGCGTCTGGAACTCCCACGCTGCCATCGAGCTCGCGCCGATATACCGCACTTTCCCGCTCTCAACCACGTCGTTGAGAGCACGCATGATTTCTTCGCGGTTGGTTTCCCGGTCGAGACGGTGGATTTGGAGGACGTCTATGTATCTATCCAATCCCCTCATTAGCCCTCCCTTTCCACCCTTAACCACAAAACAAAGTAACGATTTGAACTTACGTCCCCAATCGTTCTACACTAGCATCCACAGCATCCAAAATATGTTTCCGGGACAAGCCAACTCGGTTTACCATTTCCCCATCGTTGCTGCTGATGGCGGAGATGGCAGGCTGCGAGCCGTCGTCTGCGACACCGAAATAGCATTTGCTGAGCAGCACGATGCGGTTCCGGGGGATGGAGTACTGCTTGAGGGCTTTGGCTATGATGCGCTCGGATTCGCCGTGGGAGTAGACGTCTGCGGTGTCCCAGGTGTTGAGACCGACCTGGATGGTTTGTTAATGAGACGTTCTTTTTTGGGATTAAAAGTTTGTCTAGATATATTGAGAGGAGATAAATGTGATGGATTGGGAGGATATACATCATATGCATGTTTCAATAAAGGAAGAGCTGCTTCTTCGTCCAGCACCCAGTCTTGCCATTTCGAGGACCCGAAGGACATGCATCCGAAGATGACTTTTGAGATCTTAAGACCGGAGGAGCCGAGGTTTGTGTACTCCATTTTGAAATATGTAGGATCAATTGCAATTGGGAAAGGAAGAAGGTTCAATATGAATTTTATAGCTTCCGTGGAGAGGACTTCGGATGCAAGTAGGCGATGAAATCACTTGAGCTTTTATTTTTGACTAGGAGCTTGGGATCTTCGGGACTTTAAGTACTAGTGAAATATGTTATTGATTAGCTACCTAGCTGGTGTAGGGAATATAGCTGCAAGCTCTGTATGGAAATCGGAGACAACATGGAGCTTTAGGTGGGTAAACTCCTATATCCGAAAAGGAGGGGGAGCTTCCCCGCTGACGTCGTGATAAAAGTAGGTACTAAGGAGAAAACCTATGGCCGTCTTCATGTTTTGACTTACCGGCATTTGATGCGGCTGCTATATGTACCATGCTCTCAAAGACAGAATAAAATACAATTTCGAAACATTGTGCAAACTATGATGGCTTGTGAGTTAGAAATAGACTGTATGTTAAAGTAGGTATTGGTTAATTTGATATTGCAGCTTCGACTGCGGCATTACGAGCACGTTACTTCTCAAGTATCGTAGTCAGTAATAAAAATGAAACTATCGCGAATACATCCGCTTGAAGAAAATATTATGTATCTCGCAATGGCGATAGATGCTGACTCCTTTTCATACATGCCAATGTTGTCAACCCCTGTCATTCTGCCCACGATTGCGGGAAAATTGAGGGGCAGAAGGGATAACAAACTCCACGTCCGTCACGACCTTAACGACATATCACGACTTTCCTCTGCAGTTCATTGTACGGTAATGGAATACTTTGCTTTTGCAATTTCGAGCTGAGCTTAGACATCTCCAAGAACGACTCCTTGTACGAAAAGAAAGCTGCCAAACAACTTACCCCGCCAAGATGCCTCTCACGATATTAAGGGACGCAGATGTCAGGATCTTGCTCAGCAAGCTTACGAGGGATGATGTAGAGTATTTGCAGAACTCTTTGAGTAGAGCGCTGCATGAATACTCGACGGGGACCAGTATGGAGGGGTGTTCGTCAGGTAACCAGCCTGAGCGGACGGTGATTGAATCGCATAAGGGGAATACCACGTTGTTTATGCCATCTACGAGTTCGAGCGGTATTGGCATGAAAGGTAGTTTGTTACAAGTTTCTGAAGAAGATATCATTTTAACATTCCACAGTTGTCACTCTCGCAGCGTCTAGGTCAGGAGAGGCCGGTCCTCCAAGCCCTTCGTTTCTCGAGAAGCCCGCACCCCTTACCACCCCTCAAGGTGCCCTCTCGTTAATGGATACCGAAGGCAAACCTTTTGGATATCTCAACGCAGAAGAACTCACAGCTTTTCGAACCGCCCTCGCATCATCTCTTCTCCTCGTCCGCCGCCGAAAAGTAAAAACAGTCCTCGTATTTGGTGTTGGGAAACAGGCATATTGGCACATCAGACTCTCCCTGATGCTTTTCGGAACCACAATAAAACACGTCCAATTCGTAAACCGGTCATTCGGTGAGAGGGCAAAAGAATGCATGAAGACATTTGTGCAATTTGATCCAGTCGCGAAAGAGAAGGAAGGGTGGACGGGGACTACTTTCGGGATCTTTACTCCTGGTTATGGGGAATATGAGAGGTTATTGAAAGACCAGATTCGGCAGGCGGATGTCATATATACTACAACGCCTTCTACCGAACCACTTTTTGACCATACATATCTTACAAATACAGAGGGAAGGAAGAAGGGAAGGTTGATTGTGGCGATTGGGAGTTATAAGAAGACCATGATTGAGTTGCCTCACGAATTAGTCCATCAAGCAGTCAAAAGACATGGTACAGGTCACCATTTCCATAAACATGCTGAAGAAGGAGGAGCTGTCATCGTTGATACTCTGGCATGTGTTTCGCAAACCGGAGAACTGACACAAGCGCACATCCACGAAACGCAGACCGTTGAGCTTGGAGAACTTGTGTTATTAGAAAGTCTAGCGTCAGATGACTCCAGCAGTGCCATCTCTGACAGTCCTTCGCGGAGAGGTTCCATGGATGTATCAATCGAATCTCTGAATCTCGGAGACAACACACCTTCAATGGCCCAGGTATTCCGCGAACCAGCTTCACTACCCCACACCGATTCCACGGCCTCGGCATCTACCATGAGCTCTACCACATCCGGCCGCTCACCGCGCTCCTCAATGTCATTATCCCGTAAAGGCTCCATGTCAAATCCATTCCACAAACGCTCCGACAGCGCGTCAACAGCTACAGCTTCAACGCCTAGTAGTTCAATCTTCCACAAGCGATCGGGGAGTATGAGTAGTTCGACAAAAAAGAAACCTAGAAAACAGACGGAGAAGGAGAATGAGATGTGTAGGTGGCTGCGGAATGGGAATGTGATTTATAAGAGTGTGGGGATGGGATTGATGGATTTGGTTGTTGGGTCGGATCTTGTCACGTTGGCGAGGTCGAATGGTGTTGGTGTTACGGTGGAGGATTTTTAAGGGGCAAGGGATCAGCATTTGGGGTATTGGGTTTGGAGATTAGATGAGAGGGTGATACCATAGAGTTATGATATTTAATAATACCATGTTTAGTGATATATGAGTTTTGGGAAGTGAAATCAGACAGTCTAATTCAGCAATGAAGCTAAAGACACTGCGTACTGTCTAACCAATGTATGGATTCAAACTGTCTGCAAGGCATGTTTAGTCTCTTATTTTGGGAAATTTCGACGGTGAAAGATCAGGCAGTCGTATCATGTAAACCGCCTGTAATAATGTCTATGGCTCGTCGTGGTCGTCGTGGTGCTAAATAGTCTTGATTAACGAGGTGGCATCCGCTCCAATAGATATGTCCTTCTTAGAACAAAGAAAAACATCATCTCATGAATCGTCCACCACAACACAGATCAGCACTGCCTAGCATCTTGTGTAAAACATTTCGACGGTCACATATTTCCAACCATTTTTTTCATGAAATTGATGGCTGTGATTCACGACTTGCCAGAACTGTGAATCATGGACTTTGACCAACGTCTACATAAACCTCGTCCTCCTAACGGTTTCTGAAAACCGTTCTTCTCTCCTACATCTATTTCCGGTCTTGATCATCACCAGTGACCCAAATAAAATCCGTCGTGCTATACCCAAAGTTAGCAGACATCTATAAAACCAAGATACCGATTTCAGAATGTCTGCACATCAAATATCTCAGGAACTGCACATGTACAATACTTGCGTTGCTCTGCTGGTTCAAACTGTATACTTCGTTAATGACGGTTATTAATAGCGAGACCTCCATCGCCGCTGTCGCTATAACTGAGTCTTGGAATGCGAGTCTCGCTGCCCAGAAAGATAAACTGAAGAGAATCTCGCTGAGATATTATGATGACGTTGCGCAAAATCATCAAATAGACTCGGTTTTTATCGCTGAGTTTTGGGGACGTTTATCTGCTACTACAAACCTAGGGCCGAATTCAGAGAGGTCGGCGTAGCTCGTTGGTTTTGACTTACCACCTGCTAATAGTGCTAGCACTACATTCTCGACACTACAAAACATAGAAGTCGTATCTGAGATACTGTCCTCCCGAATAAAAGAGATCCGTAGATACAACATTCCTGTTCGGCGTCCTGAAATGTGCCATCACCGTAAGTCCGCCATTAAATCCTAACACAACAACTTACAGACCCCAAAGCTTTCCCTACAAACCCCGAAATCACTCGATCGTTTCACGTATATCTTGAACAATTTCAATCCAAGTCTAGAGATTCTGGCAGATACATATAAGATGCTCGCATCTACGGATTCGAGGAGGTTATGTAAAACGATCCTCGTGGTGTTTGCGGCGGTGATGAAGGTTTGTGTTGATGCTGTTGGGTGCGGGAAGGATAGACCGAGGGGTGAGTAATTAAATCCCAGGTGATGAAGCGAAGTTGCTGGTATTGATATAGACATAGAGGGTTTATCCAAGGAGTGGTCGAATCAGACTCAGAATATTTTGGCTAAGATGCGAGAGAGTGTGTTACAGCTTTGTGTGATCGTGCTTGTTGAGAGGAAATGCGAGTGTGGGTATGCAGAAAAGGTTGCGAAGTCACTTCAGCGGAGCTCTTAAACAGTCGAGCTTTTTTGAGTGGTTGCTGAGAGTCTAGGAAGGGTGTTTGGGAGTTTCAGAGGGAAATGGGGATTTGTACAGTGGAGTTATTGGGGTCTGTACTATTATCATGGAATGTTGTACTCGTTGGTTTTAGACGACAATCATGTCAATTTTGGATGGAAACTCGGACAATGGAGTTATGGGTGTTTGTACAATCGATTTATTCTAGAATGTCATACACGTTGGTTTGTAATCAGGTATTGTGTCGATTTGATGAGAAAATGAAATATACTTCCACCATTTTTGTAGTAAATGGCACACCAAAAACGTTTTAGTCTGAAATTTTACCACGATTCATTTCATTATATTGCTCGGAAGATGTATTATAGAAATGGGTTCGACTTGTGTAGCGAAGTTGGGGTACAATTTCTCTGCAATTGAATAAACAGATGCTCTACCGCTCGCTACTTCTAGAGCAATACTGTTCAGTGACATTTCATCGCTTTTATCTTTGTGACTTTTGAGATTACATTTCCTGTTCTAGAGCGGAGTAATGGCATAATCGAATTGGCGAGCTGGCTGTCGGCAAACTTGGGAATTCGAGCGTCGAGAAAGTCTAGATACCAAGAAGAATATACGGTGGAGGGTGCGTCTCTATCTAGAGATTGATTCGTAATGATGTTCAAAAGTCCACGATTGTGACTTTGGTGACTGGGTAGCACATCTTCAAACCCCCAAGTCAATAAGAAACTTCTTCGTCGATCACGAATGAAACGGAGATTTCAAGGAACCTCGTCCATTTGAATTTACACCCTCGGATGTCTCGTGGTCTTTAGACTATGAAGTGTTGCATTAATCAGGTTCCTGTGTAAGTGGAATACAACCTACTATAATCTCAGTTCTTCAGTGTTCTATCCGAAGGTCTTATGGACAGGGTCAAATTGATTCAAGTCGCAACATTTAGTCTCCATGTCAAGTTCCTCCAAGACACTGGATACCTGTCATGATTGTTTTGTTTGGTTTGAGGAATCGAGAAGTTGGAGGAATTCGTGTTTTCGACAAACCTCCACCAGAGTGTACTTGGTGACTCGACATTAGCTTCGTGCACCAATTTAAGGACAAGGAACTTTTACCTAAATAAAGGTGTACAGCGGATATCATGAAGAGAGCGACTAAGGTAATATAACCCGGTATGTCTTCAAGTATTCTCTGCGTTCCAGTGTGTGCAACAACTTTTGTTACCGGGGTAAGGAATGCTAGAGATGAAAAATACAATCTCTCAAGTTGTTCTCTGAAAGATGTAATGTTTTCAGCCTTTAACTTTGGAGCTCCTCGGGTTTTCGAGTATGAGAACAGAAGGGAGTTTGCTCCATTCGGCTTGCTGCCGACGAATAATGCAGTCGAATCTGATGTTACCCGGCAGACTATCACACGACCTTCTAATGACAAAATCCTTACCGGCAATGGAAAAGACTTTTGTTCTTTCTATTGAATCAGCACTAAAGCTGTAGAGCTATTATAGTGTATTGATATCTTTCGAGTTACCCTATCATCTTCCAATTCAATTTGAGAAGGGAAAGATGCGAAAATTAATTATACGGCGAAAAGTCAGAAATAGGGGTTTGCTGTACTTGGCCGAAACTTTCCTCCGTCGACCAGTCGTGCTATTAAGACACAGACCGAAGCAAGTGCTTAAATTTCTCCAACTGTCCTACATCTTCCCACCTTTCTAAATATAATTTAAAACTTAAAAAGGAATTCACCAAGTTTTTTGGCAAGTGAGAACAGATTATTTGGAGTTAAGGATTTTGTCTTCAGGACTAAAACTCGAATTTCAAAACAACTTCTTTATACTTGTACCCTTGAATTGTATAAAATCTGGTACCATACCTGTTTAAACCCCAAAACCATAATTCCGCTAATTAGCCGTCTCAATAAGACAATTTAGAATAGTCAGAAGTGAGCCGTCTTCTCGCTTGATCCGTGAGGACTTTTCAAAGAGGCGAATGTATGTTCCAAATTTCATTTCATAGTCTATTATATTACAAGTTTCTAATCAATTTCAATCTAAAATCTATTACAATACACCACCCATTTCACCCCCCCAAATTGCTCAAATAACCTTACTCCTCTCCACAACACCCACCCTCCTCCCCACCCACTCACTCCCCATCCCCTTCTCCAAATCCCCCGCAATAAAATCCGCACACCTCTCCAAACCCGCGACATATCCCTGCATCTGTGTCATAATATTAAGATAATTGCCTATCAGCGGCACTTTCTTCCATTTCTCATTCCAATTCGGTGGGGAATCAGCTTTCGCAATCAGGTTATCGGCTGGGGAGTCAGGAGAGGGAGGGAACTGCGGTGATGGGTGTTTAGGAGGCATTTCCATGGCGCAGAAGAGGGACCAGGCGAGGGTTGAAGGGGGGATGGATTTGATGAGTGCGTAGTTTCGCTTGTGGGAGGGGAAGAGTGGGATACTATATGAAAATTAGTCACATGGATCCCACGATATCAATACCAGCGTAAAACAACACAGACTAGATAATTCGAAAAACTTACAAATCGCTTAACAAACACCCCTTCTTCGGCCCATCCAAGATCCCAAACCCACTCATAAACCAACATCTAATCGGTACTCCCCGTTCCTTCCCAGCCTCACTACACACCTTCACCACCGCCTCAAAAATCGCCGTGAACTCTCCTTGAGCAGTGAAACCCGTCATGGCGGCTACACCAGCCGCATTAACGACTGCATCGCATTCATGTTCGAGAATTGCGGTTCTGATGGCGTTGCTGTCGGTTGCAGATCCAACGACGAGGGCGGCGAGTTTGGATTTGATTTCGGAGGGGATTTTGGAGGGGGAGCGGACGAACGCAACGACTGAATGATTGTGTGCGAGAAGTGAGGGGAGGAGACGAGAGCCTACGTTGCCGGTGAGACCTAGGAGGAGGACTTTCATTTTGAAGTTGGAGGTGGAAAGTGTTGTATGTGTTTTAGTGGATTGTTTGGTTTGAAGTTTGAACTGCTGTAATTGTTGGAATGAATCGTGAACTCTAGATGGTTAGTTCCAAGAAAGAAATCCATCTTATTATATTGGAAAGTAATCTCGGTAGGTGGTGTTAACGGTACAAGGTTCAGATGTCTTTTAGAAATCGGTGATGTTGAAATCTCGGTAGCATCGGTAGCAAAAAACACCCGAGTCGGCGGCGACAGAACAAATCGCCAGAAATGGATTTGAAATTGTTGGTCTATTTAAATTCGAACTGAAACTGATTTCCACGGTTTTTCATGATGAATGTTTTGTGAATGATCCTAGATCGTAACTCTTCCTGGTGTCCTCCTGTTGCAAAACACAATGCAACCTCGCTGCGACACCTTCTCACTCATTTAATGACCAAAAAATAGATATGAGAGGATTTTATTACCAGCTGCCCAATGAGGTGAACATAAAATATTGCGAATTGTATGGTCTATACTAGAGAGAGATCAAATTTCTGCAGCCCACAATCCAGTTGCAAAACTTGGCCCCCACATGCTGGTCACATCAAGATCATGGTTTACGATCGAGGGCATAGGATCATAAGTCGGATCAAAATCAAAGTGGCTAGGCTCGGGGCCCATATACGGTGCAAAATCGAGAGGACTGTCCTCTGATATTTCCGGCCAACTCTCAACACTGGTTGCATTTGGTAAGTTCGACTCTCCCCAAATGTTCTGCTGCTGATCGCCTGGGGCAGGGATAGTCGATGAATAGTTGTCAAGTCTTGAGAGTGAGGTTGATGGCTGAGATGTATCTGGAAGGACACCTACAAGACGTGCGATAATGGCGTAGAGCTCCCTGAATACACTGACGGTTGGGGTGGTGTCAAAGGAACTGCCAGGTTGAACGAATTTAGAGATAAAGACAATGATTAAACCCATCAATTGGACGTCGGAAGCGACATGATCGTGTTGTGGGTTTGAGAGGAGATTTGTAATGAGGACAAGGCTTGCGCTGAGAGGGTAATAAAGCGTCAACCTGAAATTCCAATTAGTAGATAGAGTTTGAAATGAGGTTGACAACGAACCATGTGAGATTGTGATTCTGGTGATCATTCTTGCTAATTGCATCTAAAAGTCGAATTGATCTCCTTGCCGCAGCGAGACACAGCAGATGGCTCGCTCGAACCCTCACATTAAACTGTGCTTTTGGATCAGCCATCTTCTCATCTGTAGCCTCTCCCCGCTTCAACGATTTTTGGTGACCGGGAACACGATGCAGCAGGATCACAATGTCTAAATATGCAAAGTGCATCATAACAACCGAAGCGTACTGCTCGTCTGAGCAACTAATGGGATGTTCTGGGCGAATCTCAACCGGTATTGCATCTCGCCAACTCTGAAGATGACGATCTAATTTGCCCACCACTTTCATGCGATCAGCTTCAGACTTGGTTTGTGAGCTTGCGGAGTACAATTCGGTACATATGCGACTTCCAATGATAGCTAAGGTGACCTGATCTTGGAAAATGTCGTATATTTTTCCTCCATTGAGTGATTTGATGATGCCTGGCTGTTTAGATGGCAATTCAATTGCAATATCGTCGTCATTAATAATTGAAGGTCTCCCCAGATTATGGCTTATAGCTTTCTCCGACAGGAAGAATACCCAATAGACGTTTCGTCTCTGCTCGATCTCTTCTGGTGAGAAGCCAAAACCATCTAAACTGCGGTGAAGACCAAGTGTGATTGCAAGATTTCCAGCTGCCGATGTTAAGACATATGCAGGTTGAGGATTAGGACTCGAGTGTGTAATGAATAGCTTGTTCAAGGTTAGACAACAATTGATGGTAATTGGACAGATGGAGTATTTACCATCAGAACCAGGGCCTGCATTGACATCAAATTCGGCTCTTTAAAGAGTAACTCATGAAAGCAGCAACTTGCATTGCGAAAGTACTCAGCCCCGTTCTCCAGAGGGATAGATATATAATCAGTAAGACAGGGAGCTTGCCACTGGCTTTCTTTCCTTTGGGACCGGATACAACCTATGCAGAGAACAACATTGAATAGTGCGTACCAGGCGGTACTCCTCGGAGGATTTAGCGAGTACTGCCGCTCGAGATTTATGTTGAACACCCTCCGATTGAGAATGGGAAAGACACTGTTGTATTTTGCGAAGAAAGCTGAGACGATGTAAGCTAGAGCGAAAGAGCAAAAGAGTGGGAAAAGAGAAAAAAAATCACAAGTCCGCTTACAATCGACATACAATAACGCAACTTCCTTCGAAGGAAGTGGCGTATGTAATGACCGTGGCACAGGATACCAAAGATCAACATCACCTTTCCCCCAAACACCATAATCCTCCTTCGACATTCTGCTGATAAGCTGAGCTAACTCATCCTTGTCGCCTAGTTTTCCAGAGATCCAACGAAGTCCTTGTGGAGACAGAAGCGAGAACCCAGATGACCAACCTAAACAGAAATTTCAGCTCCAGCACTACCATTATTTGAGAAGAAGTGCTGCATACCAATGAAGTTTGGTGAACCGCCTTGGTTCAAGACTAAGTTTGAAAGATGGTTAGATAACTTCGCCTGGTCCTCAATCTTTTCAGAAGACTTCTTGTCATTCTCATTTTCCTTTTCGAGTTCTGATGTGGATTGTATCCCAGAAGTTATGATAGCTGATTCCATGCGCTTGAGCCGATCTTCCATCTCTTCGAGATATGTCTCTTTGTTGCTAAAGTCCCATTTAGCGTTTTGATTACATTAGACGATTGGAATGTCAGTACTTTGCCAATTTCCTCTTCTTCCTCTCCACTGGTGTGGTCGTGCAGTACAGTTTTCGCGCCGCGCAACGTTTGCAACTTTCGTTCTCGTTTCTGTAGCATTTTATCTACATTTTGTACATGAATGATCAGATTCACTCAAGCTATGTCTTCACATTACCCAACCTTATAGAAAATGAGGATGTACCTTCATTTGTTTGCAAGCGTCACATGATGTTCGTGTATGTCGCGCCCAAGATATTGCAGGGGTTGCCGAACCTTCATCCAAGGTCGTGTTGGACTTGGAATCGTCCATGTTGGGTTCTCGGATTGCAGAGCGCCAGTGTCTGATAAACAACCTAATATATGGCAAGCTCGAGAGAGTGTATATCTCGTACTGAGCCGTGGTTTGGACAACAGTGTCACCAAAGTCTACCGACCACTCCCACCTAATGAGGTTTAGTGCGGCGCAGCTGACCAGGGTTTACGTCAACGTAGGCAAGCCATATCTACCCTCGCTGTGGACAACATAAGTGGTAGTCGAAACGCGATGTTTCTTCGAACGAAAATATCTCAATTTAGTGGATTAACTTAGAACAATATGACTTATTTCGCCAATTGTTTTAGTAAATAAGACTTCTTAAGCTCTATTCGGAGTCGACTTATTGAGTCCTAAAATTAGTAGACAGGTAACTAAAACTTATTTTGTCCTCCGTGAGCTACCTAAGTCAGAGTTGTCCTTCAATATCAAAAAGGTTGACTCCTACCTTTTGGAAAGAATTAAGACGTATGTTTGTGTTGAAATTAACAGCGTCTTTCGAAACTTGTAGTTTATGCCGCCAGTGATTGATCTCGCTTAACCGACTACCCCCCCTTTAATTAGCCACCCGAGACCCATTTGTTAACTCCGATTAGTCGTGATTGCTATGTTAAAACATGCCAGACGAAATTGGACCCCATTCGAATTTTGTTTTGAGAATCTTTTTGGGCATGGGACTTCCGAATCGCTGCATGGTGAAACCCAGAAACAACCCAAAAGTTAAGGAGGATTGGGTAGGAGTACCACTTCGTCCAAAGCTGTACTAAATGTTGTGAGTTATTTAACTCCTTGTGAACTTGCGGGGTGTTGAATCAAATACTATAATCGTTCCACTCCGCTCTTCAGTGTACGAGCCTCTCAAACGACTCAAGAAGTGGATCAAAAAAAAGATAGGTCCAGATGAGCCACATAGCCAATCATTTCAACTACTTCGGTAGTTCTTACTAGAATAAACAGAACGATTCTTTCTTCTGTCTTGAACAACATCGCACTCAAGTTCTATGCTCTCTTGAGGAGCTCATGAAAAAGGCTGCCAAGCCCACACACTGTCTCAGCCTCACGCACCTCTCACGTTGAGTTTTCAGCTGGACTACGCCTCACTACTGAAGGAGACGTTTGACAATTGAAAAACACGACAGGAACTCCCACTGAAAATATCATAGGATATATAATCCACCTCGAAACGAGTTAAGGTAACAATGAGACGTTGTCCTCGCCTCGGCAGTGTACGAAATTTGTTCCGTCAGTTGCAACCGGCTACTCAAAACCATGCCTTCAGAAACCCAAGGAATGCCTCGTCAATACGGACTGCAAATGTCGATAACAGCAGAACGATTAGGAAGCTTGCTTCAGCATCTGGCATTGTAAGTATTACAGGCTTCCTTTTTTGGATTTCTGAATCGAGAAATCCTAGTAGCGACCCCGCGGGACATGTGGCCCATGGGATCTTAGTAGAAAAGGAGAACAAAACCCTTGCCAACGATTTAGGCACTGAGAAAGATCATACTCAACGTACTGTGGATTATTCGTACTCAGCTTTGTCCGAGAACGAAAGAACAAGACTCTTAGTTCTTGAACCTGGTGAAGTTGGCGAGAAACTGAAGTGTAATCTAAAGCCTACACGTTATCTTCAAGGCTGCGAATATGAAGCTCTCTCTTATGCTTGGGGGGAACCGTCGAGAAAACACAAGATTGAATGCTCAGGGAAGAATATGTACATCACTTCTGACCTCGAAGCTGCCCTACAGCAGCTTCGACTTGTCGACGAACCAAGAGTGCTTTGGATTGATGCAATCTGTATAAACCAAGATGACGTCCACGAAAGAAGTAGCCAAGTTCGGATCATGCAGGATATATACGCAAAGGCCAAACAAGTCATTGTTTGGCTTGGACCCGAGAAAGAGAGTGACAATCGTGCTTTCGCGTCGCTGGAAAACCTACGTTCGCAATTAGATGGGCAAGACAACTCTTGGTTCTTAGTGCGCCTTGGGTGGTGGAGAGCAAGCGGTGGCAAAATCTTTTCGGGAGGCGCTCACAGATATATGCTGTCTGATGTCGAGTACGAGCATATGACTACACTACTGCGTAGAGACTGGTTTCGCCGGACCTGGGTCATCCAGGAAGTTGCAAGCTCGCAAAGCGCAGTAGTCTTGTGTGGCAGACAATCCATACCGTGGGAGATCCTCGCAGATGTGTACATGAGATTAGGAGACCACTTTCTTCCGGTGTGCCAGATGGGAGGAAAAAGTGCTCATCATTCCCTGGAAAACATCACCGCCATCGAGAGACTTAGAAGATCGAATAGCGGACCATTGTCAATGTCACTATTCCATATCCTCTTAGCAACCTCGTTCAGTAGATGTCGAGATCAGCGCGACAAGACTTTTGCAGTCGTGGGTCTCGCCAAAGATTGGGTAGAAAAAGGCATGTTCATACCAGACTATAGCACCAAGCAGGAAGATGTCCTAAAAACTTTCATAGACTTTGCTGTCATTGATTCTAACCACCACAAAAGTCTACGAACTCTGTCTTGCCCTTCCGGACCTGATGGCGCTTCAAAGCTTCCATCTTGGGTTCCAGATTGGAGGACGATTGGGAATGCACACCCATTCACACGGTATAGCGATAGAACAAAATTCTGCGCTTCAGGAGGAATGCGACCTGAAGCGTGGCACTCCGATAATAAGACTGTGCTTCATGTTACAGGAATGCATATTGATACAATTTCCAAATTAGGCTCTGATCCGACGTTCACAAAAGCCGTTGCTGTATTCGAAATTACTACGGCCAAGATCGTTGGAATAGTTCGGTCGTTTTCATGGCTCCAGGAATGTCGAGACATGTCTCGGGATACCAATGGGGGTCTATCAGCGAAGCGATTCGACGAACTTTGGAGGACCCTAACATGCGGTCTGACAGTCGATGGCTTTCCAGTGCGTGAACGGTACTCGGACTACTTTAGCAAGTACATGGATTTCATGCTGAAGGCACCAGAATTATTCGCTGGTTACTTGACATATGCCGAGACCAGTCCAGATGAAATACGGGGGCTAAACGAGGCTAGCGCAAGCTTCGAGACACATGCCCATATCGAAGCTTCCTTAGATAAATGGTCTTCCAAACGTCGTTTCTCAGTTACGTATGCTGGAAGACTGGCATGTGTGCCTTTGGGCTCGAGAAGAGGAGATATAATATGCATCCTCTTTGGAGGTGAGGTACCTTATGTTTTGAGGCCAACTGGTGATGGCTTTTTTGCTATAGTTGGGGAGTGCTATGTCGACGATTTGATGCATGGCGAAGGGCTGTCTCTAGATGCCGCGTCAAGAGAATTTCGATTGCGGTGAGTAGAGTATTGTTCGGCAGACAAGAGTTTAGCTATTGTAAGAAATCCGACGAAAATCCCACATAGATTGACAGAATAAGGTTAGGCTGAGTGTTTGTGAATTTGTTGAAGCAAACAAGATAGGAAGCCTCGTACAAGATCAAGATATAGGTGTGGGAGCAAAAGTTCAACCGAAAATGGATGTCACGCGACAACGCGTGTTTTCAGAAGAAAAGAGACCTGTCCCATTTCTTTTTCATTGAAACAGTGTCTATAGTAAACGTCATCCTCAGAAGAGAAGTGATGTCGGTTGAAAATGTTGTGGCTAAAATCTGCGTTGACTAAATGACAAAGGTTGCTCAGAATTTCCCCTCATACCGGCCAGCCCACTCCTGAACCTTCTGCAATAATGCTTCCTTCCTGCCATCGTCGCACCAACTGCCCTCAACAGCGCCCTCGGCGATGAACTTCCAGTCCTTGAAGCTCAAGCTAAAAGCGTCTTGAACAGCGCAGTAATTGTCCAGGATATACCCGCCAAAATAGGCTGGATCATCACTGTTGATACTGAACCGAACACCCTCATCCAAGAACTTGCGGATAGGCAACTCAGCCACTTTGGTCACACATCGTAATCGAACATTACTTAATGGACACATGGTGACCAAAGTCTTGTTCTTAGCGACACGTTTGAGCAGCGCCTCATCGTCCACTAGACGGATACCGTGATCGATACGTTCCGTTCTGCAGATATCCAGCGCTCTGGAGATATATGTGGAATCCCCTTCCTCTCCAGCATGAGCAGTCCTTCGAATTCCAGCGGCATATGCTTTGTCATAGACCTCTCTGAAAATCTCTGGCGGGAAGCCAACTTCACTGCTATCCATTCCAATACCAGCCAGCGTACCATCCGAGAAATGACCAAGTGCAACGGCCTTTTCGTACGAAACATCTGCGTCTCCCGCGGAGAGATGTCTTAGGAAGCATAAGATAAGTTTTGAAGTCAGTCCGAAGTCTCTCTCAGCTCGGACTTGGGCCGCAACTAATCCTGTGACAACTGTCTTGTATTCAATCCCACGCTCAGTATGTGCTTGTGGATCGAAGAATATCTCTGCGTGGTGAACCCCGTCTTTGTGTGCGCGTGTGAAGTACTCGTATGCCAGTGACTCGAAATCAGAGGCGTTGATCAAGACGGACATGCCAATAAAATAGTAATGGAGGAAGTCGTTGAGTGAGGTAAACCGTTCATATCGCGCTTCAAGTGCCTCGATCGAGGCAAATGACGAATCGATGCTAGAGTCGGGAAGAGCTATGTTGTTGACTTTTGCGAGTCTGAAGAGGAGGGATGGGGAGAGAGATCCTTCGATGTGTAGATGGTGCTCGCATTTTGGCAATTCCTGAAGGAATTGGTGGTGTTTGGAGTTGCACATGGTGTATTGATTCCTCGAAACTAACAAAGGTGAGGTAGAAGAAGGTATTGGGTATGATCTTTGACTGCTAGCAGAATGCAACTGCAGAAGCTATAGCAAAGTTGCTAGAGCAGATAGCTTGGAAGATCTTGCTGTAGTTGAGCTGGAAAATAACAAGAGGAAGAAAGCAAAAACTGATACAACATATAATACGGAATTGAACGGCTTATGAATAATAATTAGGGAGTCCTTCGGCTCTGAATCGTGAATTCGGAGTGAAGCCGGGCAAATACGTCTGAAAAGTACGAATCGCCAGGGGAAAAAGGTACGCAAACCGTCAACTGCGGAAATCTTCGACTTCTTCTTCCTTGCTTAGCTTCCCCGCCTTAACTGGATGACGGCGGCTTCCGAGATGCGAAATGCAGGTACGGATTGAAGTAAACAATGGAAGATACCTTTAATTGTCCATCATGAGTGAGGCTACCGTCACACAAGTATGCATTAGCATATGAATGAAGCCCGACAAAGGTCAAGCAATATAACGGGAAGAACACAGCTTCATCACAACCACCGTACGTTTAACAAAACGCGGTCCAAATAAGCTTTGCCATCATCACGGATCATAGTTCAGCCGTCCGGCTCCAGAAAACTCGGCTCAAACCCCCGACCCCGAATCCGGCAACTCACCGACAAAATTTCCATCAAAGATCTCAGCCTCGCATCACCCCCCCACCACAACCCTTTCCCCTTCCACCCACCACATACCAACCACCACACTCTCCCACCCCAACCTCAGAAAATGTCATCCTCCTATGAACCTCCTCGTAGCGCAACCAACGCGCCCGTCCGCGACAATTTCAGCGGGCAACTGACCGGCGAGGGACCGTCGATTAATTATATGTGTGGCGATTGCAATGCGAAGGTGCCGTTGAAGAGGGGAGATCCGATTCGGTGTAAGGAGTGTGGACATCGAGTGCTTTATAAGGAGAGGACTAAGAGGTGAGTTTGATTTTTGTTTGAGCGAGGGGAGTGGGAGAAGGGAGAGGAGAAGGGGAGTGGAAAGAAGAGGGCTAATGGGTGTGATAGAATGGTGCAGTTTGAGGCGCGATGAAGGATTGTGATAAAGGCAAGAAATGGAGGGTGGGGGAGGGTGAAAGGTTATGGATCTTTGGAAGATTTGACGATGAAAGGAATAGAGGGTGAGGACCTACGAGTATGTGCAGATTTGGAGAGGGTAGAGGTGGTGGAATGGAGGATGGATTCAATCCGAGTTTGGTTTCGGCGTCAGTTAGGGAGTCTCATGGCGTTGGGGAATCAAGGAAGGTCTTGGAAGACTATATATCGCACTGTGGTCTTCAATACAGACTACATAGATCTGTTATGTGGTATCGAATTACAAAATACGCCTAACCATGCACCGCCTATGACCAAATCCAGCCTTATACGCCAATTTTCCCAATCAAGTACTTAAAATCCCATTTGACTTGCTTTAATATATCTTGCAAAGCTGTGGTCATCTTGCGCCGACCCTTCCTCATGGCCAGTGGTCTCGTCAAGGGCCTGCTTGTATCTGGATGTCAAGCCCTCGTCGTCGTCCTCAGCGGCATCATCTGCATCATCTTCCATGTCGCTAAGCGTATCGTTGTCAACGGCCACAGGAGCCTTTCTTGTAGAAGGCTCGCCAGAAACGGCCATGTCTTTCATCAACTTCCCTAACTCTTTCTCCCTATTCGCAATCTTATCTGCTTCCCTCTGTTTTCGCTTGCGATCTAACTCGGGTTTGTATTCCTTATTAAACTCTTCCGCCTTCTCGCCTACTGCTTCAAAGAACTCCTTGATACCTGCGCCAGTCATCGAACTGACACCAACCACACTCAAATGACTGTAGAACTCTTCTAACATAAGACTCATGCTGTTTAATAGCGATCCCATATATCCACTCCCACCCATACCACCAGCAGACCCTTCCATACCACCAAAGCTACCAGCTTCTTGTTCTTTTTCCAGCGCTGCTTGGAATGCTTGGAAGTCTGTCATCCATTCCTTAGCAAATTCGGCATCTTGTACATCGGTTTTGTTGAACACCAGGATCATTGGGAGTTTCGTTTTATAGAGAATACTGCAAGCATAGAGCATGTTGCTCATGAATGTGCTTGTAGAAGTCGTTCGTGGTGTGTCGATAATATATGCAATAACCGTAGGAAAGGTAGAAGCCAGCGAGTCCAAAAGAATAGCCCCCGATGCGCTCCATACGAAAACTTCGATTTGACCCGGTGTATCAACCAAGATATTCTGAATAGGCTTTGCTTCTGGTTTTGCCGGGTCCGGCATTGTGCGCTTTTCGAGCAGATTTAAAATCTGATCTATCTTGGTAGCGAATAGATTGAGGGATGTAAGAATTCCACCATTTGGACCAAGATTGTAGGATTTCATAACCTCCTTATAGTTTACCGAGTCGCGGATATCGATGTTACTGTCGAATGGAACATTTCTGACTGCTGGATCCAAGTTGATGACATATGGAGGTGTTCTCTGAGTGTGAAGGTAAGAATTTATTCGCTGCATAAAGGTCGTTTTGCCGGAACCTAAATGATTTAGGACAGATTCATATTCATGGCATTAGAAGTTACTGACCTGCCATTCCGACACAGACAACAGCGACGGGCTGAGTGCCCTGGGTAGCTTCTGGAGTCGTCATGTTTGGTATCTGCTTTCGTGTTGCGGGGTGTTCAAGAGGTGGACGCGAAGAAAAATACGCGGGGCGATGCAGCCAGCAACTTATGACCGAAGGAGGCCCAAGCTTCTTTTAGCATCATGCCATGCCATGCGACAACCTTTACCTACCTACCTAGCTATGGACCTCACATAACTTCTCAATATTGAAAATGGATACCGGCCTTGATGAATTTGAGAAAACTCTAGCGGAGGAGAAGAAGGCTAGAGAAAAGGAGAGCAGTCGCGACAAGGAACGAAAGCATAAACACCGGCATCGATCGAGACACCATAATACCAAGGACGAAGACGGTTCAGATAGGGAACATCGACGGTCAAAACACAGGCATAGGGAAGATGATTCCGACCGAGATGATCGTCGGCACAAACGTTCAAGGCGATCCAAGGAAGATGATCACGAGGAACGAAGATCTCATAAACATGACAAAATCTCGGATGCGCACGAGGATTTACCACTTCCAGATGACGAGGAACCATCGAACAGCCCAAAGCTGGAGCGCGACTCTTGGATGACGGCGCCTTCAGCAATGGATATAGACTATACACAGAAGGGAGCCAAGAAGGTCGAAAAGGCACCACCACCCAAGCCGGACTACGATTTGAAGATCCACAAAAATGAGTTAAACGTTCATTTGCAGGATCTGGCGGACGGAAAGAAGCTTGAGGACATTGATGCCGATCATGAAGTTGAATACACTTTTGGAGATTCTGGGGCTCAATGGCGCATGACCAAACTCAAGGCTGTTTACTCGCAGGCTGAGCAGAGTGGAAAATCGGTGGAAGAAGTGGCTATAGAACGGTTTGGGGGACTACGCGAATTCGATGATGCTCGAGAAGAGCAGACTGAACTTGATCGGCGACGTTTATATGGAGAAGGCTACGTTGGGAAAGAAAAGCCAAGCGGAGAATTGTTTCAAGAAAGGAAGCTGGATTTGGGTATTAGGAGAAACCAGGATGAAACAGAAGGCGGGAACTCGTTCGATCTGCCGCAAGGTCAGATTGTGGAGGAAAAGCCAATTCGACCAACCATACAATTGGATAATACCGCGTTGAATCGCATGAAAGCACAGCTTTTGAAGGCGAAACTGAAAAAGTCACCAGATGTTGCAAGACTGGAAGCAGAATACAATCAAGCCATGGCAAACTACTCGAATAATCCCGGATCGGGGGTCATAGTTCTTGGCCAAATGGAGAATCGACTGTTAGCAGGGACCCGTGGAGAAGTAAAGTCAATTGACAACAAGAGAGGTCGGGAAAGAGGGTTGGTGGAGGAGAACGAGGATATGAGCATCGAGGATATGGTACGAGAAGAGCGGAGGACCAAAAATCAAGCTGGTGGAGAGGGTATGCGAGCTGCAGAGCGTATCGCCAAGGATGGAAAATTCGACGATGACTTGGATTACATGGACGATAATGCGAACAAGCTTGCCAAGCGCGTTCAGAAATCAGAAATCAATCTGAAAAATGCAGCAATTGGTGAGTTTCAGAAGATGAATCGCATTCTAGATTCCTGCCAGCTGTGCCATCACGAAGACAAGAACCAAGCACCAGTGGCACCATTGTTGTCTCTTGGGACGCGAGTATACCTCACGCTTCCAACCGAGCCAGAGCTCAGTGAAGGTGGTGCAGTTATCGTCCCAATACAGCACCGAACCAACCTCTTAGAATGCGACGACGACGAGTGGGAAGAGATCCGAAATTTCATGAAGTGCTTGACACGAATGTATCACGACCAAGGACGAGACGTCGTTTTCTACGAGAACGCAGCAGCCCCACAAAGGAAGATGCATGCAGCGATGCAAGTCGTACCATTACCATATAGCCTGGGCGAAACGGCGCCTGCGTTCTTCAAAGAAGCCATCCTATCTGCCGACGAAGAATGGACACAGCATAAGAAGCTCATTGACACCGCAGCGAAAGCTAGAGACGGATCAGGCAAACAGGCTTTCCGTCGCTCGATTGCGAAAGAGATGCCATACTTCCATGCTTGGTTTCAGCTTGATGGAGGGCTGGGCCATATTGTGGAGGATTCGAATCGATGGCCTCGAGGAGATTTGTTTGCGAGGGAGATTATTGGTGGTATGCTTGATATTGAACCTGATGTGATTAAGAGACAGGGTCGCTGGCATCGAGGTGATAAACGAGTTGACGGGTTCAAAAAGCGGTGGAAAAAATTCGATTGGACGAGGGTGCTTACGGATGGGTAGGATGTATCATATGAAGCCAAGATACTGTTCAATTTGGTTGTGAGAAATAATTCCAGAGACATTTTCGAAACCGTGATGTTTTTCGGCTATGCTATGTATACTTGACATTGGCCGGATGTGGTTCGAAACGTTCGAATTTCATCAAACCTTTTAACTTTCCAATGACTTCTAGCTGTAAGCATGGATATAAGTCACTCCCTTTTGATTTTGTGAGTGCAGTCTCATGCTTTCAATTGTCTATAGTCATTAAAAAGTTAATTGTATTCTGGTAATAAGTCGACAAACGTATCCCGGCCCAACGTCCTTCAGTTACACAATGGCAACAAATAAACCGAGCCTGCCCCACATCCCGACGCAGTGGTCCGGCTTTTTGTTTTTCCGCCCAACCTCACAATCCCAAAATCCGACATCCTCCGCAGCCTTTCCGGTCCTCCATTTCTCTGATAATTCATCGCCTCAGCAGAGTCGTATCTATCCAGTTAAACCATACGATGAGGCAATGCCAACCGGTTTATCCTCGTGTCAAGCGCTGCCATAGCCCCCGCCCATCTTTCCGTCATTAGCGCGGGGTGAACCGAGACAAGCTCTGGACCTTGGGCCGACTGCGGGGTGGTGACTGGGACTGGTAAGAACGAGGTAATTTGATGAGGATGCCAGGTATGAGGGAGAGGCCATTGGATATTTCTTCCGCGGGAGATCGTGTGACTAGTTTCCACTTCCTATTTGACAAACTGTTCTGCTGTTACAAATCCTCTCATCTTCTCATATCTAAATTGCATTCCTGCTTTCATCTCTTTGTGTAGCTTCACTCCCACCTCTCCGAAGCTTCTCCACCCTAACCCGAGGTCACTACTGTCCCGCAGAGCCTAACTGAGAGTACCCATTGCCAATAACACTTGGGATTCCAATCTCCTCAACCATTTTGTCTTCGCATCTGTCCTCAATTCATACTACCAGCTACACAATCTCAAGATGGCGTCAAACGGAGCAGAACCACCTTCTGTAGAGAAGATCAACACTGACATCGTCACCCTCACCCGATTCCTCACAGAAGAACAAACAAAACACAAAGAAGCAACTGGGGATTTCACGTACGTCTCCAATCCCACCTTCACTGCCAAAACTAACACATCCAGACTCCTCTGCCACGCCCTCCAATTCTCCTTCAAATCAATCGCCTACTACATTCGACGAGCAACCCTCATAAACCTGACTGGACTCGCAGGTTCGAGTAATACCACCGGCGACGACCAGAAGAAACTCGACGTGATCGGAAATGACCTCTTCATCGCAGCCATGCGCTCGTCGGGAAAATGCGCTGTCTTAGTCTCGGAAGAGGAAGAAGAAGCCATCTACTTCCCTGAACACAAGAACGCGAGATACGCAGTGGCATGTGATCCCATCGACGGCTCCTCCAACCTAGACGCTGGAGTTTCCGTAGGCACAATCTTCGCGATCCATAAACTGGCCGAAGGCTCAGAAGGCAAGAAAGAAGACCTCTTGAAACCAGGAACCGAGCTCATCGCCGCGGGGTTCACCATGTACGGTGCTTCCGCTCAACTCGTCATCACCATGAAAGGCGGTGGTGTCAATGGATTTACCATGGATAACGCACTCGGCGAATTCATCCTCACACATCCTGACATGCGAATTCCTAAGAGCAGATCCATTTACTCCGTTAACGAGGGTAACTCTTTATACTGGGAAGAACCCGTCAAGGAGTACTTCAATTCGCTCAAGTTCCCGGCTGAGGAGGGCGGAAAGCCGTATTCGGCGAGATATATCGGGTCTATGGTTGCGGATGCGTATCGTACGTTGTTGTACGGTGGTATTTTTGCGTATCCCGCGGATAAGAAGAGTCCAAAGGGAAAACTGAGGATTTTGTATGAATGTGCGCCTATGGCTATGGTTTTTGAGAATGGTCAGTCTTTCCTCCACTTTATCCCTGTTTCTTTGCCTAACCCTTATGATATCCCTGCTGCCTTTCTACTGCAAGTGTGTATTAAATCTAACGTCCCTCTAGCCGGCGGCCAAGCACTCAACAGCAAAATGGACCGCATGATGGAAGTTGTCCCCGATGGAATCCACGATCGATCGGGTATCTTCATGGGGAGTTATGATGAGATTGAGAAGGTCAAGAAGTTTCATAAGTAGATGTGGTGAGGAGCTGAGGAGCGGGGCTGTGATGGCGTGGATGAGGGATGGGGAAGGATGGGATAGGGATGAGATGTTTGGCCTAATCGTGGATAAAATCGAAGTATTTAGAGGTTGGATTTGCATGATATGGCGTCTTTCGGGCTATCAGTTTCTAGTTCAGGATGAAATCAATCTGAACACGACTCCTCATTTACGAAATAGTAAATCACAGTAATATTGGCAATCCCATCATGACTCAAGTTACTCATCAACGCCACACGCACGTCGACCCCAAGCAATCAAACATGCACTAGTTCTCCGTCTAACAAAATCCACAAACCTGCTCTAAACAGAGGTTGCGAGGCTTCGTGCATTTACCAAATCCCCTGGGACAAATCATGTCGTTGCCATGTATTAATCTCTTCACACGTGAGGCGTGGTGGTTTACGTGTTATATGTCTCCTAAACCACCCCCCTTCCACGCCCGAGCGTTGTGTATTTCGCAAGTGGGTTCGGTGTGTCACCCAATGAGTTTGATGGCGGACGGTGTGGTGTGTGTAGTTTCGCTCACCTATGTACTTTTCAACTTCTTCCACGACTACTATTGGTATTTCAACAAGGACATGACAGGCGGGGGGTTGATACCGTCGTTTCTGAATTTTAGTGTCGTGATTGTAGGGGAATGCCTTTTTCGTGGCAGGTAATCTTGTGATGAGTAGGGTAAGTGTCAAATGCGGAGTGTAGGTTGTATGGGGTATTAAGAGGTTTATAGAATAGTATGCGCGAAAGCAAGGAGAGATGTCGAGGTGTGATGGGTTTCCCTACATTTATCTAGTATCTATGAATGAAAGTATCGCAGAATCGTGATTTTACAAAAGATACGGGGAATAGGTTATGCTTTATTATAATTATTGTATCGTGCAAGTTGAGGCACTCGTGGGTCATGAAAGTGGTTTTGGTGGATTATTGTATACTAAACATAATAGTTAGATAGCGGTGATATATTCCCGTTGAACTTATATATACTAACTCTACATCTTCTCTCCCACCTCATCCTATCCTACAACCAAACCGGGTATATCCCCCCCTCTCCGCTCCCCCTTCCCCCCTTACTAACCTAATAATCCCTCATCAAAACCTCCTTCAACCCCCCCATCTCCCTCTCCCACCCCTCCACCTTCCTCTGACTCGCCCCCAGCTTCCCGAGCAAGAACTGCACTCTAGGACCCACCTCCCTCGGTTGACTAGGCAATCCCCCCAACATCGCAAGCTCCGTCTCATATTTATCAATACTCTTCGTCTCAATCTTCGTCAGCTCGGTGAGAATCGCAAGATCCATGCGCGCTCTCAAGACCTTGTCTTCGGTGAGGAGTCTAAAGGCGGCCGCGTAGACCGGTCGACCGGCTTTGATGGATTGAGGTCGGCCTTTGTAGGTTTTAATTGTGATGAGCTCAGCAGCGGATAGGGCTTCGAGGACAGCTTCCCCGTTTGAAGCGTCTGGTGCGAGGGACGAAGCAAAGGTGTTGGACAGGAGAACCTCGTTATAGCGCAATTCAGAGTTAGCGGCGAGGGCTTTGACGAGGAACCAAGCTTGTTCGGGGCTCCATTTGCGGGGCGCCTTGTCGACGGTGAGGAGATACATTTTTAGGATTTCGGACGCGGATTGTTCGATGATCTCTGTGACTGCGCGGTTGGGTGTTTGCCCGGTTTTGAGGCGGCGGGCGAGGAATTCGAGGTCTGTTAGGCGACCGCCGAGGACATCTATGCAGCCGTCGAGTTCGGCAAGGTCCTCGCGACGTTGGGAGGTGGTGAGTGTACCTTCGGTCGACGAGGACGAGGAGGAGCTTGAGGATGGCGATTCAGGTTCGAGGTGGGTTATTACGAATTTCTTTGCTACTTCGGGCGTGATGTCGCCGAGGGAGATTTGGCGGAAGACGCGGTCGGGAAGTGCTTTGCTGAGGGATTTGGAGTAGGATATATCGTTTGTGAGGAAGATTACGTGGGCGATGTTGGCGGTGGTGAGGAGGGCGGCCCATTCTGAAATTTTGTCGTAAACGATGCTGCTGTCTTCGTTCTTGTGAAGGAAGTTGTCAATTACAACCACTGGACGGAACTCAGGGTGTGCTTCAAGCCAGTCTAGGTAAGAGTCAGTAATATTTCTTAGAAGTTGGGTATAGCTTTGAGCCTGAGTGGAGCTAGCTTTGACTTACCATCATCGTTCAGATTTGCGTCTTTATCCTCGTTGTCTCGATGATCAAGAGCTACTTGCTTCAGGGCTGTGGCTGTATTCTGCCATATCTTGCCAAGTTGAGCATCCAATGTTTCGCTGAAACCAGACTTCACACCAATCGTTCCCTGTGCTGCAAGATCAACCAAACTACTGATGCTATTCATCCAAGAAAAGACAGGTCGATATCCAACTGCATTTGCGGCGGCAGAGATGGTAGCACTGTCTCCTCGTGCTTCTTGAATAGGCTTGCAATCGATGACAAGCGTATTTCTGCGGTCTTTTAATGCTTGATCCATTATGAGTTCTTTCTTCCCAGAGCCCCGGGGTCCCTGGACAACAATGAACGTATCCGCAGTCTCCATCAACCAGGTCTGTATCTGATCAATGATCTCTCTGCGGTCAGCCCAGATGGCACCAAGACTGACATCTTCTTCCCTGCGGTGACGGAAAGTAAAGATGTCGTTGGCCTGGCTCTTGAACCATTTGTACAGTCTATTGTCTTTGATGTGGAAAGCATGATCAATCTTGGCTTTGATGAAGAATGTCCTAATCGGATCAAAGACTGCCACGGTAACAGTAGCAACCAGAGCAGCAACAGCCGGGATGACAACTCGAGGATGGTTTACGAGCCAGTCACGAATGACATGAGCTTTTACCTTCTGCTCATAAGACAGTCGAAGCTGTGTACCAGACGCACCACCACCGGCTTCTTCCAAAACCTTGAGTCCATGAACACAGTTCTTCGCCATAATGCATTGACGAATCCTAGCAAAATCCAAGATAGCATACTTGGGCATGATCTTCGAGTCGGAAGGCTGCGAGGTGATTTCGGCGAGCTTTCCATACTTTCGAAAGATGCTGTAAAGTGTTTCTTGTGACAGCTCGGCTGCCTCTTTTCCAGGCGACATAGGGATAAATTCAATCTTAAGTCGTCGACTGGGGAATCGATACAAGTCTTCTAGCCATGGTTTTCCAATTACCAACTGTGAGCGGATTCTTCGAAATGGGTTATACCAAGGTTTGATCGGATTATTTTCCAAATACTTTGTGATATGCCCTGAGATCATTAGCCGTGATTTTAAAAGGCAGCTTTGATCATACCTTCTATCTCTTTCAGCGTGACTTCCGGACTATGTTCAAACTTCACAAAAGCACCACCATCTTTCAATCTTGGCAAGATCTCCGTGACTTTCATTGGCACTGTATCTGGGATTCCGCGCTTGACCAAGTTCAATGGTTCATAGCGACTCAGTGCCTCATTATTATACCGCCACAGCATCTCCGATATGCTTCTTCCACCACGAATCGGTAAACGCAATAGCCAGTGTAGTTTCAGCGGAAATAAATCTATTTGACATTAGAAGATCCTGTATAACTGAGTGACTTTCCGTACTATCAAAAACAAAATCCCTTCATTGGCTTTCGCGGCAATGTGTCCCGTCTGATCCTCCCCTGTCTCAGTGCTCTCCTTCCTCACTCCTCTCCACCTTGCAGAGCAGCCATCTCTCCTCAACCCAACTCTTTTCAGCGCTCCTGCATTATAAAAGTCCCGAGTCTGTATTCGCTTCGTTCGTAGTCCGGGAACACTGGTAGGGTTGAAGAAGACGCGTCTTGAGGAATTCATCTTGCCAACGATATGGCAATCCTGCCGCCTAGGAGTGATTCGACATAGCTTAGAACACAAATAGAGAGCGATTCAGTACGCGTTTTCGCTGTAAATTAACCACAAAGCTGGGACGGCTGAGAACAGGGTTTCTAGCATGAGATCATAAGGCTGAAATGCAAGGCCAGCCAAGCGCACGTGCAGATCTCTGACCCTTGCGGTTTCGCCAGCTTCAGTGGAGAAATATTTCAGTCGCATCTTCAGCCTCATCAACCTCAGCCTTATTCAAATCGACTTCAAACATCAATTGAACGGTACAAAATGGGATGGTTATGGTCCTCAACACCGGCGTCGTCGGCGCCTCAAGCTGCGCAAGAGAATAGCTCGTCGAGCGCTCCTTTACCCTCAGAAACACCCTCATTCCCAGAACCATCACAAACCAAACCACTCTCGCGCGACGAAATCGCCGAGAAAGAACTCAACTCCTTCCTCGCCGAACTCTCCGCAGACGCCAAACCGAGCAGCACAAAATACAATCGCGTCCCCAAGTCAACTCCCTCCCAGTCCTCCAAACCCTCCAACTCCACCACCCCCGACTCCGACCTCCCCTTCTCCGAACAACTCCTCCCCACAACAATGTCCTGCCGCACCGCCTTCGACGAAGCATTCTACTGCAACTCTTTCGGCGGGAAATTCAACGACCTATACCGGTACGGCGGATTGGAATCCTGTTCCGCGCACTGGAACAAGTTCTGGTTCTGCATGCGGACGCGGACGTGGAGCGAGCCGGAGAAAAAAGAGGCGATACGGGAGTACTATCGGAAGGTTGAGACGGCGAAGTATGGGGTTGGTGGTCGGGGTTTGAGTAGTGAGAATGTGTGGAGGAGTCGGGAGAGGAAGGTTGATGAGGGGGAGGGGGGCTTTGATAGGATTAAGCCGGAGGTGTTTGAGGGGAGTGATGAGGAGTGGAATCGGATGGAGATGGAGAGGAGGAGGAATAAGATTAGGGACTTGGAGAGGGGGGGTGTGAGTTAGGATTATTCGTTATGTTTAGATGCGATGAATGCCTGGATGTAGATATGGGTTGTAGGCAGGATATTGTACAAAACTGTACAGTACCATATGAAATGAAATATCCTCTCTCAATTCCCCTTCAACAGAACCGTGACTGGACTTCATATCAGACCTCGGGAATTTTCCGTATGACATCTGTCACACTAATTCGGCAGATGCATTGCGAGTTTGTTGCACGTCGCTCATGAGCGGCCCGAGCCGCCAATGCATGATGAGGGATCAGGTACGCGCCCGCTTAAAAGCATGATAGATTTGCATCCATCTAGTTAGTTTCAATAGAATATCCTTAATTATAAATGACATTTGTTCAGCCGGTTATCTGGTATATACATATCCAATCCCGAGGAAACCTCCCCAAATTCGCCAGTCCATGTTCAAAGTACATGCTATGGATCAATTCTCGAACCACCCACAAGATATCCGGACGCCGTTCCACTCTTTGGTATTCACAAATTGAACGCCAGAAAATGCAAAACACATCACCAGTACTCCATCCCGCCTGGGTTAAAATTCCTTGGTAGCCAATATGACCAAGGCCCATGTTTCCCGTAAACAGTTCGAATGGTTATACAGTCCCTCGTTACTACGCATCGTCATCTCAATGTTACATTTACATGCCATTCTGCATCCCATTTTGCATGCCGTTCATGTGTTGTTGACCTCCATTTTGTTGGGCCGCAAGCATCTGCTGTTGTTGGTGCAGGAGGGCTTGCTGCTGTTGCTGTCTCCGCCGTGAGATGGCATGGACCACCTGTTGCTGAGCTTCTACGCGGCACGACATCTTAAATTGTTGATTCATTTCAGGGGTAATCCCATTAGGGTTCTGTTGGGAGAACGCTGGCATTCTTTCCGTGTATAGTTGTTGTGCTCGTCCAGCTATTTGCGCTTGAACATTCGGATTCAAAATTTGCTGCCCTTGTTGAGCTTGAGCTTGTGCATGGTGAGCTTGCGCTTGAGCCTGAGCCTGAGCGGTTTGAGATTGTTGTATGCGCATCTGCTGCATTTGCAATTGCTGCATGTTTGGCACCTGGCCACCAGCCATGAAGTTCTGAGGCATGCCATTCGGCATCCCTTGACGAGCCATCGCCGCCATGTGTTGTGTGTAGCCCTGTGGTAGATGTCCGTTGTTACCCATTCCAATCATGCCTTGTGCTTGTTGTTGCTGCTGCTGTTGCTGCTGTTGCTGTTGTTGTTGGCGGAGCATTTGTGCTTGCATCATTTGCTGAGGTGTTACAGCTTGCCCATTGCTGTTCAGCATAACCCCACGCTGCTGCTGTTGTATCATGCGCTGCATCTGCTGTTGCTGGTGGAAATGTTGTTGTTGTTGTGGTGTCATCATTTGCCCGTTTTGCATCGGCATATTTGGCATATTAGCTTGAGGCATTTGTCCCTGTACGGGACTTCCTTGATTCATCCTTGGTGTTTGGCTCATGGGTCGGTTGAGTGGTGTTTGTTGGATGATCGGGGTCGAGTTAGGCATTCGTGGAGTTCCTGCATGGCTCTGTTGGCTTCTCTGCGCAGTCATCAGGTGCGGACCGGGGCCACCCATTTGAGGATGGTTTTGATGAACGACAGAGCCAGGCCTTGCAGGGCTTCCGCCCATACTTGAGGTAGTATGCTGCATTGGCACATTTGGAATGCCATTGACAGTGGGCGATGAGTGGCTTAAAGGGGTTCCATTCCGAACAATTGGAGAAGATGCTTGAGCTTGAGAAACTTGTTGCTGATGGAATCTTTGTGGTTGCGCATGCACCCCATTCGTGATCATGTTGTTGGCTTGTGGGTGTCCATGTTGATTTGGCATTTGACCAGGCATCACTTGCTGTACTTGTTGAGCCTGAGCTTGGGCTGCCTGCGCCTGCGCCAGCATTTGACGTCGCTGAAACTCTTGCTGGCGAGCTGCCGTAGCCGCCGCTTGCTGTTGAGCAAGATTGTTCCGCATCTTGTCTTGATTCTGACTCTCATCCTTTTTGAGGCTATCAATTCTGAGGCGCTCCTTTTCTCTTTCCTGGTTTGCTTTTCTTTCAGCTTCAGCTTGTCTGAGTTTCTCCTCCCTCTTAGTCTGCTCATGCTGAGCTTTGATGTTCTCGAGCGTCTTGAACCTCTCAAAACGAGCTTCAAATCCTCCAGCTTGACCGTCACCGCTCGCAGGATTAACCCCTCCTTGAGCATTTGTGGCATTAGAAGAGAGACGTTCATCCATGATGAGCATGTAACGCTCTTGTTCCGCAGCAAATGCTTCATCTGCCGCCATCTCGGCAACAGTTCTTTTTCTAGATTTGGGGGATGGAGGTTTGGCAGAGTGCATGGGGTGCTCCAAGGCCTTCAACAGAGCGGCAGACTCGGCGGCATTGTTAACAGGGTCGAGTACAAGCGGCGCACAGGTAGCCAAAGTAATTTGTGATTCCGCAGCATGTATGTTGCTGCTATCTAGTTCCGCCTTTGATTTCTTGAGACGCTTCGCTGGTGGTGCCATGGCTGTCAGTGGTGTGGGAGGCACTGCTGTTATTGGGGTCAGTGGAACCGTGGCCGAGAGCGGACCGGCTTCCGTACGAGAATCTCGGCGTCCATCGGGCATGGATATGGACTCGGCGGCTCTGATCGATAAATCTACATGGTTGCTCAGAGGCGTCGGACGAAGAACAATCGTGCTGACTTTTGGTTTCTGGGGAATCATGACCAGTTTTGTGGATGTGCCATTTACTGGAGCAGAAGGGGCAGGCATATTTTCCTTGTCCCGCTGCTCAGACGTCTTGCCTTTCGATTCCTCGATTTCTGGAGCCTTTCCTTTCTCGGGAAGATTGCCCTGGAAAGGGACGTACGAGGACGGAGTAAGATGCTCATTGTAATTGTGGACTGAAAATGGAATTCGCTTCTCAACCCCAGCTTCGATCTGGGCCGAGGTCTGTGACGCAGCCGTAGTCTTGTGGTCATGTATTTGAACAATCATGCAGCCTTCATAAAATGGAACATCGTTAAGGAATTCGACCAGGTCGTGGGGAATGGTCCGCGTCTTGAGGTGCTCGATCAAGATTCGCATCGGTGATCCGTAAGAGAAGCTTCCCTCCTGGGAATCGAATTTGAAGTGCGTAGGATGCAAGTGTATGATCAAAGAGGGTTTACTGTTACGGAATCGCTTTAGGATATACTGGTCTGATTTGACTGGTCTGGAGTTAGCATTATAGATATTGGGCGCATAACATAACATACCATATGGTATGGGCTCGACGCTCTGCGGAGCTGCATTTTCGCCGGCAACACTGGCAGATCTTTGACCAGCACTGGTGTTTCTCTGCCCTCTGCCCAGCAGTTGACCGGCCGGTGCGTCTCTTCTTGGGCGGCTTGCAGCCCGCACGCCATTCATATTTCCTATTCCATTGCTTGCCGCCGAATTTGGAGGCTTGCCACTATTTGGAAGTCTCCCAGTTGACATTGATGGTGACGGGGATGAGGTGGACGAGTGTATTCCGTTGGTTTGAATGCCTGGCGGGATTGGACGCTTCAGCTTGGTTGATGAAAGCGACTGGGTCGATGTCGCGGAGGGCGCCATCTCTTTGTACCGCCCAAACCCTTATCAAAAATCCTCCTCACTGCTCAATCGCTTAAAGCAGCACGTAGCAATTTTCTCACAGCCTCTTCCAACTCTCCTTCTCTATCGCAGATTCAGAGCTTTAATGTCCATCGATTGCGGTTGGTGCCTGTATTGCGATCGCGATGTCGCAGGTTGGTCCTGGCGCGTAAGTTGGATTCGAAGAAAGATGTCGCGTACGATTCGGATCGCGGCGACAGTGGGCACGAGGAATTGCGACAATATTGAGCAGATTGGTGGTGTTGTAGCTGATGCTGGGGGGGATTCAGAAGATGATGTATCCACGTCGTGGTTGATCAGGTGTGGGGGAATTCGCTTAGTGCGGATTCTAGATCAGCCGCTAAACTCGTGATAATTGCACACTCCTGGACTCTAAATCACAATCGCTTGTAACCACCTGGGCAACTCCTTTTCGACGATTGATGCCACGATAAATGGCTGCTGAGTCCTCACAACTTGAATCATTGCTAGAAAGAGTAGGTTTGTATATCTGCGGCGATGAATTTCATCTTTTGGAAAAATGGTTCGATGCTCCGAATCTGATCGATAGTTTATACTTCGTTGGGCCACTTTACAGCAAATGCCAGCTCTAGAATTTGAGTCCAGCAGAAGGGATCTTTCAAACCGCAGGTGAGATATATGGGTGGTGTGGCCAACCAATCGACAAGCCCAGGAGAATTGCGTCGTGTTAAGCCTCTTTTAATCATCAAGACGCTAGTAATATGATCACACAACCAGCTTGAGAAGCATGAATTCCACCTCTACTCAGTGTGCCGCTGGGTCAAGTCATGTCAGCACATCCATTGACGATTGCCACCAGCTACACTTCCTTTTTACGATGTAGCAGCATCTCAAAAGTTCCAATCTATCGGCTTGCTGCATCACGCTTGATGCTTATCAGATTAGGCTCGGTCAATAGACTACGTCTAGCAGACGTCAAGACAGAGGGCAACGAGAGCAGACATATACTATATATGTGAACGACTTTTCCTCCGCAGAATCTCACAAGACCAGCAATGGTTCTCCGCCTAGAGCTATTCTGTGAGGAAATCATCGATATCCCGAGGGAACTACCCACGACTTCGGGATGTATCCATGGCTCACGATGAAAGTTTCATCAGACCTGACTGCGTAATGTTGTTCTACCTCTTGATGATTCGTGTGCCTGCTGATTCATTAAACTAGGAAATCCCTGGAAGCTGGACTTTACACTTTACTCTGCCATGTGTAAAAAGTGGGGTCATTCCAGGTACTGCTCTTCCCTATTGCACTCTCATACTGCACACTCCTGATATGACTTATGGGAACAGATCTAAAGTTAATGCGATGCCTCCAATCCCTGAACCTCGTCTGCTCTGAGTTCTTACAGAAGTAAAGAAATGTCTGCCGCCTGCTATGGGCATTGGCAGTTCCACTCTAGACACATAGAGTCGGCTTTGGGTTGGCGATCTACCACGAACCAGAGCCCTCTTTCCAGCCAAACCGCACAAGAGAGTTCGGGTACTCCACATTCTAGCCTTGAAATCCACATTCTATGTGGTGTTTGCTGATATGACAGCACTGCGTGTGCAACGGGAATTTCCCAGATCCAGTGCAGGCCTGGGTCAACATGCTACAATTAGTACCTGCCTAAGCATTGCAGCAAATAGTAAGCATGCTTACTACCCTGCTTATCCATCACGAGGATGACCTGGGGTCGACAGGTAGCTGCAGGTATCTTCTATTCGACATCTGTTCCGACTTTGTACAACGCGAGCTTCATGTAGTAAGGTGAACCAGGGGCCCAAAAGCATTATACCGTTATCAGATCAGCCCTGGTATACTCCCGGTGAACCTTCAGGCAGACACTTATAATGTCATGCAGCTGGGCGAAAGTGTGCAAACAAATCCAATCCTACCAGATCTCTGGAACCGTAAGATCTGCATTTTACCCCGGTACACGACAATTTAGACACCGCCCTGAAGACAAACTTTGTTGGAAAATCTCAAATACCACACATCAAAGTTTGTACGATCGACCATCGTGCAGGCGGTATACCACTGGAGCAGGCTCATCTGAGTCCAAGGTCTTGCGTTCTGTTCAAGATCAAAACATCTACTCAACTGAAGCCGGAAAGCCTTCCGAACTACAACCCCCATTCTGACCATCCAAGGCACCGACTTCTGCACCCTGCTCAGCTGGTAAGTTGAAAACTTGAAAAGAAAAATACTTCAATCTCCACGTGATAAATACCTATATTTGGTTCTGTCCCCTACCCCTCGCTACAAGCCACGTTTTGTCAATCACACTCCCCTATTTACCCGAGAAATCTCAACCACCCGCACCGGGTATTTCGTGTATCCATCGATTCACACTCCAATCCAAACCAGGAATTCAATCGGGCTAAGATGCAGTCTTCATCCTCGCTGTCCTGTTCTCTCACACCCAGGAAATGGAGGCTTTTGAGGCTTTACACTCCTGGTTCTGCGGTACCTAGCCTCCGGGCATAGATTCTTGTACGGAGCGGGTTGAGATCATCCGACCAAACAGGAAAGCGTAGGTAAACAGGGACCGTACCAATACTCTGAAATACCCACCCGATAGGACGAATCGGTAGAACTCCATCCCCAAAGACATGTTTCTTCATGCCGGCACCGACGCTTTGCAAATTACTATAAACCAGCGCTGGTATCTCGTCAATCTATTTCACGGTTCATTGGTTTTTCCGATCGTGAGAAGTCGAAGACAAGAAGCGAAGATGGCTTTGGTCCAGATCTAAAAGGGAAATAGTATTCATTCACCTTCGTTTGATTTAGTGAATCCAATCAGTCTGGTCGTCGACTTTGGGGGTCTCTTGACAACTCCTCAACCCCAAGGAGTACACAACTTCAACCCGCAATTACAAACAGACGATATGAATCTTCTTAACATCTTACTCTTCGTAGTAGGCGTATCCAGCGCTCCTACCTGGCAAAGTCAAAGCGACGCCGCTGTCTCCAGCAATGTCTTCTGGTTTCTTCCAAACGCGCCTATCACCAGGGTTTGCAATTTCCACCATCGAGATCAACAAGAAGCTAAGAATATATATAGTATCAAGTCACGGTAGTTGTACCTGCAGTGTCACCGGGTAAAGGACTCCATGGTGTATGGCCCGGCCTTCAGAATCAAGCAGGTAGCTTTGTCTATCAGAGTGTGCTAGCCGATTCCAATTCTCCTGGCGCATGGCAGTTCTGGGTTGAGTATTGTTGCAAGTATGTTCTCCATCGCACCATACCCTCCTCAGCTAATGGAATTAGTCCAGATTATAAAGCCCAAGCTATCAAAGGTCAGTCAATGCACCTTCACCTCGAACACCACTCACCTTATCCTCCCTTCACCCTCTAAACCTCTCATCTAACAAACTCAGTCTACCCCGGCGACGCCATAACCAGCACCTTCACAACCGACGGCGCCGGTCTCTGGACTGATTCTTGGTCTCTAACACCAGGACCACAAGGTCTAAGTGCAGGCCAAACCGCCCAGTCCGGTTCGACGTCACAGAACTTCGGTAAGCTCCTATATCCCTTCCATGACACTAGTTGATCTACATCTCAATACTGACCAAACCAGCTGATAGAGGCGCCCTCATCCGCGGTCTCCTAGCCATCGAGCTCCAACAAAACGGCGCGTGGGATTTCGGCGCTGTGCAATGGAGTAATATAGCTATTACCGCGTCGACTACGGCACCGTGGTGTGCTACTGGGTAAGTATCCGTCTCTCTTACTAGATGTCTTCAAATTGGATCTTTGTTCTGCTTCGAATCTTGCTGGGTTGGATCGAGCTAATAGGAGTAGCTACGCCGTCTCACCCAACTTCCAATACTCCATCTCAGCAGGCACGCAATCAACGAACGGTGGATCAACGACATGTACCTTTCCGAACGTGCGGTTCAACGGACCTTAAAACCATCAAGGGACGTAGAAGTCGGCTTTGGGAATCGGAACAAGGGCATGGTTTTGCAGCATGGGCCATGCTGCTGGAGATATCCTGGACAAGGATAGGGTAGTCTTTGATTCGGTAGTTACGTAGGTAGATTTCAGGGATACCCAAATGCCAGACTTCATTTTGCCCATCCGATACCTTGATCACCCGGGCTAGCGCATTGGAACGCGCAATTGGCCAACATCAGGATGAATTGAACATTGACTTGGATTTGGCCGTGAGCTCGCAGGGGGTTGCATATGGCCATTGAAGTAGTAATTTCGAGTTCATCGTACAAGTTTTTAAAGGTCTTAAGTATTTAATAACAACGTTTTGTGAAACAAATCTGGAATATCATTTCTGGTGGTATAGTATTTATAATAGCTCACCAGTACATTTCTCACTTAGCTATTAGATATTTAAATTATGTCCCTAACCTTATACACTACATAAAACCCAAGCACACCCAATTTCCCACCCCACGACTCCGCATCACCCTTATACAGTGAGAAACTCTTGTTATCCTAGCTTTTACACCTTTAGACCGCTACCCTTTGTTGAACATTCGTCTTCTATTCGTATTCAACGATACTAAAACTTAATATCTCTATCGAACTTGAAGAAATCAGTCGTAAGCGAAGACGTGGATCTTGGTCTCGATGATCTGGGGGTTTGTTTGTAGTTATAGAACATCTTTTATTATGAGCAAGAGGGTTTAGGTGTAAAAATCCGGGATTGAGAGGCCGGAAATGTGGGGTTCTAGGTTTTTTGTTGTGTGGATTCGGGGCGTTGGGTTGTTTAGCAGTGTATTTTAGAAGATGAAAACCTCCTTCTATATCAGCTTCCCCACCCCATGAAAAGTCGCACAGATTACCTACTTATAATATCCATCCCCAAAATCTCACTTGATACAAAACACCATCCGATCTTCACAGTAAAATGTGGAATTGTTAGATACAGCGCCCGCTCGGCGAGTTTGTGTGGGGGTTGCTTTTGAAGGATAGAAGGGTTCATTGTCTAAGTATAACAGAACCACATCTCCATCCCCACCCCCGCGCCACATTAATACAAGATGAAATTTTTATGGTTAGTTTCAAGTGACAGCCCAGCTGTCAGAATATCGGAACAAGTAAAATGGCTCTTGCGAGTATATAGCAGAACGTTCAGCACATGGGATGATTACCTCCGACTCTTTCGCGGGGCTTTGACACCCGTTCGATGAGCGGTGCTGGTTAGTTGCAAGAATGGTGTAACTACATCAGAGGTCAGTTACACGAGCTGAAGGGTCTGGGATCATATGAAATAGTATGGAACAACACACGGTATAGAATCCCCACAAGAAGATTCTTCACAAATCACTTAATCATATATCTCTATTAAACATTCATCTTCGAAACTCAATCCCTATACATTCCAGAAATCATAATATCTACAAACCCCACAAACCTCAAAACCCCTCTACAACTGATGCAAATCTCAACATCTGAAAATACCTCCCTCCCATCAGGGGGTATCAAACATACAAGAAAGCCTTTCGAGCCAACGACACCCAAGAAGCCTTGATCCCATCCCAATTCCCTTTAAGTTATGTTAAATAGTTTTCCCGTCCATCCCAACACGCCATCCACCCAGCAATCACACAAACAAGAGTCCGAAAAGGAGCTTCAAATTCTCAAATCATCTAGATAGCCCTCGGAGTCGTATTACGCAATCCTCTCCTCATAAGCCTCCCACGCTTTCCTCCGATACCGTTCCGCCTCCCTCACCGGATCCGCCGCGAAAATGATGCCGCGGCCTACAATCACAATATCATTTCCGAGCCCGATGATCTTCGCGGGTGTGTTATACTGCTGACCCTTCCCATCGCCTTGAATCTCCGCGTCCTCGTCGTCTTGTTCAGGAGGTAACTGACATCCGGGCGTCATATTCAAAAACGCATCTCCGGGTTCTCTATTTAGTGATTCCTGCGCAATAAAACCCATCACGTAGCCCTGGTGCTCTCTCGCGCTCTCTACACATGCTGATGTGTATTCTGCGTTCATGAAATTGCCTTTACTCGACATTTGTGCTAGGATCAATAGTCCCCGGTCCATTGGCGCCTCTTCAATGCCTTCAAAGACCTCTTCCTCGTAATCTTCGTGCGACCGCGGGCTATTCACCGGTTCGAAATGCTGCGATACTGTTGTGATGGATACGATACTCGCTTTCCGTCCTGCGCGCTCAATCTCGAGATTCGACTCGGGTATGGGTGTTACTGTATCATCCTCGCCATCTGAATCTATACTCTCCGCGCGTGGTGTACCGACTGAGATGTCAGTTTTGACTTCATATTGTTTCCGCTCCCGCCACCGTATTGCTGCCTCTGCCAATGCATCTACGGCTGCTTTCCCCGGAATCATGTTCACATTGGTAATGTGTGACCACTCGATAATCTTGGCCGTGCCCTCTGTATATTGCATCTGCACCGTATTGCCTATATCACCGAACTTGCGATCTTCGAAGATGAGAAAGCCATGACGGCGCGCGATGCGTGCGAGTCGGGCGCCGGTACCGGTGGTGGGGTTGTAGTCCCAGTTCGAGATGAGGTCGTAGTGGGTTTTGAGGACGACGATGGAGGGGCCGATGGAGTCGGCGAGGGAGAGAAGTTGGTTGGTGGTTGAGACGTCAGCGCTGAGGCAGAGGTTGGATTTTTTGAGGGCCATCAGCCGGAAGAGGTAGGAGGAGAGGGGGTGGGAGGTGGTGGTTGCTCGTTCTTCGAATGATTGTTCTGAGACATGGTTTGGAGATTGTGAGGGAGACATATTGGATGTAGATTTTGTGCTTCTGGGTGCACTTGTCGGCGTAGGTTGAGCTGAAGCGGATTTTGAACTTGTCGGCGGTACCATTATGATCAAGGAAAAAGGAAAAATAAAGTACAGAATCTGAGGGAGGAAGGAGGAGGGAGGACAAAGAACGGACGGGGGTCGAGAGTCGTCAGAGTGGTGTGGTGGTGTGGTGAGTGGATCGTGCTCGAGCTTGCTGGTCTGAGGCTGGTCTGCTTGACTTTTGCGGCGGAAAATGGCGCTTGGCGGGCGGGAAGCACAGGGCAGGATCTGGCACGAAAGGGGGAGTTTGGTCTGGGCTCTGGCTCTCCTTCTGGCTGCTTGTTGGCTTGCTTCTGGCCTTGCAATCTCACTGCCGGGCGGCGCATCCTTATTTATAATTCTGGCACCAACAACCGCTCAAAATGCACCAGATGCAGCAATTTACCGACACCTGATACCACCGGCACCGACAGCGTAGCCGTGCAGATGCAGTGATGCAGTGAACCATCCTCGAAGTGCGAGTACATCATGGTCCGTCCGGAGGCACCGTGTTCCCTTGATTTGGCGGAAGATGAGGTGTTGGCACGACGAAAGAGGAGACTGCACCGTGGAGTACTCAAGTAGGAGCGGGATTAGCGGAGGCTCAGTTGATGCTACAGGAGATGAAGAGTTCCTTAAGTGGAATGAATCATTTGGAGTCCTCAAGTGCCTGGGTTCTTCGACCCCATCTAGGACGGGCAAAGGAGAGACTACCAGACAACCACTGACTGAACCTGTCACTACCACCACCACCCTGGGCCTCAACACCACCGCGCCGGCGACCACAATCAGGAACCGGCATATGCTGTCACATGCCCAAGACGTTCCCCGGATCAGCAAAACAGCCGCCCTATGAAGCTCCCGACGTCCTGCACAGATATCGGCAGTCTCCTTGATAGGCACGTATAGGGCTGTCCCACTTACTCAATGCATCGCTTCTGCCCGATTCTGCCGAGTCTGGGTCAATATCGCATCTGATATGTCTGAGCGAGACCTCTGTTGGGGGGATATGGGCCAGGGTGAAGGTCGATATGCTCGAATATGGACTCGACAAGCGGTCGTTGGAGGGCACATTGCGAGCCTCGGCGCGGGGGCCACTTCCGGTAGGACTCGACGGCGGCGTACCCGAGTCCCCTATAATGCCTAGGAAGGGCGTTATAGTATGACCTTTATATTTGAATGTGTTGCTCAAACACGTTTCGGTCCAACTGGACGCAAGACAGCTCTGATGTGTTTTGACAGTTTCGTCCGACGAGGACTCGAGAATTGGTGGTACGATGGTACAATCATTACTTTTGTACCAGTCTTCGGGTGTACTGCAGCTGCAGAAGCATCTGCCAGTCTTGTCTGGAATCTGGACGGAAGGGACAATTCCTGCGAGTAGCCGTTTTCTAGCCGCAATACTTGGGATGAGTTGTCAAACCTGGGATGATTATTCTCCATACAGAACTGACGAGGGCAAGGTTGCACCGTAATTTAAAGGCAAGATGACATGGAGTTTCGCACATATCTGGGAGTCAGACTTCACGATATGATTGCCCTCCAATACTCAACAGAAGCCCTGCCGCCTCAACAGCGATTTCAAAGCAGTCATAACAGTCTTATCTTTGAGAGCTTGTCAATTCTCTGCTCCGTCTCGCTCACGAGCGACAATCTCAAGCATTCCCTTTTCAACCAACGAACCTGACTCCCAATTCTCTACTGTTTACAAGGACTCATCGTCAGATCCACCCTCTCCTTCGCAAACGGGACCCGAGCTGCGGAAAAGCCAACAAGATAAGGTGTTGGTGTTACCTTACGCCAGCCATTCCCCAGATTCTCAACGTCTTTATCGCCTCAAGGAATTCATAAGGCTGAGAATAAGCTGCATATTTTGTAAGTGTGTGACAGAAACCTCCTGGTTATGCTCGTCTCCTCGACGAATGGATAGCCTGTATCGTGGTTGGGATATTCTATGTGCTTATATGGGCATTATCCTGAAATACTTCATTGCTCATGAGATTCAGCTGCGTAGTCCTGCTACTCGAGTGGCATGATAAGTTAATCAGTATCCTAGGTAGGAGTAACCGTTTGTAAGTAAGTGTTTTCATACTTGATCATATACACCAAGCGAATGCCTTTGGGGTCAGACTCCGATGATAGCAATCTATCTTTCGTAGAGCCTCAAGTACTTATCACTACAGGTAAGTGTTTTCTCGTACAGGCTACTATATGAATTTTTGGGGCCCTCGTTTTATGAGAAACTTATCGTATCGAGATCCAACAAAATTCGTGTTCATATACTCGGTTTGGCACACCTCTCTCTGCTCACCACTTCATACTTCCTATTCTGTGGGCTGTTGGTTGTTCCCCCACGTCATATTTTATGTGTGTGCTGCCTTCTCGTATATACCCTTTGCCCTCTTACGTGTAGGCAACGATAGGTGCATGTGAGATTACCTCTTTGACAGATCTGGGCCTGGACGTGGGAGCGTTACACAATGCTTCTTGGGATGGAACAAGTGGATGCGTAGTTATAACATAGGTTCAATAGCGTCCCCCATTTTCATGTATCTATCCTTGATGACTACAAGTTATGCATATCACAAATCCCATCCTTGTACCGAAATGCCTGCCTTGCTTGCTGCAAAGACCGCAATTTGGTTTAAACAAAGAGTAAGATAACGCTTGTGACAGAAGTAAAGATATGATATATCTAGCCTCTAATACGATGTCTGTCCTGACAGAAAAGTCAAGGGGAAAAGCACTCCTCGGCCGAGAAATAGTCACAACAATGATTCTCAAAAGTGAAATCTAATCATAGTATTGTTCAAATCAGACCTTGTAGTGTCTTCCCGCGTGGAGTTAAAAGAAGAAAGCATTTCAACCAATCATTTACTACACATCAATTTATCGGTTTGGAAGGAGAGTGCGAGTTCTTCTCCACCCAATATACCTCACTGTATCAAATGTCAAAAAAATAAATATTATTGGAAAATACGTTCCTCGTACTATATAACCTCGTACCAAAGCAAACTAAACGACCGTACCTAAGAAAAATAGGGTTTCTCTTACCACTAGGGATGTCAGAAGGGGGGGCCATGATTTTTGATATTATGTAGAGCTTGAATATGTTGTTATTCTACGATTGGGTTTTCTAGTTTACGTTTTATCTCTAGGGCGTTTTACAGAACTCGGTGAGATGTAATTGGCATGCGTCTACGCCGGTCTTACCTTCGCCGTTCTTAAAAGACTTATTTTCAGTCATGATCTGTACTTGGAACTTATGGAATCTTAACCGTGTTATCAAGTTGGTGAGTGAAATGAATGGCTGCGAAGTTCGAATTCCGTGCTTGTAATTTGTAAATTGAGATGGTAGAGTAGGAAACACTATCACGTAAATGTGTATCCAAGTCCGACGTTCTCATACCCAAATACCCACCACCTCAACACCCCCATCAATCCCCAGTCCGCCACGCCTCCCCAATTCCACACTCCATCCCTCCCCCCAAACTCCCACCCATCCTTCATCCTCCAAATTCCCATCACATACATCCCCGCATCCCCGTATCCCCGTATCCCACTACCACACTAAACTCCCACGCGCAACAATCCACATATCCAACCCCATTCCACGTAACGCACAAAAAACAACCACATAGACATATATATATCGATACGCGAAGCTCGGTGAGAAAGGATGGATACGATGTCGAAATATCCCGTGTTTGAAATGATTATGGTATAGAGGAGGGAATCTGTGGAGAGAGAGAGCGATATATGGATCGTCGACGATAGGAACTTGAGGTAGCTGACAATCTATACGATATTTTGTCGATTCTGTGTACGAAGTGTCTATTAAACAGGTAATCCAAAACAGAAAAGTTCATGTCACGTCAGATCAAACATCAATCTCTTTCCAGTATAACAAAAACAATCAACTCATTCAGCAGAGGATCATTACCGAGGCATCCCAGTCCTAGACAGATTCAAACTTCGCACAAAAGAATTTTCACACAAGTCAAACCGCTCACAATCAAAAACATTCGGTGTTTTTTAAATTTTACGACTTTTATTTTCATACACTTCCTATCGAAGTGCAGTCTGTAATACATCTGTTCCATGCAGAAGATAATCACTGGCCTTCCCAGTGTCTATGTGTTGCTAAGAAAACATCGAAACATTAAGAGCCCTGCACGCAAACCGCCAGTCTAACTAAGCCGGTATGAGATAATTGGAGACAAAAAACACCGATGGACACCGCTCAAAAAAGATGCCGAAAATGCAAGAAAACGAACTAAAGGAAATTCGTGATCAATCATTTAATCAACCTCCTCAACGGTTGGTCCATCATCATGTGTCGCACCAGGTCCACCTGCACCTGGGAAGCCACCTGGTCCACCTGGCATACCTCCTGGCATACCTCCAGCACCTTCACCGCCTGCTCCGTAGAATTTCTGTCACAAAGTTAGCATCGTTAAATCAGATAGAGGGAGATTGGTTAGCTTACCATCATAATTGGGTTGGCAACAGCCTCCAACTCCTTCTGGTGCTCCTCGTACTCCTCCTTGGTGGCTTGCTGAGACTCGTCTAACCATGAGACGGTCTTGTCAATCTCAGCCTTCAACTTCTCCTTGTCACCAGCATCAAGCTTCTCATCGACCTTGGAGTCGGAGAGAGTGTTCTTGAGTGAGTATGCATAAGACTCGAGACCGTTCTTTGCGCTGATTCTTGAAGCCTCAGCCTCATCCTCAGCCTTGTACTTCTCGGCCTCTGCCAACATGCGCTCGATATCCTCCTTGGAGAGACGTCCCTTGTCGTTGGTGATGACAATCTTGTTGGACTTTCCGGTTCCCTTCTCAAGAGCAGAGACGTTCATGATTCCGTTGGCATCAACATCAAAGGTAACCTCGATTTGTGGAACACCACGTGGAGCAGGTGGGATACCAGTGAGCTCGAATTTACCGAGAAGGTTGTTGTCCTTGGTGCGTTGACGCTCACCCTCGAAGACTTGAATAAGGACACCAGGTTGGTTGTCGGAGAAGGTCGAGAAGACCTCGGACTTCTTGGTTGGGATAGTGGTGTTTCTTGGAATGAGCTTGGTCATCTGTCCACCAGCAGTCTCGATACCGAGAGACAAAGGCGCGACATCGAGAAGGAGGATCTCGTTGGTGGACTTGGATGAAGTATCACCGGAAAGAATGGCAGCCTGGACGGCAGCACCGTATGCAACAGCCTCATCAGGGTTGATGGACTTGTTTGGCTCCTTTCCGTTGAAGTAGTCGGTGATGAGCTTCTGGATTCTTGGGATACGGGTAGATCCACCGACGAGGACGATCTCGTGAACCTTGGATTTGTCGATCTTGGCATCAGCAAGGACACGGTCAACTGGGGTGGTGGTTGATCGGAAAAGATCCTGGCAAAGCTCTTCGAAACGAGCACGGGTGATGGATGTGTAGAAGTCGATACCCTCGAAGAGAGAGTCGATCTCGATGGAAGTCTGTGCGGAGGAGGAGAGGGTTCTCTTCGCTCGCTCACAGGCTGTGCGGAGACGTCTGAGGGCACGGGCGTTGCTTGAAAGATCCTGGAAACGGTTAGCAGCTGATTTTCTCAAAACAATGGACTGAATGGCGTGAATGTGCCAAAGGGATTGGGGGATTCATACCTTCTTATGTTTGCGTTTGAACTCAGATACGAAGTGGTTGACAAGTCTGTTGTCGAAATCCTCACCACCCAAATGGGTGTCACCAGCTGTGGACTTGACCTCGAAGATACCCTCCTCAATGGTAAGAAGAGAAACATCGAAGGTTCCTCCTCCAAGATCGAAGATGAGAACGTTTCGCTCACCCTCGACCTTCTTGTCGAGACCGTATGCGATAGCAGCGGCAGTTGGCTCGTTGATGATTCTGAGAACGTTGAGACCAGCAATTAAACCGGCGTCCTTGGTGGCTTGACGCTGGGAATCGGTGAAATATGCAGGAACTGTGACGACGGCGTTGTTGACGGTTCCACCAAGGTATGCCTCAGCGGTCTCTCTCATCTTGACCAAGATCATGGAAGAGACTTCCTCAGGTGTGAACTGCTTCTTCTCTCCCTTGAACTCGACCTCGACGACTGGCTTTCCGGCACGGTCGATGACAGTGAAAGGGAAATGCTTCATATCAGCCTGGACCTCAGCATCCGCGAACTTTCGTCCGATCAGACGCTTCGCATCGAAGACTGTGTTGGCTGGGTTCATGGCGACTTGGTTCTTGGCGGCATCTCCAATCAGACGTTCGGTGTCAGTGAAGGCAACGAATGATGGAGTTGTGCGGTTTCCTTGGTCGTTGGCGATGATTTCGATTCTATCATCACGGTAGATACCTACACAAGAGTAGGTAGTACCAAGATCGATACCTATGGCGAGGCTGTCAGTAAAATTTTCATTAGGCTGGCGACGCACATTGTACTTACCAATGGCTGGGGCCATGATGAATATATTATGTGAAAGAAGTGTGTAGTGTTATGCGGATTCGTTGATTCGTGATAATCGTAAACTTCGAAATGTGTTGAAGTATCAACTGTAGCGTGGTATCAAAGAAAATTGTGTTTCTGAAATGTCTGATGAGGAAGGAAGGAACGCACTGGGCTGGAGATAAATACCTGCAAGCGGTGGTTGAGAGAATCCGCTGGAATCTTCTAAGCGACTAGAAGGTGGTGGTCAACGGTGGAAATGCCCCGCTTTAAAAAGGCAAAACAGCGCAGCGGGACCAGCTGGTTGGTTCGCGGGGCTGGTTGAACATGCCAGAAAAATCATGAAGCTTCAGTTTGTTTACTTGGGGGCAACTTATGAGATTGGCATTGGGTGAACATGGGTTTTTTTATTTTCTATCGAATTTTCGTGATAATACCATTCTGTCCTCAGCTTTCCATGCCTCTACTGAAGATATTGAGCTTCACAGAATATTCCAAAATCCCCCTCATTACTCACCGCCTATGACGCATGCCCCTCGATGCCCAAAGCTGTTGCTGGCAACAAGGTTGCCCCACCAAAATCATACCGCCACTAGGCGATTAAATTTAATTTTCAAAACTAACACATCATGGCGGATGGTTGCATGATTTTCACTTTCATCATTGCGCCAGGAATTGAGACTGAATATCCTAACCTGATGTATCTTCGCCTGGTAAAATCATGGCTCAGTGCACGTGATTCCGTCGTAGGAGGCTCAGTTTCGGCCCATATAATCTTATCGCACAATATCAGCGATAAAGAATGGCAAAAAGGACGAGGCTTTCTCTGTAATTATCTCGTGACATGTGCATGGAGTTACCTAAACTTTAAATTGTTTACAACATACTCAGTAGCAAATCAACTAATATTACTACATTCTGACACTTTTACAAACTTCCTCGTGATACCGCTTTGTTTGCATTCATTATATTCTGCCACTTGGTTGGGTTGGTGGTTGGTGGGGTGAAAGGCCGTGGTCGTGGAGGGGAAGCTATGAGAAGCCTCTCGAAATTGCCAGCCTGCCAAAATCGCAGAATTAGAAGGCGGTGGAACCGCTAGCGAAGCAGCGCCTTGCCCTTCGCAACCAGAACAATTTTTCTGTTAGACAACCACAAACCAAAACATTCCTGTATACCGTACAAAGGACGCAATAGACTACATACTTCGACAAACCCATCACGTCAAGTCGCCTCTGTGTTTAATTTCATTCTTTTCTCTAGACTACACCCCAGATCGAAGCCGCGAATATGAGTGGTATGTCCATACATCCCAGCCTTCTGCCAGATATGCTGACAAAAGTTCAGTCGTCGGTGTTGATTTCGGAACCCTTAATACGGTTATTGCAGTCGCCCGCAATCGCGGTGTCGATGTGGTATGTGTTTACTATTTTCCATCTTAATCCCCCAGTACTGACTGCCGCAGATTACCAATGAAGTCTCCAATCGCGCTACACCGTAAGTCTCCAAACGTTCTCACATCAACCATATTTGGATCTGAATCTAACTCTCATTCTAGATCTCTTGTAGGCTTCGGACCAAAATCTAGATACCTCGGTGAACCCGCAAAGACTCAAGAGATCTCCAACTTGAAGAACACTGTCGGATCATTGAAGCGATTAGCGGGGAGAACCCTCAACGATCCCGATGTACAGATCGAGCAGCAGTTCGTCTCGGCGCCTTTGGTCGATATCGGAGGACAGGTTGGAGCGGAGGTCACATACTTGGGCAAAAAGGAGAAATACACATCTACACAGCTGGTTTCCATGTTCTTGAGCAAAGTCAAAGCCACAGCTTCCGCAGAATTGAAACTCCCAGTTTCTGATTTGGTTATGAGTGTGCCAGCATGGTTTACTGATGTTCAACGAAGAGCCCTTTTCGATGCTGCCGAGATTGCCGGTCTTAAACTCCTTCGTTTGATGAACGATACAACCGCTGCAGCTTTAGGTTACGGTATCACAAAGACCGATTTGCCAACAGCGGAAGAGAAGCCAAAACGTGTAGCCTTTATCGATATCGGACACAGCAACTACTCGTGTTCGATTGTTGAGTTCAAGAAGGGAGAGTTGGCTGTGAAGTCAACAGCATATGATCGTCACTTCGGTGGACGTGATTTCGACAAGGCCTTGGTGGACCACTTCGCCGCGGAATTCAAGGAGAAATACAAGATTGATATCAAGACCAACCCAAAGGCAGTTGTACGAGTAGCTGCTGCAGCTGAGAAGTTGAAGAAAATCTTGTCCGCCAACCAGCAGGCTCCAATCAATATCGAATCATTGATGAACGATGTTGATGTACAGTCGATGATGAAGCGTGAAGAGTTGGAGGCACTCGTTGAGCCTCTTCTCAAGCGCGCCCACGTACCCCTTGAGGAAGCTTTGGCTCAGGCCAAACTCAACAAGGAGGACATTGACGTTATCGAGCTTGTTGGTGGATGTACTCGTGTCCCAGCGCTCAAGGAACGTATTCAACAATTCTTCGGCAAGAACCTCTCATTCACCCTGAACCAAGACGAGGCGATCGCCAGAGGATGTGCCTTCAGTTGCGCCATTCTCTCACCAGTATTCCGTGTCCGCGACTTTGCCATCCACGACATTGTCAACTACCCAATCGAGTTCACCTGGGAGAAATCACCAGACATTCCAGATGAGGACACCAGCCTTACCGTATTCAACAAGGGCAATGTTATGCCATCCACCAAGATTCTCACATTCTACCGAAAGGAGACTTTCAACCTCGAGGCGAAATATGCTGAGCCAGATTTATTACCTGGAAAGATCAATCCATGGATTGGTCAATTTTCCGTCAAGAACGTCAAGGCTGATGCAAATGATGATTTCATGATTTGCAAATTGAAGGCGCGCCTGAATCTTCACGGTATCTTGAATGTCGAATCTGGGTACTTTGTTGAGGACATGGAAGTGGAGGAGCCAATACCTGAGGAGAAGGATGCAGAGAAGAAGGATGGTGATAAGAAGGATCCAAATGTAAGATTTCCAGACAGCACTTTTTAGGCTTTTCACTAACTTCATGTAGGCCATGGATACTGATGACAAGCCAAAGACAAGAAAGGTCAAGAAGCAAGTCCGAAAGGGCGATCTTCCAATTGTTTCGGCCACATCTTCCCTCGATCAATCCAAGAAGGAGGCTGCAGCTGAACAGGAATCCTCCATGATCATGGAAGACAAACTTGTCGCTGATACGGAAGATAAGAAGAACGAGCTTGAGACTTACATCTATGATATGAGAAATAAGATTGATGATACATATGCCGATTTCGCCAGCGAAGATGAGAAGACGAAATTGAAGGCTAAGCTGGAGGCAAGCGAGGTATGTTCTATTATATTCTAATACGGCTGTGCATTACTGACGAATTGTAGGACTGGCTTTATGATGAGGGTGAAGATGCTACCAAGGCAGTCTACGTCCAAAAGATGGACGAGATCCGTGCTGTCGCAGGACCAATCGCCCAACGCTACTTTGATAAGGTTGAGAAAGAGCGCGAGGCCCAGAGACAAGCCGATGAAGCAGAGGCACAGAGAAAGAAGGAAATGGCCGAAGCTGCTCGTGCCGCTGCCCTGGCACAAGAGGAAGCTTCTAGCAAGAAAGATGAGGAGATGCCAGACGCAGAAACCGTCAAGCCGGATGAGGTTACCGAGCCAGAGTCAAAGTGAAGGCAACACACGCAGCCTGTTACGAACCACACGCCAAGCCAATAATGAGATTATGAATGGAGGGATATGCATAGAGGAAGAGAGAAAAAAGCTTCAAAGGGTCGTGCGATGCATTTCAACTCTTCTATGATTTAATGCGAGTCTGGCTTTTATAGAATGCGATTTCGTGGGGGCTTTTGAGGGCGAGGGGGGAGACTTGGGAGAGTGAGATAGAAATGTTGAATGAAATATATGTTTTTAAAACTTGGATCGGCCGGTTTTCGTTTTTGTGATTTGTTTCCACCTACGAAGAGGCCTTTTGTAAGTGAAATCTGACACATAGATTCTTTCGAAGATGGAAGACGAAGAACATACGTAATGTTCGTTTGTGGTTCGCATTAAGTTGCTATCCCTATGGTAGCGTTCCGTTGTAGCGACGTATCCACGCCAATTGTATTTCCACTAAAAACATCTCTTGGTTCCATCTCCCTTACACTATTATGTACCTCTACTTTTCCACTTCTGACCGAGGATTTCGTGAAACCCAGGACGGTCGACCTTAGATGCTAGTTCGTTTTTGCACGGCATCTTTTGTTTCTTGCTAAGAGGTCTCGGTATTGAAACCTCGGACTTGACATTCCGGCCCAAGAACCGGGTTAAGAGAAGGTGAGTTGAATGGAGGTGTGTTACAATGGTAGAAAGAGGGAGGTTGAGTGGTGGGAGATAATTGAGAGGATTGAGGGTTGTGATGAAGGACCGTTTTTCAGAAACACAGTCTCTTGACTAGAACTCCTCAGTAATTAGTAACTAATCCTGATTATTTCTAATTTAATAGATATACAGCGTGATCGTAATCAAGATCTAATTATTACTCCCTTCTATTTCACGATGAAATGAAGCCCTATTTAGTGATTAATCATATCGGTAAACTTATCTGCTAAGAATTGCTTAGACTAGTGTAACTCACCGAATTAAAATGAAGTGTTTGGTTTGTTATATTCAATAGTAGCTAATATCATCGTTAGATTCTACACAGATACTAGTTCTTTAGTCTATACAAAGCTATACTAATAGCAATCACGAAGAATCATAAAATCATCATTAACATAAGAATAATTCTCAAAAACATCTCACGTTTAAAGATTTAATCTATAAAAAATAACTTAACGATTAAATTCTGTTCTATAGTAATCATTAAGGTGCCCTACTCTGCATTACAAAGATTTCTCATCCTGATACTTCATCCACTATTCGATATCAAACGGCTTCCCATCCCCTGCATCCTGTACCCACATGGCGGCGTCACCGGCTTCGCTCTTTTTCTGATTAGCTTGGGTTGAAGGAAATGCCTCGTCGTGGATCTGTAGTCGAAACATCCTGCGTCTGCTAGTAACTTACATAAAGTCTGGGAAGTGAGCTCGATGGGTATGTCGGGGAGGGAATGTGTTAGTTCATCGAGGGCGAAGTCGCGGAGGAAGAGGGTAAGACTGGCGGAGATGATGAGGTTGCAGTCGGAGTCGCGGAAGAGCTGGGAGTGTTAGAAGGGTGAGGATGTGATGGGGGGCTTACCTGGTTAGAAACGAACTGCTCGACTTCGCCCTCCCCCTCACCATCTACACTCGTAGACTTCTTCATCCGCCACACAGAAACCGACGCTTTCTTCCCCTTCCCACAACCCACATTCATTCACAGCAACCATAACACCAATCCCACCATCCGATGGCAGTGTACATTCATCCGCCAGACAGCCCACCGATTTTTTCTTCTTAGGCGGCGCTACTTCGATCACCATACCCGGCCACCTAGCTTCAGGATGGCGAATGATGAATAGTTAGAATCCCCTCGTCATCAGGAAACCACAACGCGCCTCTCGAAGGCCTAACAGCGTCAACATATTCCCTAACCTCGCTTTCCCGCTCGGCGATAGATTTGAACGACGTCTGAATCTCATTAAGGAGGTTGAGGATGAACGTCGCGTGAGGTGTTGTGAATGTGCTAGTGCGGTTTCCATTGTTGGAAGACTTTCTAGTGATAGGCCATCCATGGTCGTACTTTCTGGTGGTGTAGTTTCCATCGCTGAAGCACTTTCTGGCGGTCTAGTTTCCGTTGTCGAAGCACGTACTGCTGATGGGCCATTCCTAGTCGCACTTTCTCGTGGTGCTGGTCCATCGCTCCTCGTACTTTCTAGTGGTGTCATTTCCATGATTGAAATTTGGAGCGCCATGAGGTGTTTCTGTTCAGATGCGTTTGCGTGTCCCATGATGAAGAAGAAAGCCATGCTGCTGCAAAAGCACTAAGAGTTTGGTCTGCTACCCATAACTGAATTGCTTCTCCCAATAGATTTATGAAGGCTATGCCGTTTCCTATTAATAAGTGAAGTATTCAACGCTTGTGAGTGCGAATGACAAACAACAATCAGTTTATATCAAACATAGGAATGACAACAAACATGACCTTCTCGTCAGCAACCTTTCAGCGATATCTAAAGCTGCCATTTATCGTATCTTGGCTCTTGAGCGTCTATCGATTCATCTAAAACCTATATTGAGATGAGTAGAATCTCTCTAAATCCCTCTCATATTCAGTCGACCTCGTAAGATGATTTAGATATATACTCTTAATAAAACAAACTAACTTAGTCAAAGATTGAATGTTGAACCATCTTACCCTTTACAAACTATAGACGGTACGTGAGATTCAATCTCCGTCTAACAAACATAGGCCCATAAAGGGCCACAATTCGCTAGGAACAACTTCCTAAAACCTAGCACGATATGTATATAAAGAGCTATACAATAGATATATTAATAGTACTACACTTACCTAAAAGTCCATTAATTGCGTTCAAGAGTTATCTAAGACATAGAGTTGCGTCAAATAGTAAAGTCTTTGAAAACCAATCGCTCTCTCGCCTATGAAACATCACACCTCGGCAAATCCTCGCTTCCCCTTATCCCCACCACACAACCTCCCCCCATTTCCTACTCCCCCAACCAATCCCCTCACAACACCCCCCTCCATTTCACCCATTTCACCCAAGTTTTTACACACAATTTTTCTCATTAATATAACCCATATCAAGCAAAACTGCTTCACCAAATCGGACAGATGGCCGAGCTGGTTATGGCGCCAGGTTAAGGTATACACTTAATCACGTTGTAAGCAATTGCAATTTCCTGGTCACGAAAGTGGCGTGGGTTCGAGTCCCACTCTGTTCAGTTCTTTTTGCCTTCGTATCCTTTCCCTCTTCTCTCAATTTTCGGGGGGGGAGGGGGGGAGTTGAAGATTTTTTTTATTTTGGTGTTGAGGGGTTCGAGTCACGTGAGCGATAACCCTTTTTTTCGGCGTTAGTGGGATGGTGAGATTCTTAAGATAGCCAAAATATCTATACTCCAATACCTTGGACTTGTTTCCTAAATTAATGTTATTACGTTTATTACAGATAAAGTCCTGTTTTTATACCACATAAATCTATCTTACAGTTTCTGTACTGTACGGATAATCATCTGAGTTAATATACATTTTCGATAACGATGTTGAAGTAATTAGGTGAGGGGGTTGTGGAGAAAGACAAGGAAGGAATATAAGAGGGGCTTTTGAGTCTTCAAATTCAACGATGGTGTGGTATTCAGAGGTTGGAAGACGTGTTAAGAAGGTTTATAACATTCTACATTTTCATTTCATCATTTCTACAACACATCTCCCCCATCATCCCCTCCCCTTCCTCCCTCCCTCCTCCCCTACCCCCCATTCCCCCCCTCATCTCCCCCTTCCCCTCCTCTTCACCAACATCCCATATCCCACTCTATCAATATATAAGTCTCCACTCTCCATCAACTAATTACATGCACAATTGCTTCCCTTCAAAACACATATACAAACTAACGTTCCTCTTCAGCCCCCCTCATTCAAATCCCCAACGCATCAACCCCTAAATCAACGCACTTTTCAAGCACCTCTAACCCATCCCCATCCATCCATCTCCTCATAAAACCCTCACCCATCAAAGTGCACAACGCAAACACATGCAAAAACGCCATGCTACCCAACCCCCCCATTCAAATGCATCAACCGCAAAACATGAAGACAAAAATCCATCGCATCTCAATCTTTTCCCCACCTTACCATCTATGTTCTAGACCAGACTTTTGATTAAATAGCCCAACTCCCCCTCCTCGCCCTAACACCCCACGCCTTGACATCCTCTCCCTGCGTCATATTAGGATGTTGCACGCCCCACTCCATGATATAAACGCGTAGGGCTTTCCACCTCGCACATTTGGGTAACTCCTGATCCTTCTTACTAGGCGCAGCGATTCCGATGTGGCCTTTGACCTTCATATCCCCGTCACTAGCTCGGAGCTCCGAGACTGGGATCTGAGAGATGCGGGAGAGTTCTTCGTCGTACGGCTGGGCGAGGACGGGGTAGCCTAGAGAAAGGTAGTTGTAGACTTGGGTGATGAATTTCTCATCGAATTCAGCCAGTAAGGCATCTTGAGCCTTCTTCTTCGCAATCTCGGCTTTCAGTCTGTCGTCGAGACCGGCGAGCATGCGAGGGCCTGAATCTCCATTGGCTTTGGAGGCAGCTTGATCCCCTGGCTTCGGAGTATGTATGAATGTGGGTCTTTTCGGCCCTTGTATGTTTCCTGGCTCTTCTGCTATACAATATCCTCCCCAAAGCCCACCACCAGTTTCACACTTATTCGGCTTGACATCGATTCGCTGATCTGATTCGAATTTCGTGGCTTTTGGCGATGGACACATTCGAAACTTCAAATCCCCTCCAAGCATCGGCGGTGACGCAGCAGAGCGCATACGTTGTAACTCGGCCTCCTTCAATCTATCAAACGGCTCTGGTCTAGGAAGCTTGCTCGTCATCCCGTTTGTCCAGAACGGATCTTGAAATGTAGGTTTCGTAGCTTCGTCTGCAATTTTCTGATTCGTATCATTCTCTCTCAACCGATTTAACTTCTCCTGATGCTGTTGCATCTCTTTGACATGCCAACCAACTTCTGTAGATTTCCGGCGGTTATTAACCTTTGGCTCATCCAACAACATCCCAATCCCCTCCACCACCTCTTCATCAGACGCTGTGTCCAGTTCTCGATCATAGAAATGCTCCACAATCTCATAATTCGACTCATTAGGAAACGCAGCCAGAGCTTGTTCCCGTAATTGTTTCTCAGCGGCCTTCGCTGCCAGAGCAAGCAGATATCCAGAGAATCTATCATCGCAACTCTCTCTCGTCCTTGCTAATTGCAACCTCATATGCGAATCGTCTGACGATCCAAAGGACCCTGAAAGGGAAGGCGTCGAATCATCCAATCCATCGTCGTGGTCTGCATCTGGATCTGATTCTGATGACAATATATCCTCCAACTCTGGCTGGAACGAATCCCTTCTCGTACTTCTTCTTGTATTAGGGTGAGGACGCATCGATTGCTGTCGACGTGGGATGAGGGGTAATATCGTCTGCAGATTGGCAACACTTCCAATCGGTGTATTATCTGGAGCCAAAGGAACTGGTAGAATTGGAGGTCTAGGTATTTTCCTCTTTGGTCGCGTGTATATATTAGGCACTCCAGGTGTCAAATCCGTCTGCCAAACTATTAGCCATCTTATCGGTCCAGAAGTAACACGCCACTTACCTTATCAGTGGGCAGCGTGGCCGGCCGCTTATCCCCAGCTTTCTTGGTCCTCGTCGTCGTCTCAATCAATTCTGGGGTAAACCGTCTCCTTGGTTTCGGCGTTTCCTGGGGTGCAGGAGCGTCGGGAATCGAATTGGGTGAAGGTTCAGGCGTAGGTAACCCTCGGCCCGCCTGTGGTTTGTTGCTCTTGAAAGTCGTCTCGACAGGTTCCGGTAGGAAACGGCGCTTTGGAGCAAAGTCCTTCTTTTCCACCCCCTCTTTCTGCAGCGTGCTTCCATCTTCCTTTTTATTATTTCGTGTGGTCGTTTCCACGGGTTCGGGAGCGAATCGTCGAACTTTCTTCGTGGTCGTCTCGACGGGGGTGGGTGAGAAACGCCTGGCCGAGGGCGGGGGAGAGGTGTCTGACATGATGGTGGTATCGTGGTACGGCGTTGGGAGAGGGGGCCGAGAGATGACAGGAATTGGTGAAGCCTCGGCGGCAGTATTTCCTGGAGCTGGTGCTCAATCGGTATTTTTGTTAATAATTTTCCAGCTCCTGTTCGCTCCCGTGCAAAGTGACCTCACGCTTGTGATCAAAATACGGTGTGTGGAGTTGCTCGTGCGTGCATGGAGATTCCTCTCCGGGATGTTCAAAAAGTGACGACAGAGCCAGAACGCGAAGGGGCAGCTCAACGTCTTCCTGGTAATTGGTCGAGATGGGTAGGGGGATGTCCCAACCAGTAGCAGCAGGCAGTTTCACACCACATGTCAATCCCAACCATGTGCAGAGTGCAGAGTGCAGTTTGGCGGTGATGTACGAGGGTTGGATCGAGTTGTTGATGCTGGCTGGGAATGGGGAATTGGAGTCTGGATGCCCTATTGTTCGAGGACTCGTTTCTCAGCTAATAGTGGTCGGACTGCGGGGAGAGGCGGAAGCTGGCGAGGGGCCGCGACGAGAAGTTCCCAGGTAGTGTCAATCCAGAATAGGTTCTCAGAATGACAAAAACGTAATTCCCACTATGCGATGACCACGCAGAACCAAAACAAAAACGAAATATATCACGAGAGAAACAGAAAAAAGCCCTGGGCGAGCTTAGCAATGCAAGAAGAAAAAGCGCTGCCCGAGGATTAAGTAACGGATGCGCGAGTTTGGACCAGTGGGCTAGACCGACGACCATCACACGAGGAATGTCTTGAAATTCTCAAGCTCGCTTCTGCTCTATGTTCCTAGTTTTTGGAAAATACAAGAATAATAGCGCAATGCGGGATTATTTAGTCGAGGTACCTAACGGTGTTGATAAAAAGCAATATCCAGTCCACGCTTCTATCTCGTGGTCTATCTACGCGAAGCGATTCTAAGACTCACTCCACCACTAGTATGTGAAGCTACCTCAGGGGCTGCCCGCTTGTCTAGATAAGGAGAGGAAAGGGTTTGCTGTACCTAGAAAACAGATACATTTCAGGGGTAGACCTTAGGTCTAGTGTTGATGGTTGACCTATCTGGAATCGTCTTCCAGCGGTGAAGTCCTGGGCGTGGACAGCACACAGCTGTGGTAAGTGGTCAAAAAGCTACGCAGCTACGCAGCTACGCAGCCACTAGGAAAGGTCTATTAACGGGAGCTATACGGAATGCGCCGGCCAGGATTAGTTATGGCTAGTGAGAACTTGGAGGACGGTTCGAACCCATAACTTCGAGGTGGATCTGGCTATTGTTGGGATATTTTATTGTCTTACAACAAACAGCCCTGGGTCTACTCGGCAGGCGCAAGATAACAGACTAATAATTCAGCAAAATCACAATGGAAGTGTCTCAGCTACCTCCAGTACTATTAAGATTATAATGCATCTATGCATCCTGACCTACGAGGGGTCATATCATACGACCTCCCATTTACACAACGCCAACCCATCTAAAGCCCCGCCAAACGACAGCGGCCACTAAACCAAAGTGCAAGAACGAGTGATGATAGTCAAACAACCATAGAGGCATGCCAGCCCAACTAAATGTACAAGAAACGTAACGGGGTGCCATCAGCACCGAAAACTCAACCAGCTTCAAGCCCAACCTCGAGGCACAGGAAAATCCTCGAAACACAAGATCAATAAAGAATCCTCGTTATTCCGCAAATTTCGCCATATTTGCTAATGATTACTTCATTTTGTTCTTCCTTGGTAGACCAGCGATTCTCCTCATTTCGAGATCACCCTCAGCCAACCACTTGCTAGCTTTGACTAATTGAATGACATTGATGAATTGCTTGCCCGCCATGATCGGGAGACTAATTCCAGCAATGATCCAAGGGATCGTGGAATCCATCTTGTTTGATCGTGCATATTCCAATGCAGCGGCACTATGTGGATTGGCGAAGATGAGGGAGGAAGGAGGAACTGCTGGGTTGCCGGGTTGGAGGGTGGATGCGGCATCGCCGGCTTTTTTGACCTCTAATAATTGAGGTGAGAGGAAGGGCGAGGAGAAGGAGAGGAGGTATAGGGCGATGAAGAAGACCTCATTGAACATGCAGAAGAGGAACAACACCGTCTATAAATTTTGTCAGCATTTTCTTTTGTCCTGAGTCGAACTGCACGTACCTTGTTGGTGTAATACAAATTCAAAATCCAGCTTCTGGACTTATCGACCTTCTTGTGACTGGCATCACCACCACTCATGCTCAAAGTCGCATACATATGAATATAATGGCTGGCGAGATCCAAAGAGATCAGTCCCTGGAAAACAAGTGCCCATCGTGGCCAGGCGGAGGAAAGGAAAACCAGTAAGCAAGCTGTTGTACATCGGTCCGTAACCATATCAAGAACAGCTCCAAAACGAGTCGATTGTTCGAATGCGCGAGCAGCATAACCGTCCAGGGCGTCCAGAAGACAAGATACCGAGTAGAGTATTGAGCAGGTTCGAGGGTGTAGTGGCATGTAATATAAGGAAGCAAAAGCGAGCACAATTCTAAAATAGCCTGGGAGGTGTTAGCTGTGTAATAATAGATCAAACGCTGCAGACTCACCTATAACATTCGGCCAAAAAAGAAAGATGTTCTCCTGGGGATGAAGCTCCTTTCCCTCCCCATCCGAAGCTGCTCCATTCCCATTCATGATGATCTGATCTCTTGGTTCTGGCGTCGGAGTAGCCGGAGTAGATATCGCAGCAGCCTGCCGTCTCGTTCGAACACTTGACATGATCCCTTATCGCAGAGACCTCTATTCGCAGAATGGGGGATGTCGCGTGCGCAATGTGTTGTTGGAACTGGCAGATAATTCAACAGCCCGTGTTGCGCAAAGGAGATAGTGTTTAGTGTGAAGTGGTTTTGAATGGCGGAAGCTCGGATTTCGCAATGTAATGTAAAAGCGCTCAAGTTGAAGGGTATTCAGTGGTGTTGATTGCGTGGTAAGGAGGGTGTACAAGTTGGATGGTGATGTTGGAATTCCTTATCGCGTTCCACCTGGCAGGAGGAAACACTAGAAAGTTGTTCTGGAAGCCGCCTTGGCGAACCGATTTTAGTCAACATCACAGCCCTAATTCGACGCGTGTCAACGTACGTCCTTTTTAATTCAACTATGTGGTAAAGATCTCCTATTTCGCATATCATCGTAACTCATCTTCACGTTACAGCTGTCATTATCTCTTTACTTATTAACCATTCAACCATGATTAAGTCACGATATGCCAACCCTAGTAATCGTTACTCAGTGGTTACTGCCCGAACGGGGCTCGGATTTGGCGTTTTCTCTTGCATCTCTCTGGCCAAAATGTTATCAGAATCGGACTAGGTACACAAGGCTTTGGCGTTTTCTCCTTCGAAACCCCCACTGGGCAAGCATTTACTTCTACTCCTATCGTCATTCTATATTGTTGCACTCGAAGATCTAGGGTTATTTCTGCGAAATCTGGATGAACAGCTCATCTCACTCTCGGAGGATGTTGAGGCTTTCAATCTGGTTGGCTTGTGCATCTTGAACATTTTGCAACCATTGCGAGTCATCCAACTTATGCCTGCTGCCGCAGCTTGTTCCCATGTCTCCTGATACTGTGGTCATGGCCGACAGCATGAGTAATATTCCTCTCGAGAAGTTCGAATACGAGCCGCTCAGCGAGATTGCAAGCGCGTTTCGTCTTCTCCGCCTGTTCCAGGAGGTTTGGAAAAACAGCTCGATGGCAATCTGGAAGAGCAGGTTCTTGAATTCAAGACGGCATCATACGAAGCACTATCATACGCGTGGGGTGATCCAACTTCATCACACAAGATCGTGCTCAATGACTGCGAGTTTTATATCACAGCCAATCTTTACCTCGCTCTAAAGAACCTCCGATATGGAGAAGGAGAAAGATTTTTATGGGTTGATGCTATATGCATAAATCAAGCATGCCTACCTGAGAAGACAAAGCAAGTCTCGCAGATGCGAAACATATACCAAGCTGCTGAAAGGGTGCTGGTATGGCTTGGGAATGCTTGTCCTGAGACTGAAGCCGCTATGTCTTGGGTCCATAGTCAACTGGAAAAGCATGGAGAGGATTTGGACTTGCTACAAGGTGTCGTTAATCTTTACATGGAATGTTGGCCTGAATCTGGTCAGGAACTTGCCGATGATAGCTTTCCATCCCAAACCCCAGAAGTTCAAGATCGTCGTTTCCAGCGACTCAGAGGCTTTACTATCCTCCTAAGTCAACCATGGTGGTCACGGATCTGGGTTGTTCAAGAAGTCGTCGTCAACCGTAACGTGAACATCGTATGTGGACGTTCGGTAGTACCGTGGGGGCCCTTCATGGCTATTGTCAAAGGGCTACACCATAGTGCACCTCTGTTACAAGCAACTCCAAACGAGCGTGATGTATTTGGTCGATCAATCCTAAGAGAGATTTCCCGGCGGAACTATCACGCCTACTTTGTCCCGCCTACCATGAGCGACCTCTTATCGCATCATCGTGGCCTTCAGGCCTCAGATCTAAGAGATCATGTATACGCATTACTTGATATATCTTCAGATATGTCAACATCAACCTTCGTGCCGGACTACTCAAGATCAGCAGAAGAGGTATTCAGACGACTTGTAAAGAAAGACGTTGAAGAGCACCGTGATTTAAACATAATATGCGCCAGTGAACCGTCTGCAACACTGAACACCACACTTCCATCCTGGGTCCCAGACTGGAGTTCACCGTGGAAGCACTTCTGCCTAACCCAATTCCCATTCGACGTCTGCGACGAAATACCCGCTCATGCATCATTCTCCTCCGATATGTCCATCCTAAAAGCCACAGGCATAACTCTGGCTATCATTTCGAGCACGAGCGCACCACTCGAACCCTCAGATCCAGTCTTCACTGCCTGGCTCCAAACTGCTCAGGAATGGCGCACCATAGTCGAAGAGGACGAGTTCGACACATTTTTTTGCACTCAATTCCGGAGGGTGTTCGAGATGATTGTCGTAGAGAGTGAGTCGGAGGAAGACGGTCCAGCGGAGGAGATTCGGAAGGTGAAGGAGGGAGTTTCGAGTACGAGGTTGTTGAGTTTCGAGAATTTTATGGGCAGAATTTGTACGAACCGGAGGCTTGCATGCTTGAAGAGGGATGATGAGGTGCTTGAGGGATTGGTGCCGATAGATGCAATAGCGGGAGATAGGATTGTCGTCCTTTTCGGATGTACAGTACCGGTTGTTTTGAGAGGTGGCATGGGTGGCATGGGTGGCTGGAGGTTTGTGGGCGATGCGTATGTTAATGGATATATGTATGGGAAGGCTGTCGAGGGGTTGACTAATGATGATGCTGAAGAGTTTGCAATTAGGTAAATGGAAATGGCTAAACAGCAAAGACCGAATAGTGTTAAGCAGCAGCCTGGTAAGCTCGCGCTTTCTCATATGCTGATTTACAACACTCTGCAACATTCAACGCTCTTGAATTGTGTTACTGGATTACGTCCAAGAAACATAGTCTCGTGCCATTAAAATTAGAACCATCTATCAAGCTTTAATTCCATGAGCAATTCAATCCAAGAACAGGGATCAAAAAACACCGCTGTTAATAAATTAGATATATCTCATCAATCCTGCTCTCTTAGCCAACGACAAGAAAAACTTGATTTAAGCTCAGTGTATCTTAAACCGATGCTCAAACTTACAGCCAAGTTGAATCGACAAAGAAAAAAATATCATTAAGTGAGGGGATTACATTATAACAAAAGGGTAGTAGTCGAAATCCACATCACGTGGAAGACCCCATTTTCGCTTGAAGTCTCTAATTTCTAGGGCCCAATTACTAGTCCATTAGAATAAAAAGCATTCATTTAGAAAGGCCAATTCAATCGTGCTCCCTTTACAATTACACAAATCAATTACAAAATTTATATATTAGTATCCACCAACCTCACATATCACCAGCGGTCAACCTCAAAATGTCAACCCCATCCCCCCTCCCCGCCCTCAAAACCTCCCCCAAATTCATCTTCTTCACCGACTTCGACGGCACAATAACACAGCAAGACAGCAACGATTTCCTCGTCAACACCTACGGCCTCGGTCCCACCCGCCGCAAAGAACTCTTCCAAGACGTTCTCTTCGGCCGGACATCCTTCCGTGACGCCTTCAAAACTATGCTAGATAGCGTGCAACTCCCGCTTGATCAGTGTATTAGTGCACTACTGCAGAATATCAGTCTTGATGAGGGATTCAAGGAGTTTTATGAGTGGGCGAGGGCCAATAATGTGCCCGTTGTGGTGTTGAGTGGCGGGATGGAACCGCTTATTCGGGCGTTGTTGGGGCATTTGTTGGGGGTGGAGGAGGGGAGGGGGTTGGTGATTATGAGTAATGGGGTGAAGGCGAGGGAGGGGATGGAGGTGGGTGAGGAGGGGGGGTGGGAGATTGAGTATCGTGATGAGAGGTAAGTCTTTGGGTATTTTTGTATGGATGGAACTGATGATGGTGCAGTGCTTTTGGTCATGATAAGTCGAGACAGATACGACCTTATGCGGAATTACCGGATGGAAAGAGACCGGTCCTGTTTTATGCTGGTGATGGTGTTTCGGATTTGTCGGCGGCGAGGGAGACGGATTTGTTGTTTGCGAAGGCTGGCCATGGTACTTTTGATTCTTTCCTGTATCAGCTGTACTTTTACTAATCGGTTTACAGATCTCGTCACTTACTGTCAAAACGAAAAAGTTCCTTTTACTACTTTCCAGAACTTTAATGAGATTCTGGAGACGGTCAAGAGTATTGTCTCAGGCGAGACTGATGTTGCAGAAGTTATGAAGAATCAAATATAAGAGAATCGATACTTATCTCCAAGATCTCCATACTCTCCACTCATGAATGACTCAATAACTTTGAACCTCAACCACAATGAAGACGTGTTTCATAAACATTTAGCAATTATTTCAAGCCAGTACGGCACAAGAACTTCTTGTCAAAACGCAAGAGAAATCATCTAGACCAACGTTCAAGTAATACATTTTGGGGATCTACACACCAGGTTTAATAATTCTATATGGACGAATTAGACAATCTTTGCCGCGCCCGGGTTCGCGGTGGACATTGTATGCGTCTGTCGAACCCCCTGCTCCACCATTTTTCTGCCTTCCAACAATTTTGCCATGCATTTCGGTAGCTAGTAGATCCTCCCACAAAACAGCATATCTCATGGCCAAACAGCTAGAGCGAAGTTCTCGAAATTGATGCCACACTGAACTCCATCGCTTCATCGGAGTAGTAAGCCCGGACATCTGTTGAATGATAACGCTATACATGTCTGAAATCGTGGAGCAGCACAAGATAATCACCAATCTTTGAGGATTCTGGGCTGCATGTGCTTCAGCTTTATCTGGTCGGACGGCTTGACGGAGTATAAAATTAATATTAACACCCCCCTAAAATGGCATGAGACACAAATTCAAATCTACTCTCTTCAGCTTTGTCCTAAAGTATGCGTCTAGGGCAGTTTGGTCAGTCTATTGTAAGGTTTGCTTAGATGTTTGTCAAAGATGAAGCCCACAATCTATGATTCTCCATAGATCGGAACCTCTCTTAATGATAACTATGTAACCTCTAATATAGCTCCAAACCGGGCTAATACTACGAAACAATAATACCGAGGTAAGAGCATTCTGGCATGTCACGGAGCCGAAATATTTACTCACCTATGATGAAATTGACCGAGATGCCTATCTCGTTGGCCAACCAATACATTACAAGATTGACGGGGGATGCTCCATGTGAGATGTTTTCCCAAACACTTACCAACACTCTTTTATTAACAGAGATGTTTAGCTCTCTTTGTAGAGACAACATCGCTGAATAACCTAGGTAAATAGAGTTTTTTCGGCAGAATTCCGTGGTTGTCCTATCACGAGGTATTCTGTCAGACTTGCAATACATTGAAGATTCCAATGGCAATTGGCCAGCCATATGATTAATATATTCATTCAGTACTTTGTGAGTGATACAATATAGAGCATAAGCTGACCGCCTAATCATCAGCATCAATAAGGTGGTTCTCTCTTTGAAATCATTTTAAAATCTCGTAACTTTGATAGACAGTAGATGTGATGTTATTACTTCTAGCAGAGCCGTCATTTCATAACAGTACTGGATACCGGAAATCAAACCCTTTCCGCCACCAGCTTCTCAGTCATAGCCTTGACCCGCTCTGAAAGATCAGCAGCAATTGAAGCGAGTGTACTGTACACTTTCGCCCTTACATCCGGACGAGTCTCAGCCACTGACTTTGACATATTGACGACCAGCGCTTCCTGAAATGCATCATTTCGTAGTACAGGCAAAATCTTCCAGAACTCTCGAGGGTACTTGTAGTCAAGCTCATTTGGCTGCGTCCATTCTTTGGAAGATACTTTTGCTAACCATTCAGCATTCGGTGTCCCGACAGACACGGGGCGTGTCGCAGGTTGTTCAATGTTTCCTTTGCACCGGTTTGCGGGTAACTGTTCATTGTTCTCCCCGAGTCGATACCTTTGCGCATCTGGATAAGCGAATAAACGGGCTTGCAGGATTGGATCTTCTGATGGCTCTACGCCAGGAACGAGGTGAGAAGGTGCAAATGCGAGTTGTTCAATCTCTGTGAAGAAATCTTTTGGATTCCGCTTCAACGTAAGCTTGCCAAAGGGTCTTCCTGGTATGACTGGCACATCTCGGGGATAGTTTCCCAGATTCCAATGTTTCGTGATATCGAGGATATTGAAAGAGAGTTTATGAGCGTCTTCTGGATCGACAACCTGAACCTTGGCAGTCCAGCTTGGAAATTCCCCTCGCTCAATAGCACCATGCAGATCTCTAGTCGCATAATCTGGATCTTCCTCCGCAAGATCTTTCTCTTTATTACCCTGCTCAAAATTGGGCCCCTGATCCGAAGCGAAGAAAAAATGCACATATTTCCATGATCCGTCCGACTTCACCCATTTGTAAGCATGTCCAACATAACCGCTCATGCTTCTCCAGTTGAACATAGTTCCAAAATCGCTATACTGGAACATCATCATGTGAAGAGCCTCGTGATTTTCACATAGCCATTCCCACCAGTTGTTTGGGTTAACCAGATTTGTCTCTGGATCGCGACGCTGAGCACGCATCATAGCTGGGAATTTGGCGGGGTCTCGTAAGAAAAACATAGGGATGTTCAGGCAAACCCAATCCCAGTTTCCTTGTTCTGTGAAGAATTTGACAGCCATCCCTTTCACATCACGAATTGTTTCTGCTGAGCCTCTTTCAAATGCTGTCGTTGATAGTCTCATGACGCAGTCAGTCTTTTTGCCGACGCCCAGTAACATGTCTATGTCACAAATATCGGAGATGTCGTGAGTGATCTGATCAATTAGGTTTGTTAGAATTTGCATACTCTTGATGTCTATCATGTTGGATTGAAATTTCTATGCTCATACCTCGAACTCTCCAAATGCACCT